AAATCGAATTGAAGGTCCGAATATGAAAAAACTTATGGGACAACCTAATAGTTTGGTAGTTTCCATTCTCACAAAAACATATGGCAGCCATTTCCAGCCAAATAAAGTGTATTTTGTAGAGAATGACCGCAGGATCATGTGGCATGAAATTGAAATCAAAACCATTAGTATCTTTGTAATTGCAGTCCTGCAAATTTAGGCTCCCAGACTTTTGCCGCATTCTGTATAAAAAATCTTAAGAGACATTGTCAAAGATTTATTATTTTTTCTTCAAAGTAGAATGTTAGGATAGAGAAAAAGGCGCAGGTATCTGGAAATTCGGCTTAGCCATTTTTCTTTGGAACTAAAATTGAATCAAATTTAGGCATAACATACAAAGTCACCCCACGTAATTCAATTGTCTTCCTAAACTATTCGCAGTCTCTGAGGGTTAGACTTGCAAAGGAATGCTCTGAAAATTAGATTCACACAGAGTTGTCTGGAAATTTCAGGAGTTCTTAGAAGAAGACTAAGCTGGAATTATAAATTTCCATTGTGTTTACCATAACTGTTCCAAGATTCAATGTTTAGGCAAACCTTATTCGCCAAACTAGGAAAAAACACAAAAGCTAGAATGCACTTTTCATATCGCTACCCATAAATGGTTTCAACAAGGGCTTGCCATGAAAAAGATCTATTCACAAACCTACCAATGTAGCGGTTAAACTAAAAAAAAACTTTTTAGTTGAAATTTTTTGAAGCTATTTTGAGGTCGTTTTTCTTGTACTCCAGATGTTATCCCGAGGATTTAAAAGCATTTTTATTTTCCACATCTATAAAATTTTCAAGCTAAGCATATTTTCGAAGCAATTATACCCAGTGCGATTTCCCCATGACATATTCTAAGCAAAATTAGTGGGCTGCGCAGAAACGAAAATCACTAAAAGAATATGGAGTGCTTAATGGAACTGCTGTGGAGATTTTCCAAGCGATTTAACTCGTTTCCCTCCCCCAGATCTAGAGATATGCTGAGCCATAGCTGTCACGACTGCAGATTAGAATTTCTTTGCGAAGAGCATATGCAAACCACTGCGTGACGTGCTAAAGACCAAAGACATGAACAAATTCGATCTTCATATGGACGCCGACATTTTCTGCCGGAACTTCAGCAAATATGCATTTTTTCGAAATAACATAACATTTTTCTCTCAGACCTCTTGGTCATGTGATCTGAATGCTGGAAAATGGTTTTTTTGCCGCTCTTTTGGATGAATGCTGAATGAATGGTACGCCGATAAGATGACCAATCACCGCTTACATGGAAGGAGCTACTTGAGCCGCGATTGGTCCATTGGTGGGCCGCGTCACTCCACCGCTACCGCAGTCCTTACGTCCAGATTATCAACCAAACATTTGTTTTTCAACGTTTAGGAGGCGGTAACACTTCAAATTTAGCACACTTAAAAGCTAGAACGACTAGAAATCCAATTTGACTGCAGAGCCAATGCTCATTCAGTTCAAAACAAAGTCAACGGATAATTATTTTCAGATTTTCCTTAAAAAATGTTAAGCTAATAGGGTTTTTGTATACCAATCGGGATGCCCGATGGTAGATAGGAGTCGGCGTAATAACTGCGATAACAATAACGATATCAATTCTGAGCTCCTATTATAATTCTCAAACTCATGCTTTTGGAGGAAACCAGCTTACTCTCTACAACAACAAAATGTTTTTCCGGTGCTTAGCAGGATGGCTGAGAATCTACAAATTTTACAGAAAAAGTGTGCCGCGCCAAAGTTAAAGAAAACAAATAAAAACATTTCTCAAAGAATGGGAACATCAAGCAATCCAAACAGTGTTCATGGTTATCAAATTTTAGATTTTCTGCTTCAACTTAGACACATTTCATCTATATCGAACACACTGCAGGGTTTTTCGCTGAATGTACTGAGGCAATAGTACTAATTAGGGAAATCATTGCAAAAATTCTTTTATCATGACCACTTGTTTCGCAAATTTATATAAAAATAGGGGCAGCAGACGATGTTTGAAGAAAAGGAGGAATTGCACAATATGTAGGTATTATCTCACGCACTCAGAAAGCGGAATGAGCTAATTGCTAAGGAGAATCGTTATGTTCACAGGAACCTCTTTCTGCTAGCACACTGCTAGCAAAAAGAGTGCAATTTGCTTATAACAGCAGGGTACAGAGTATCCAACAATTTAAAAAAAAAGCAAGAGAGTAAAGAAGATTCCATCCTTTTCAGTTTTCCCTCTTTCTAAATCTTCCGAAGCTAGAAACTAAATCTGCATTACGGCTTTCATGTAAAGCTCATAATCGGTTTTCAACTATACAAAGTTATTAAACTGACAATGAGGAAGGTTAGAAAAATCGAAAATAAGAAGAGGAGGAACGAGCAAGATATAGCATGACAAGATCTGGGCATGCCCAAAAACCATATGAAGATGGAGAGAGGCAATAGCAAAGTTTTTTGCTCGTATCTCACATCTCTGCATATTGAGGCAGCGGTTTTTTGAGTTTACTTAAGGCAATCCGCAGGGAATTCTTCGAGACTAATTGGATCAGTTCGCAGTGCTTTGCTAGGAGGGTCGCCAACTTGCTACACAATCAACAAACATTGAGTTGAGGCGAGGATATTCATAGCATGGCGAAAGATCTCGAAAATTGCAATTGATCCATCAAATTGTTACAATTACTGTAAATCAACTCTCTTGCCAATATATCTATTCAAGTCATTTTTTTTTCAACTGTCATGACACTCAACATCAACAGAAACATCATTGTTTGTCAAAAAGGAGATGACGCTTTGCCAGAAAAGCATCTTTTAGTCGACGAGCTTGCATTAAGGAAACAAAAGCATAGTATGGCTGATATTTGAAGTTGACGCGAAATAGCCGGCTTTACGAGTAGTAGAAGGGGAAATAGATATTTTATCTCGCAAAACATCAGATAGGCGACTCATCAAATTAGAAGATAGTGAGCGAAGGATAAAATTTAGTGATATGCTGCTAGCTTATACCGAAAAATAGCATTTTTAAAGGACAAAGAAAATACTGTGAGTGAAAATAAATTATGCCTGTGAAAGTACCATTCAGTTTCTAGCAACCTATATATAGTTCTTTGAGCTGTCAACTAGTTCCTAAATGAAGGAAATGAGAGAATCAATCGAAAAACTACTTAATATCGAACTATAAAATTGCATACTCGTTAACAACATTATTTCGCAACTTGTACAGTGCTGGCCAAAACTATAGATCCACTAAAAAAAAATGTCGTAGTTCACCTGCTTCTCAACGAATTGATCTGAGATTTGGTACAGTTGTGTGTTCAACAGGCTTTCATCAGTGACCGGAGCGGATTCCGTTTTCGCCAGATTATTCAGGAAAAAAATCAAAAATTTCGAAAAAAGCAGGCTCGAAGGCTGGCCAAAACTATAGATCCACCTAAAATTTCTGTCTGCTAACGTGATTCTTAGCTTCCAAAATCTTTTGTGCCTATACATAGTCGAAAGTCAAAGCAGTGGCTTTAGTTCAGCTGCGTCATACCTTTATAAGAAACGCTTATCTGCTTTTTTCCTCTTAAAAACTGCTTTCATGCGTATTTTGTTCCCGAGAATGTGTTTTTGTAGAGGATTCCGCACTTTTTTGACTGGTTTGAAAGTGATAGGGCTCCATCTATCTTATAGATGCTTAGTAGCGTGGGCAGCAGAAAAAAATTCGGGTTTTCGTATCTAAAGCGCACCTGACATAGACCTAACCGCAAACCTGCGTTCAAATTTATGCCTTCAAGCTCTTTCTGCAACGTTGTCATGAGCGTGAACTGGAGTAGTTACATTGTTGGTATGTATGAGAGTCCGTATGCAGTGGTTGCAGGTTTCTGCAGATCCTAGTATGCAGGCTAATTGAGAACTTCATCCTGCAAAAAGTGATTTGCAACAAGCCTTGAAGTTATTTCTGCTTCTGACCATAATGCTCATGTGAATCACAAGGCAACATATATTGCAGGGTGTATTCAATAGTTAGCAGCTAAAAAGTGGCAAAATTCAAAGAAGGTACCAGTTGGTAAGTACTTTGAGATTGCCGAACACACCGCAAGACTTGTGCTTTGAAAAAGAATTAAAGTGCGACTTCGCAAGCAATCGTAACTATAGTTTACAAACTTCTTTTTAGGTAAATAATGCTAAATAATGCTTCTACATTATTTTGAGCTTATAAAAATAGCGGATACCAATTTTGAAGGCAAAAATTCGAGCGCAGGCCTACGGTTATGTCCGTGTCAGGTGCGCTTTGGATACGAAAAACCGAATTTTTTTCTACTGCTCACGCTGCTAAGCATCTATAAGATAGATGGAGCCCTATCACTTTCAAACCAGTCAAAAAAGTGCGGAATCCTCTACAAAAACACATTCTCGGGAACAAAATACGCATGAGAGCAGTTTTTGAGTGGAAAAAAGCAGATAAGCGTTTCTTATAAAGGTATGACGCAGCTGAACTAAACCCACTGCTTTGACTTTCGACTAGGTTTATGCACAAAAGATTTTGGAAGCTAAGAATTACGCTAGCAGGCAGAAATGTTAGGTGGATCTATAGTTTTGGCCAACTTTCGAGCCTGCTTTTTTCGAAATTTTTAATTTTTTTCCTGAATAATCTACCGAAAGCGGAATCCACTCCGGTCACTGATGAATGCCTGTTGAACACACAACTGTACCAAATCTCAGATCAATTCGTTGAGAAGCAGATGAACTACGGCAGTTTTTTATAGTGGATCTATAGTTTTGGCCAGCACTGTATTAGCTGCGCGGATGGCTTATCACATTCCCCAAAAATTGCTCCAAAATACGATATAGTAAAAATAGCAAGAGATCAGAATAGATGCAATAAAGAGAATCAAATGAAAAAGGTATGAAAATATCCGATGACCTCTAAAAGAAAGCCGTTGTACCAAAGTTTTATTCGTCTTCATTGAAAAGTAAAACACTCAACTAGGCTAGAATCCGAAACGAATTTTCTGAATTAAAAACAAATTGGAACGTAAAAAGCTATATCAAGTATCAGCGACTCGTAAAAGAAGGGTCAAATGTTATAAATCGACTGATTTACAAACAAGCCAGTGTTTGAATAAATAGTGTTAGTCGGCAAATAAAAATAATGAAATGCCTAAATTTCTGCATATGAACATAGCTGTAAATTTACAATTTGCTCTTATTCAGTTTCTTCAGTAGTCCTTCAAGTTTCATTGCCTTCATCATATCTCCTTTGATCTGTAGTTTCTTAGCCATAAATGCATTGGTAGGAGTTAGTTGACCGGTGAACATTGGCGCAAAATCCGTATCGGCGAGGGTGAACCTGAAAAAAGATGTTGCAGTGGAAAATATGAAAAAATTGCTTTATTTATTTGTACTCGAGAGTCGAGAGGAGGCATATATAGAGGTGGGGCAAAGCTGTTTTGACTGCAATAAAGCATTCCATTCGTTCTCTCCGAATCCTTAGCCATACCTGAAGCGATCTCAGTCGCCACGCGATTTGGCAATGTGCCAGACATCTTCGCATACATTACTGACAGAATTTGAAAGCACTTCATGTGTAGCTCTTATAGGCTGATGAAATGTCCTACATTGTTAGAAATCAAGATGTGATCAGGAAGAGATATAAGTTTTTGAAACATTGCCAAATCACACGACTGAAATTGCTTGAGGTATGGCCGAGGCCTTATACTTGCCGAACAAATTTCCAGAAAAAAAATAGAATCAACTTTTACCGCAATATCCCAAGGAAGAAAAAAAACGAAAATTGTAGTACTCAACAGCTTCTAGAAATAACTCGAAAAATATCATTTGAAACTCGATAACCATTATGTTTAGAAATTATACTAACTTGACATCAGCTTCATCACATCCATTCTCCAAGACAGATCCTTCACCATTTTTCAAATCAAGCGTGATTTTCCTTCCCTTCTCTCCTGAAACAGACATACTGCTTAAAACTATGAAAAGATTTGATTACAACGAGTATGAATTACTCTCGGATATTCACCTTTTAGTGTAAATTCGAAAACAGCTGACATTTTATTAACAATTTCTTTTGAAACCATTTTCTTCATTATGTTTATAGTATTGGTGATATCCTCCTCAACAGCTGCCTGGAAAAGTGACGTAAAAATTGAAAATGGTAGAAGATAAGAATTTTACCAACCTTTTTCAGCATGTTGATGCTTTTTCGTCGCTCAGGAGTTTGTCCGAAAGTGTTTGGGTAGTTCTCGATGTTTGGAATAAAAAAGTCGGCCATAAGCGGTGCATCTAAAATAAATTATTTCACTATCTTTTGTTATGAGGCTGTATTCATTTGACTCACCAGGGTCCATAGCATATTTCTTGAAATCAACCACACCTTCAGCTCGCAAAACCTCTTCATCAATAGTAAAGTTACCAGTAAAATTACGGCTATTCTTGGAAAGAACGGCATAGGCAGCATCGGCCATGATGGAGGGCTGCAAAATATGGTCTAGAACTTACATAACACGGAAAAGAAATAATAGTGCGTGTAAACTTGAAGGCTACTGCTGAGCGAAGGCGTTCGTCGTTCGCAAAAATTAGTATAAGCTGAGCGGGTGCGAGCGCGCGTATCTTCATCCGTGTGAACCGTGCGTCTCATGCGCTCTGCGGCTAATAACCGCGTTTGCGCCCTAGAGTTTAGCGCCTTCGTCCGGCAGTAGCCTATAGAAAATTCGAAAATTTCCCAAATTATCGGCTGTTGAAAGTATTTTAAGATTCAAAAATTCATATCCGAATTTTCGAACAAGTCGCAAACAATCGTTTTGTTCGAATTCGAGTAACCATTTGACAGACTCAAAAGTATAGGGCAGTAAAGAATTTCTTAGAAATAGGGCCGTATATGATATACTGGATTTATGTTCTATTTTGTAGCTCAGTTTTCTCAAATAAAAAACTATGAAAAACGAATACTGCCTAACCTTTCTTGAACCAGAAGCACCAGAACCGTCGCTAAGCATCTCCATCGCTGATGTCCAAATGGCTGCAAGTTTTATGAATAAGGGCATTCTTCTACATAAGCGAATGGCGTTGCAACTTCAATATTTTCTTAATATTTCTTTCTTTTCCTCCCTTCTTTCTTTAGAAAATCTTTTCACTTCTTTCCAGTTTTCCAGTAGATCATTAGCAAAGAACAGTTCCAAATCCAAAATCAAAATTGGAAAAATGTCGATTATGTATTTTAAGATTTTTCAAAGCCATATCCAGTACTAGAAAATCGAAATTCTTTCAATCAGCTTGAAAACGAAAATGAAAGATAAAGTCCCGAAAAAATACTCCAATGTCGATTATGTCCCATGACTTTGACCCTTCAAAATTGAACACAGTAAAAGCAAACTTTAAAAAAGTCACAATGCAAATTGAAATTGTTAATCCTCTTCGCGGACATCTACAACTGACATAAACTAATATTTTGCTAAAGCTGCGTCCTGAGATGCTCGTGCCAGCGCATTGCTGGCGCCGTGCCGTAACGTCGATCGATCGATAGGAGGCGGCACGGCGCTGGCACGCTGCTGGCACAACGCAGACACCTACGCAATTCCGGGCACTGCTAAAGCAGCTACCCATATCTATGTAGTCTTGTAAAGTTCTACCTGTCAAAGGCCACAAGGCATTTACAGCAATTCCATAAGGTCGAAATTCTTCATGCATTCCTAGTACACACATCGACATTCCATACTTAGCCATAGTATAGGCTACATGATTTGAAAACCATCTTGTTTCCATCAACAATGGCGGTGAAATGTTGAGAATATGCGGATTTTTGCCTTGTTTCAAATACGGCAGACACATCTTCGACCTAAAATTGGTTGATTTCTGAGCCTGGTAATTGAGATTTTGTGGAAATAAACCTACATAAGATAAGTTCCCCTAGTGTTGATCGAATGCATGAGATCATATCGCTTCATTGGTGTATCTTCAGTGTTGGTGAGACTAATAGCAGATGCATTGTTGACTAGAATATCAATGCCTCCGAATTTCTTCACAGCCGCTTCCACAGCGTCGCTTACGGACTTCTCATCGCGAACGTCAACGACACAAGCCAAAGCCTTTCCTCCTGCCTGGAATCGAACGTTAAGAAGAAGAAAGGAAGGTGAAAATGAAATATGCAACTTCGAAGGATGTCCCCAAAGGCATGAAAGGTGGTTTTAAAGAACTATAATTTTGGCAAAGAGCCTGTCGTTGCGTAAATGATCTTTTAAAGTCTACAGAAATTGAGACCTTATTGATAAAGAGAAATCCCATATTCTGAAAGGTGTTGCATATCCCAAACTCAAAAAAAAATTGTCCGACGGCTACATTTTCATAAGATTGGTATATACAAATCTGACGAACGTTTTAAGAAATGCCACTTCGTTTCTTATTTGCCCTTGCTTTTTTTCTTACAAAACCAAAAGGCAGAGATAATAAATTCACATATAAATTTTCAAAGCAGAGCAAAATTTTTAGGAATTTTTTGCATGAATGAAAAATGTACAAGAAACTTGTTTCCGCTTGCAAACAAGAAATGATTTTCACGGCCTTATTTGCAAATATTTACAATTTTTATTCCAGAAAAATCAAACTAGCTTTTTACAGTAAAGTAGATTTTCCCCTCAATATAGTGTGCTTGCACTTCAAGCGAATAACGATGAAATATGCGCGTGAACAAATAGCTACTGACGTGTTGCCGGCCAAGTGCATGCGCAAATTAACGGCATTACCGGCGTGGCCAATTGTTCACGTGCAAATCTTACCGCATTTCACCCGCAGTGCAAGCGCATTATATTGAGCGTAAACTGTTCGATGTGATTTTTCCGTCTTTGAACTTCAGGTTATAGGCCCGCAAAAATTTTATAGAGTCATGCAAATTTTTCCAGAGCGCGTTGTTGATTGGCCGTCACTGTTTCAGAGGTCAAGATGCACTTCTATCAATCTATTGCTCAACTGAACTATGAAAAAACCCTAAAACATACCTTCTCGATTTCTTCAGCTGCTGTGTAGATCGTACCTGGTAATTTCGGATGAGCAGTAGTGGTTTTTGCAGCGACTACGATGTTAGCGCCATCCTAAAACTACTCAAAATATTTTCACATTCGGAACTGCGATAGATTCCAAGAGATTCGATGGAATATATGAATAGGGATATGAAGGAAAAGGTAGATAGAGAGCTACAAAAACCAAAGGAGGGGGGCCGTGACATACCTGAGCAAGTTTCAAAGCTATTTCCTTTCCAATACCCCGCGATGCTCCAGTGATGATGACAGTCTTGCCGAAGAACTTGCTAAATGGTAATTGAAGTAGTATACATAATCAGCAATTTTACAAAATAAGCGATTAAATTGTGTAATATCAGTGCTCCTCTTTTTTTCTTATAACATACCCACGACCAGTTGCTGGTTTGTCATTCATTATGGAAGAGAAAATCGTTCGACAGCGGACGCGACTAGAGCCTAGTGAACGGTGATAACAGAGAAAGCGGCATGAAGTAAGCAAGAGATACTGAAGACCCCTGTCGGCGGTATCTTTCCATTGATAAGGCGCAAACGTTCTTTATGCTACGCTATATCGTAAGTAACATAATCGTAAAGCTACAAACTTCATTTTGAATAAGCGCACCCTCTTTATCACATTAAGACAATCTATAAATTGTCTTAATGTGATAAAGAGGGTGCGCTTATACGAACTCTAAAGGCAAGGATAACTCTAAAGGCAGAGGCTCCAGAAAATTGCGATTACAAGAATTTCATCCCTTCTTGGCCTTCTGGGTGCGCTGAGTCCACGATTGTGCTTGAAAAGTCGAAAAGGTGTTTTCAAGGCGTTTTCTGGTGGAGATTGCTGAAGGGGATGGGCGAGCGATCGCTAGTGAGTCGCGATTGGCTGCATGAGCCTATCAGCCAATTGCCGCCAAAATGGGTGGAGTTACAGTATCCTGCAGCCAGTCGTTGTTTTTGGTGGGAATCCCTCGCCCCTTAGCAATCTCAAAGGCCGGAAAACGTCGAAAAAGCATTTTTTTGGCCTTTTGAGCACATCGGACTCAGCGAATATAAAAGGCAATGTAGGTGCGAAAAGCTCGCGCCTAATTGCCTACACAATTTTCCCGAGCCACTGCCTGAATTTACAGTTCTGAAAAAAAAAAGACTCACCCGGTATTAAACATTTCGTGTTAGGACAGTGGAGCGACTTCAAGTTATAACCCTTCATACGTATCAAAATCAAGATGAATTCGGCTGCAAAACAAGATGAGATAGGATGGATTGCAACATTTCGTTTCAAGAAAAAAGAAATGGTCAAAATCAGATTCATTAAGTAGTCTAAAACATTATTAGAATCAAGCAGATCCATGTCGTAATATGAACACAACGATTCTACACAGATAGGGATCTAGGCAGTCCACAATCGCAACTAAACCCGAAATTGCAAAGAGCAAAGCACTTGTATGGGCAAGATTTGATAAAACTGAGGGAGCATAGATTGCTCAACAAATGAATAAAAATTATCAATATAACATTCATTTGGATGTGGAACAATAGTACAAGATCTAGGCCCTCACATTTACACACTAAATGACGGTAACTCGTGCATACTGAACCTCGCATTCGAAAAACTCCAAATATTTCAGCAAAATCTGAATTTTCTTGAAAAGAAGAGCGAACAATGTATATTCGCTTGTGGACAGATATAAGCTTAGCGTAGCAAATCATATCACCCATGCGAAAACTAATGAGTAGAGATGAAATTAGAGCACCTAAGAATCAATGAACGTAAACGAGTGAAAAGCTGGACAAGAAATTTACCCAATAATTCTCACAGTGGATCTGAGCAGATACGGTGTAAGCGAAAGGTGCAAAATAACTGTCGAATATGAGAAACTAGCTGGCTTACCCGGCTCCGCCCGGCCCTGTCAATATTATATTTGTAATCAGCATGCTCGATTACTTCCCTGTGCCAACTCCCAGCCCCGCAGCTCGAACTTTTTGAAAAATCAATAAAATCGATATCGATCGATGACCCCGAAGTGTATGTGTGCAAAGTTTGGTCCGGATCGGTTCAGAAATGGAATTTTCTATTCGGAACATACGTATACACATACATACAGACATTCAAACAGACATTCAGATTTATATATAAGAAGGCAGTGTCCGGGCAAAAAGTCGATTTTGAGATTTTGTGCTTACCCAGGCCTATTCACTATGCTGAATCCGAAGATCCACATTGGAAAGCGCGAAAACGGCAAAAAAGGCTCTAACGCAGGAGGAAAATCGGAAGTGGGCGGGGTCCTCCCCACTGTGGATTTCGCAGTCCCAGCTTCTGGAGCGATCTTCCCAATTCCTCTAGCGCCAAGAGATCTCCACCGGCCAGGTACGAATGCATGACTTGAAATTGGAACCGAGAAGATCGATCTGGAAGCTGGGAGCGTGAGTTCAAAGTGGGGAGGACCCCGCCCACCTGCTGATTTCCCTCCCGTGTTAGAGCCGTTTTTCGCCATTTTTGCGCTCGCCAATGTGCATTTTCGGATTCAGCGTAGCGAATAGGCCGGGGTAAGAAAACATCTCAAAATCGAGTTTTTGCCCGGACACTGCCTTTAATTTTCAATCGACCGCATATGCGGCGTGGCAAAATTTTCTTGATTGTCAGCTGACAACAAACTGTCAGATAGCCCATTTTTTTACGAGCGGTGCTGATACTATACCAGTGGACGTTTTTTTCGGGTGTGATCTCCCTCAGCGTCCAGTCATTGGAGTACTTGTTTTATTTCCATTGCAGCCTGAGATGAACATAAGAGTTTACGCTTTGTTTTACGATAAAGGATGGCCAAATCAATGTTACAAGTGAATTTTTATCCCCTACCGCGACGTTTACCCGGGACATTTTTTTCACGACCTCTTGCTACTCCATTTGTTCTGATCGTACATCGCCAGAGGAGAAGCATTTTTTTCCGACCAGTGCACCACTTGTAGGCTAGTTCAGCATTCCTAGCTTACAGAGTGGAGTCATGGGTGCTTTTCGTTATCGATCTGGATCAATTTTGCTGATTTTTATCAATTTTTTGTAAAGTTTGAGCTACAGGGCTGGGACTTGGCACACGGCTTTAAGTGAGCATGATCACGAATACAATATTAGTTTCTAGAATTATTGATCACTTTTATCGATTTTACCGATTTTTTGCAAAGTTTGAGCTACGGGGTTGGGAGTTGGCACAGGGTGTATGGGCATGCTGATAACAAGAACACGTTGGGTGGTTGGGTATACAGCTTCCACAAAAGTCCCGGACGCTGAAGCAGAAAAATGATTGCAATAAATGCAAACAAGGATTTGAAAAAGATTGAGTGAAAATATGAAGAGCTGGACAGCGATGCATGTAGAATTAACATTTGCAAGCAAAAGAAGCAAAAACGATTCAAAAGCACGGATTTAGACAACGGAAACACGAACATCCGAAAGCTCCTGATTTGCTCAAAAGGTGCTCGATGGGTAAAGCAAAGTGCAGCTGACCAGTCTCAAACATTTTCGTATTCAACCTTCTGTTTGCTCATTGCTGCCATGGCACTATTTCGCAGATCTGCAGACTGTAGTTGGCTCATATTCCATGTCTTTACAAAATCCAACGATTCTTCTATTGTGTGATTACGAGCATGATTGAGGACCTGAAAACATCACTTAGGAATTCGAGGAATCAAAAGATCTTGTGAACCCACCTCTTTCGTGCCTTGAACCGCTATTGGGCTTTTTTCAGCAATTAATTTTGCCAGATCCAAAGCTCCTTCAAGAACTTCTTTCTGGTTGTCGAAAATTCGAGAAATCAGACCTGCAAATGGCTTTCAAAATATGAAAAAGCATACATCATCAAGTCATTTCGACTTGATACGCGTCCTGCACACCATGCGCGCTACTTGACGACTTGTAAGATTGGAAAATGCTCATTTCGATAATTTCTTCCTATTTCCTTGTCTCTTCTGACTAGAAGGATATGTATTGATTAGCAATACTTTCTGCAGTTTGTTCCGCACGGAACTTTTACTGACGAGTTACTATTAGGGTGACGTCGGTTGCCGCGCATAATGTGCGGTCTCACAAATTAAGTTGCAAATGGCTCGAGAATAGCTCTAATTTACCAAATTTAAGCGCATCGTCAGCAGAAATATCCTTTGCCGTATATGCAACTTCCCGTACCCAGCTGCTGTTCCCAACAACTTTTTCAATGCGGTTCAATGTTCCCACATCTGCGGTCATGCCAATGTCAACTTCCTACAATAAATTATTTTTTCAATGCGTATATAAAGCCAAAAAATTACCTTGATGTTAAAAACAGCATCGCTGCTCGAGTAGCGAACATCACAAGCGGTGATTAGATCCACTCCAGCACCATAGCAATGAGAATGAATAGCAGCTATAACTGGCTTTGGGCATGTCTAAATTTCTTACATAAGTAACTCCCCGTATCTCTCAACAACAAAAAAATTACAGTAAACCTCAAGCGCAGTGAAACCATCCTGTCCCTCTGTGATGAATCGACGCAACATGCGGCCTTTCCTCCCGACATCCATCTCCTCGTCCATCAACATTTGTATCAAATTCTGAAAAAAAAAACAGGTGACGTACACATTCATCCAAACAAAATAATTTTCTTACACCCATTCCCATCTGCAGGTCAATCCCCGAGCAGAATGATTTTCCGTTTCCCGAGAGGACGATAGCACGACATTTCGGTTCATCGGCGAGACTGTCGAAGACTTTTTTCATCTCTCTGGAAAATTTGAACGAACTCCTATGCAGAGAGTAGTCAAAATATACAATACAAGCCAGATTAGGAATTTTCGTGGATTCATATAATCAGATGTTCTAGTTATGACATAGATCAGAGTTATCCATAGCTCGAAAAGCCGCATAAGAAAAAAAGGCTGGCGTTAAAAAAATTAACTTTGATCTCTAATTCTCTTGAAGAACTACCAGTATGGTAACAAAAACTGGAAACATTCAAGCTTTTCCCTCTCGACAAATGACATCAAAATCGGGCTATGCAGCTGTTTTTGTCGTATACTGAGAAGTTACAATAAGAAAACCCATGCCCAAAGTGGAGCCCTCTACATCACCGTCTTATTGAACTTCGAAAATGAGAGAAATGATGAGAAATGAGAATATGATTCGGGTAGATACTAAATACCTCTAATAATAGCTTCCGTTGACATTCCCACCTGAATGTTTCCGTGATGCAATTTTTGAAAGCCTGGAGTGAATCCAAAACTCTTCATTTTGCGCTATATCATTAGAAAAACGCGACTCTCATTGTAGACTGACTTACTCAGAGACATTAGCCACTGCAGTAATAAACGAGACTATTGAGCCAAACCGACCGAAGTTTTTGACATCTTTTGGCAAAAGCTTACCGTAGCTTCAGCATATTTCGGTGCTACAATGATTTTTTGCACAAACTCCACAGCATCACTCATAACAAAGCTCTTTTTTTGTGAAAGATAGACGTTTTCGATATTAATGAGAAAAGATTGTGTGAGAGGAGTCCGAAAAAAATCCCACACGGTCATCACTTTATTTGAACCTTCTTCATGTCTACATACTGTTCACAATCTTATTTTCACTGAGCTTAAATTCTGAAGGAAGACTCACCGCCACATATCGATGGTAAAAGCATTGCGACGCTCAGGTCTGTTCAGCTTTACATGGAAGACATGGGATGATTCTTCCTGAACCTCTACCTCGGCCTTTAAAGACGGAGTAGTGCTTAGATGACGAGCTGCTGGACGAAAATGACGAGTGAGGAAGGTGACTGATTTCTGCATGACCTGGGAAGGGTGATAAAAATTTTTTTGAGAAAGGAATGGACCACGAAATAGCCAAAAATTCAAAGAAAAAATCAAGAGCACTGAAGTAGATATAAATTGGAAGAAAGAGACCAAGATTTAGAGATCTGAGATACAGACAAGTAATTTTCAAAGCTCAGCGTCCAACCGCAAAGAGATTCTTGGATGCAACGAAATGAACGGAGAATGAACAATGACGACTAGAGTGGAGCGTGCAGTTCACACATCAGGGTACAAAGTTTAGGTTCACAGTTGATTCAGAAAAATTCTCTCTGTTCATTACCACGTCTGAAAAAAGTTGCAATCCAAGGAATGAAAGCTTTAGAACATGCGCCTAAGAATCTTTAAAAAACGATATGGGGTGTTGGAAGTGGCAAAACACAAATTTAAGGCTTCCACTAAAGAAATTGCATACACCGAATTAGAAGTGAGGAAGTTCCCTATGAAGCTATCCCTATGCACATATTTAAAAGCTGAGCTACGGTATGAAGAAACAATCCGATAAGAAGAATCACGGATCATGTTTTTATGCTTAGAAAGATGTTGACGCAAGCGGAGAACTACCAAAATGAAGGAACTTCGAGAAAGGATTTCATCCATAAACAATGCGCAAAATAAAGAAGGTAAAGATATTTGGCTTAAGGCGCACGATATTCTGAGACAAAGTAAAATGAGGTAGAGCTTAGTACAAAAATATAGATGACACTGTATTTACCCTAAAATGGTTGTTGCACCTGAGGGAGTCACCGTCTCTTTGTGCTTCATCATATTCAAAAAGAATTGAATTTCTCAAGAACACAAATCATAAATAATAAGCCATTCGCAAGAGAAGAATTTTAGATTAAGCACAAAATGGACCTCAAGAATCAGGCGGCATGCATATTCATTTATTTATCCCTTTATTTGTACGCACACTAGGTGCACCAACATAACAACAAACAGAAAATACTTGATCGATAAAAACAAAAAAGACTTGAAAAATGAATATATTGCATTGGCGAAAGTTCATGGCACTCTCCTTAGAAAAGTAATTTGCTCGGTGTTAAATCTGCTGCAAAAACAGATTTTAGTCTTTGTAGGTAAAAAAAATAATAAAGCAGCAAGTAAGCACCTTTATGTATAAAATTTGCCACAGACAGAGAAAGAAGATCACTCGAATTATAATATTTTCATGCTAAGTCCAGATCATAGGATCATGCTATGAGTTCAGAGAATTTATTCCACGAGCAAAAATTGTGATGAACGAAGTTTCTATAAAGATGATTTCAGATAAGAATGACGTTTACCAGAGTACTATACTATCGTGCTTTTCCGGATGTAAGTTATCCGCAAAGCCTCCCTTCGTATAGCACCCGTCTGCAAAAGCTCAACTTGAAAAGTTTGTACTATAGAAGAGTTGAAATGGATTTGATTTTGGCATTCAAAATATTCAAAGGCGAACTTCGCCTAAAGCCTTCTAATTTTTGGTCATTTCGTCCTGTCTATGGAAGGCGCTCTCTCATTGCTTTTCGCTACCCTAAGCTGCCCACCTCATGTCGGCAACGCAGATTAAGCACATTTGCTTTCAGAACAGCTAAATGGATTGAGTGTTTGCCCCCTGCACTTCTACTTCAGAAAAATTCTGCCACTTTCAAAAAAGCCTTGTCCAAGATCGATGTACTTGAGTTACTACAGCTACGAGACGTCGAATGATAATATCTACATCCACCCGACTACTTTTTACTTCCTTTCCTTCCGATTGTTTCAATGTTATTTTTAGCTCAGCTTTATGCTCTGTTTTTCCTTTTTGGTTGTTTTTATAAATTCTAGCACCTTGCCTTCTCTGCCTTTAGTTTCTGCTCAGGTCGTACTAGACCTGTTGAGTCTGCGTGATCACCTTGTTTTGTAGAGACCCGACTACCGTATGTGTTTCTTGCGGGTGGACTAGTAAGCTCTAGGCGACATACATGAATTAGTGTAGGCACTCTTTTTATCCTCCTAAGGCTGCTTTCCCTCCCCTGCCCCCCGGGATGGTGGTGGCCGGATGGTGGGGGTGATGTGGAGGTTTGGTGAGCGGGTATGCTGGTGGCCCCCTACCAGTGTACCCGTCTGGATATGTCGGCGGGGGCTGCCGGCGTGTCCGTTTGCCGAGCTTCTGCTCCCGCTCCCACTGTTGGGCCACTTTCATGTCTGTTGGCTGGCGAGGGTAAGTGGATATACGAATTCTTTAGTCTGGAATGTACACTACTCGGTAGTATGTCCTTTCAGCTTATTTCTGGTCCCACCCATATGTTGTTGCTTGATTTGCTGATCAAAAGATATCCGGTGTTTTTTTTGTTTTGTTTTGTGTTTACTACTTCACTTTCATTGCGGCTCTCCTTAGTATCCTCATGTTAGCTGTTTTGTTCGATTGATAGCACGCCGAAGTGCGTATGAATAAATAAATAAATAAATAAATAAGTCCAGATCATAGGATCATGCTATGAGTTCAGAGAATTTATTCCACGAGCAAAAATTGTGATGAACGAAGTTTCTATAAAGATGATTTCAGATAAGAATGACGAACCAATCAATTCGACCTTATTATGATCAAAAATTGTAACTCTTCGTGCTTTAAGTGAGCATAAACCTTCACCAAAAAAAGAACCCCAAATTATGTCTGCGCATCTTCATGTAGCTGGTGTTTTGGGACCACCATGCTATAACACTAGTTTATGTACAAAAAGACTAATTCAAAGCAAAACCATCAAATTAAGAGGAAACGTTGATTTAGGTTGGCGCTAAAAACTTTCGAAGCCAAAAGTTAGATCAAACAGGAGCAGGAGATAATCGGAAAAAGGAGAATACAGATAAGACAAAGTCTAAGCCTATTGTATTTCACAGATTAGCTCGATTCGGTTTCATGAAAGATGCAGGGCAAGAGTCTAAGCAGGATTCGGGCAAATTTGGAGGGGACAGGTCAGAGGCGCGATTTCTCCGGCTGTCGCTAGCTTAAAACTCTAATTTAGTGCTATGCGAGTGCTCAGAAAGTAAGTAAAAGTACGGATGAAGTGCATTAGCTTACCATCTTCTGACACTACTAATTGCTAAATTTGGTGGCTTTTGCTGAAAAACGGACCAAAGTATTTATGAAATTGTTCTCAACTGCATTTTCATGGGTTTTTGACCTTCAATGTTGCTGTTTTAGATCGATTCCAAGGTATTAAATTGAACAACACATGCAACTATCTGGTACATCTCCTTTCAAAATTTGAACATTTTTAGAATTCATAAAACACTTATTATGTACTATTTGGTGTCCATTTGGCAATAAAAATCGCGCCTCTTGACTTTCACCCAATCTGGAGACATTTTAACCATTTTTGATTCGTGTTTTAAGATTTCAAGATAGCAAAGCTGATAGAAATGTTCAGATCATGGTTTTACAAAAACTTACCCACTTGTCAAGGCAAGGGTAGATGGTCAGAGAATTACATTCTTAAGACGATACGCCGATAGGAGAAAGAAAAAAACTGTAAGCTGCCTCCGAAATCAAATTAATGTTTTGAGAATCTGCCGAGATATTCCAGCATATGACATTATACTCCGTTGATGGAGAAAAATTCGAAAAATTGACGAAATTAAATTCTGGCGCCTGAAAGTATATTTAGCTCCCGTCTCATGTCTGATGGTTTTGCAGAAGTAGAGTAAACACTTATAAAAGTCTATCGAGCACCGCAAATCGTTTAAAGTTTGAAAAACTGATAATATAAAGATTTCATTTTGATATATTATTCCATCAGAATGGATTAAAAAACAACTTATCATTGACAGTTGAGGAGATAGTGGATGCAGACAAGAAGAATGATATAACTCGTTAGATGATTGAACATAATATTTTGATAGAGGTGGGTACAAAAATTTCGACCGAGTTCGAAAAGTTCCTGACGATGAGGTTTAGTCAAGATACTTTTGATTGGTGACATTTTGTCACCTCCTCAAAGGACACCCCAGTGAATGGAAACTCAGGAAAGTTCGCCAAATAATACATGAATAGCGGTGTTAGACCAGAGAATTTGCGAGAAAATGTTGGATAAAAGTAAATAATGAAGTACTAGGAGGTTGATGAACGTTTCCCATGAATTCTTTTTTAAAAATGGCTTCAAAATCCGAAATGAAAGATGTGATATTTTTAGGGATACTCAAGAAGAGAATGTTAGCGAAGAAAAAACTGAAGAGACTAAATAAAATGACCGGAAAAGAGACATAATGAAGCAAATCTAGGCTAAACTAACAAAACAATGGGAAAACTCTAAACGTGACGAAGTCGGACGTTTTCTTGTCAGAACGATATTTTTTTACCAAAAGGCAAAGTTCACCAAAAACTTGAGAAATGACAAACTTTTTGCACCCAGCTTGCACCCGTAGTTTGAATCCAAAGTCCACCAAGCGTCAAATCAAATGCGTCCGTTTGCACACCGAAGCAGTGCGACCGCAACCTAAAAATTAGCCCAACGTTTCTATCTTCAGAATCCGGTTTCGTCTTTATGGAATCTTTCAATGGCAGCTACAGTTATATTGATTCTTTCCTGCAAATTGTGGCTTGCTATAAAGCTTTGCTCTTCAATGAGTTGATTGGTGTTTGAATTTTGTCTTGTTAAACACTTTATTAGTTTGAGGCCTCACATGGGCCAGGTGGCGAGTCGCTTTTCTGGAATACTCAGACCAGCGGCGAACCTCCGAACAAATGATGACGAAGATCCCGAACAGCAGCTCACTTTTGCCAATGCGGCAGGTAATGATTATGATTCCTTTTTTGTGATGATCCAAACAGCATTATCTTGTTTTTGATTGATTTATCGATTTGCTGCACTACTTGTTTACTTCTTGTTTAGGATCCTATTTCGGGTCACATTTCCTGATGTGTGGAGGTCGGTTTGATATGGCCAAACCTGAAGCATTTCTGTTTGGCGAAAATAGCGATTTGGACTTATTGGGCAGTCGTTCTGTGCCGGTAGGAACTCTCACCTTGCTTTTGTTCTTGTTTGGCTGCTGTATATGTTCCATGCCCTTTTTTGAATACCTCAAAGGTATTTTTGCTTCTCTATTGCTGACTTTAGTTTCCATATGCCTCACCTCTCGGGAGCGATGAAGTTCATCCCTTGCATTTGCTCATCAACATCAGGAAAGAATCTGTGAAGTTTGTTAAGTAAGTGTTTTTTCTGTATATCTACCTAAATTGCTAGAACAACTCCTACGGTTTTAGAATCGCATTTTGCAGAAGTAATATTTTTTTCTTAATTGTTCTTCATTGGCGTTTTAAGTCTCAAAGAGAGAGTTCACCTCCTTTCATGAATCAAAGTATATAAGAACCTTTTGCAGATTAAAGAGTGAAGATGACTCGCAAAGTGAATCAACTCTATACCGATTGGAGTTCACGTTAGATGCCGATTGCTCATGTTTTGTACAAATACATTTTAATGCACGAGAAATTTATCAGGACGGTGAAATACAGTAAGTTCCTTGCAAATTGTTGTATAGAATGTGATTTCAATTTCTAGGTTCGCGTATCGTAACAAGCGTGTCTCTTGTTCGGATAGATACCACTTTGACACCGGTTCTGACCAGACTTTCAACAACTTCATCTTTGATTCTGCCAAATGGGATTTGACTGATGTGGGTATTTCAATGCCTTTCTTATCCTCTTATAAATTTTTTAGTTTCAAAAAGCGTCACGTATTTTTAGCATACGCGATTGTATAGCATCCTTACTTTGTGCGACTCTTTGCGCAAGTATTTACATTACAGCTTACCTACTCTGGAGGTTTGTACTTCCCTGTTGTCGTAGTGATTCAGACGGATGACGTGGAACGGGTGCAGATGCAGAGTACCATGTGCACTGTTGACGTAAGACATTACATTACTGCCGTTCTTATAAAAACTTGTCATTCAACTATGTGAATTTCCCACTTTTTCTTCCATAAGCGTCCATGACTTTAACATTCTCAATTCTTCGCTTTTATAGACAAACAATCTTTCACGAACTATCTGGTCTTTTTTAAGAAAATGAAACTGGAACTGAACAAATTTGCAATCAGATTCTTGTTCTGAATCTGGAACTGCTTCAAGGAGTTTTCACACCCTTATTTTAGGTGGCAAATGATAGTAGCCATGCTCTCATCCTCAAACCTCTGCGTCAGAAGATTGCCTGTGATGGAGTCATCTACCTTCTTCAGGTGATCCTTGGATTATTTTTATTTTTTGGAAAACAAATGAATTTGTTGTTATACATTACATTTATATTGACATAGGATGATTTCGTTTCGATTCAGGAAATGTTCGGTATCGAGAACAAGGAGATGGCTGCTGATGGTGCAGACGACGGAGGACTGGAATGCATCATTTGCATGAGCGATGTCCGAGATACCGTGATCTTGCCTTGTCGTCATTTATGCATATGTAACAATTGTGCTGACACGCTTAGATACAAGGTTAGGCATATACATGATTCCATTTATCTGAGTTATCGCTATCGTGTTCAGTTAAACAACTGTCCAATCTGTCGATCTCCGTTTCGTGCCCTGATACAGCTGCGAGCGCGAAGGCAGACTCGTAATATGGGGTAAATCCAAATTTTTATCCAGACGGCTAGACGGCTTTGAATTGATTGAACATATTTTCAGCTACGAGACAGTCACGTTAGTCGAGGGATTGAATGGTCCATTGAACCACCAATCTTACACGAATGCGGAACAAAACGTCAAGGAGCCTTTGGAGGTTCCTGCTGCCAAGAAGGGACATACCAGAGAGCGCAGTCGCGCCAGCAATGTAATCAAACAGGTCAGTCATCCGAATGTTGTTTAGAAATTATTACTAAGTTTTTTCTTATAATTAGAATTCTATATCGTGGTTTTATCTGGCTCTTCTTTCTTGTGTATTATCTTTGTCCCCTTGTAATTCCAACTTATTTATTCATCATTTCTTGTTAGCCACTCTGAAGGAGAAAAAAGCTTGAAATGAATCAGAGCGAATAGAAAAAGCGACTCTTTGCACTTTTCAATGATCACCCATAATGGTTGCCAAAACAGTCATGGAATTCGTTTCTGACCCATTTGCTTGGATGACTCGCTATACATCAAAGACCCCCTGTTACATGCTCATGAGTAATATTCCAGATTGTTACAATAGATAATGAGGAATTGGAAGAGACTAGTGAAGGAATTGAGATGAAGAGGTACCTGCCTAAAGATGTGAGTTTTCCTCCCTTGCTGCTTTCCCTAGACATTGCAAGTCAGATGTGTAAAATGATTACCTTGCAGAGCCTTTGTCTTTCTTCGTAAGCTGAAGCTTTTTTGCGGTAGCTTCGTATGCTTATGTGTAGTATCCTTTGTTTGAGCTGCTTTATTTGAGCACCGCTTATCTAGATTATGCCTCAGGAGGAGACCCCCGTCTTTTCAAACAATTCATCTCGAAGTACGAGTCCTCAAAGATATGCCACTCCCGAAGAAAGCGAGGTACATTGAAGTGTTTATTTCGAAAATATCCGAAAGTTGTACTTAGATGGAGATCACTATGGATAGCGTCAGATCGTCGATAACTAAGCGTTTGCAACCTGGAAGTGGGCACTCGTCCAAAGTGCTTCTGGAAAACGCTCGGGACGGACTTGAAAGGAAAAAGTCGACGAGTGGGTCCACTTAGCTTGGTCAATTGTGAAAATATATGCATTTCTTCCTTTTAAAGTTCAAGTTTCCTATTTTTGGTATTCCTACTGTGTTCAAGCATCATTGCCAATTATCATATCTACGCATTTACATTCTATGCTATTTATTGTCCCACATGTCTTTGTTGCATTACAGCCTCTTAATTTTTCTGCCACCGCAGCTTCATCCTTTCTAATAGACGTATGCTTTGCACCGATCAAATGCTAAAAGTAAACAGGGTAAGAGGTCCGAAGCATATGTTTTGCACAACTCAAAGTAGCTATCAACCGGTGCTCGTTCATTTAATTCCATCATTTTTTGCATGTTTCTCAGTTTCTATACTCTATCGGATTATCGTGTATATTGCCTACAGAATTGCTCTAGCATTCATATAATGATAACGTTGAAATTTTCACTTACCCTCAAAAGGCTGGTTGTGATACATGAAATTTCTTACTCTTGTTAGGTGTGCCTTTGTTTCGAGATTACTTTATCCCAGTAATGCATAATTAGGTCTTTTAATGTTCTGGTGATGGGAATGGTATCTGTATAAACTGATGTATAAATATATAAAGATTCAGATCATCTGTTGAGTTCAATTTGATACCAGAACTACTGTGCAAGATACTTAAGTTTATGTATCTTGTCATCTTTCTCACTGATTTGAGATTTCGCTTATTTTCAGCTACAAACGAAAATGTCAGCTTGGAATGCGGGTGTTATGATCACGTCCCAGGTGGGGTATATAAGCTTAACATACTTTTTGAGCATCATAGTTATTCTACGATTATCATATCTTTGGTATTTGTGACTATAATCTTCTAAACTGGGCGCAAAGAAGTGACGTTCAGCTACCGCATTTGCTATCAAATTCCTTTCAGTCGAATTAAGCTGTTTTTTTTTCAGCGCACTTTTAATGTGTACCACAGAAAAGTATTCTTTATCAAGCGTTTAGCTGGTAGGACGATGGAGAAACTTTAGCAGCAATGATCCCTATGGTAACTCAATTTTAATAAGATACTCTATTTCAGGTGTTATTTTTTGTCTGCGGGTGGTTGTTCTTCATGAAGCAGTTATTCAAAAATTATGAAGTGCATAATAGGTAAGAAAGCAGTTTTTCATATCTGATTTTGTTTCAAAATGAGCAGCTCGCAAATAGCTAGAAAAAAAACTTTGCTAAACTTTGCTTCAACTGCCCATTTCGATTCTAAATGGGGTCGAATCTGCTTTGCACTGAACGCGAAACTTTGATGAACTTAGGGTTTATAGTGTCTAGTCGTTTTCAGGGTTGTTCAGCTGGTATTCTCTATCACATTTGCTTTATCTTGCTCCATGTTTGAACTCATTATCTTCGAGATTATGGATGTGATGGATTCAGGGTATGTTTATCTCTTTCGCACAATCTGCTCATCAGCTTGTGTAGTGGAATATTTTCAGATCACGTTTCGTTACATGGAGGTTGTGTTTATCAGCCATGTTGATAACTTTGATTGTAGCACTTCCGTTGTATGTTGCGTACACACTTCTGAAAAGTGTCTCGTTCAGTAGGTCGCATAGCTACTTCATTTACCCTAGGTGACCGCAAATTTCAGTCAAATCTCGTTTTCTTACGCCGCTTACCGTAGTTTCATGGTTTGTATTCATCTACTTTTTTTGGAAACTTGGTGATCCATTTCCAATTCTCAGTGCTAAACACGGTTAGTTTTTTGATTTTGATACATACGTTGATTTCGATGCCCACGCACATGTAAGCGCTCTTCAGGTATTTTCACCATAGAACAGGCAATTTCACGGATAGGTGTTATCGGTGTCACTGTAATGGCGGTACTTTCTGGATTTGGTGCTGTGAATGCGCCCTACGTGTACATGACCGTGTTTATGAGGAAGGTAACGGCAACCTGAGGTAGGTCTGTGTGCTAGTGGCAAAACGCAAGTTGTTCAGGTCGATCAACATGCAATCACTCAGATGGAGAGAAAGCTAATGCAGACTATGGAAATGATAGTCATTAAAAAGCGCAAAGTAGCGCAGTATGAAAGAGAGCTGGCACTCAGCGCCTTCTCAAGAGGTAGGAAAATTCATACGTGTACCTCACTAGTAACTTTGATTTATCATCAATGTTTCAAGATATGAATGGGCCTTACCACCATAAAATCCCCACTTTTTGAGGAAAAGATGAAAACACCGGGCTTCTCCATCGCATTTGGGGCACTGTTGCAAGTGCAGCTGGTGGAGGGACGTTGAGTGAGCAGATAAGGTTGGCTTCACTAGCTTCTTTATTTATATGATATTTTCTGCCTAAATAAGAGTAGTTATCGTGCTTTTGAATTCTTCCCAACTTTGAAGTATGTTCTAACGCTTTATGCTTGGTAGGCAGCTGAATTCGGAAATCATCCCGCTGAATGAATTAAGTCGGTATCTTTTCCTTGAAGTTGTGGAATTGCGCAACATGAAGGTATTTTCTTCAGCAGACATGCAATTGTATATCCCAAGTTTCTTACCCGCTGCCTTTTAGGAACGCATGGATTACAGCAAAACATGGATGGGGAAGTATTTCAATGTTCTTGGACATTTCTTTTCTGTATACTGCATTTGGAAGATATTCATTTGCACTGTTAATATTGTCTTTGATCGGGTTGGAAAGGTTGATCCTGTAACGAAGGGCATTGAGATTATCGTGAATTGGATGGGAATAGATTTGGATGTGAGTTTTACTTGCATTTGAAACGATACAGACTATTTTGTTCAAATCGTTATAGGTGCGATTTTGGTCGCAGCATATTTCTTTCTTTCTTGTTGGTGTCATAGCGGTGACTTCAATCAGAGGGCTACTAATAACGTTGACAAAGTTCTTTCTGGCTATCTCTAGCTCGAAATCATCTAACATCATCGTCTTGTTGTTAGCGCAGATCATGGTGAGTTCTCCATACTTTTCGATGGCTTTTCCTAGATAAACCGTTGTAGGGTATGTATTTTGTCTCAAGTGTGCTGCTCATGCGAATGAATGTTCCACATCAGTATAGGTAATTATACCCTTTACGGTTTATTTGCTGTCCTGAATTGTTGCTAATGTTTCTACTTCAAGGAAAATCATCACAGAAGTCCTCGGCGACTTGCAGTTCAACTTTTATCATCGATGGTTTGACGTGATTTTCTTGATATCTGCTTTATCTAGCATAGTTTTTCTGTATTTAGCTCATAAACAGGTCCCTGTTCACTGATGTCCCTTTTGTTTTGTTCGTTCAGTAATTGTTGCATATAATATGTCTGTGATATGGGTTCCTTTGTTCATAAAGAGTTTATTATACCATGTTCCAGGGTATTGTTGCTTTATAGCGGCAACTGTGCGCGTTTGTCGCGGAGTGGGATCTCCAACTTCATATGTCAGTGGTATAAGGCTGTTCTGCATTGGCGACAAGAGCTGAGGGTGCCTTCCGAGTAAGACCGTGGGCAAACTCACGCGATTTTAGTCGCCACACGATCTGGCAATTTGCCAGATGTTAAATTCAATACTGGCAAATCCCAGATGCGCAGCATGTAGAACGTTCATAAGTTGATAAAATGCCCTGTTTTCCGCACATCCAGAAAACCCCTTACGATGAGTAATGAACAATTAGAGTATTGCCAAATCGCGCGACTGAAATATCGTGAGGTATTCCCAGAGCCTGATGAAACAACGACACATGGGAAGGGTAGGCGTGCTTGTGCCATGCTTTATGCCCTGTAATGATGCATTAAACGAGTCAGAGGCCCGCCCTAGGACCAAACCTACCCCTAGATCTGAATGTCAGCTATCTAAAGCGGTTACTAACATCGTCGGCAGTTGTGGTTTATTAGTAATAACTTGGCTCTATCGCGAATCACGCCCGTCCTTTTTGCTGGGGGGCAGGCATTATGGAGCAAAACTGCGCCGCATTCCCCTGCGGTGTATCCTGAGGGCCATGCGTTGCGGCCGCATGCACTTTTTCAAGTGCAGCCGCAGGAACGGAGTGGCGCTGCTCCTGTCAGCAAATTGAGCCATTACCTATTGTTACGCCCTAATATTTCAAACTGTACAAAAACCAAATTTAAAAAATGGACGAACTTGTAGGATGAATCAAAGGCTGAATCTGGAATGAGTCAAATGTTGGATTTGAGTTGAGAGGTTTCAAGAGAATAAGAAGAGAGAATTAGTAGAGAGGAAGGACTAAGTTTTCCGTCAATGGCCTTCCAAGAGATGTTTTTGAACTTTTTCTTAGATTCTGCTTTACAGGCACTTCTTCTTCATATTATCTTTGATTCATCCTCAAAACCCGTTTATTTGCCACACTTTGATCTTTCTGTGGAAAAGGGAAATTGGCGCAATCTGGATAACGGTAGCTCGTGGCTGCAGTTACGAGCGACGCAACGCAGAGGGCTTCCAGGGACAATATTGCTTCTACAGCCACCGGGTGTGGTGCGGAAGGCGACAAAACCCAGCAGAGGCGAGGGAACGGTGGCCACGCCTCCCATTGCCTGCTGTTTAGTGCTGGCCTCGAGTCAATTAGTCAGATTGACGCTCTTGTGGCGCATAGGCTGGCACCTGAACGGTGGCGGTGCCCTCTTCGACTACTCTGTTTTATCCATAAGAGTTCGTTGTGTAAAATTGGTAGGTGTGATCACTCAGTGTATAAGGGAAGGTTACGTAACGCAAGTTGTAGACTCGTAGATTGTTTGCTGATAGCTAACTAGTTGAGTGAGATTTGGCAGCGAACTTCGATTTCGATCATCATCTAACTCATGCATATGATCAGTTCCCAGGTTCGTGTGGAGGTGTGTTGCAGACTTTGCCTGATAACAAGGATAAACTTGTTGAACCTCCATGTTATAGCATTTTTTTCGTACTCTCTCGCTAGCAAAAACCGCCCCGCTGTGAGTTGGCAAGACTCCGCCTCCACACCTCTACGAATCTGGAAGCCGATGATATTTCGACTAGCTTCTGCTTTGTATAAGAATAACGGAATTGCATCAGTTCTATGCAGTCATGTAGCTATCATTCGGATAGAGATGAATCAAACACAATAAATGCTGCAAAGCAGTTTTCTTTCGAGTCTCAAAGTAAGAAGAATCCTTATTTTCAGGCAAAATGTCAACATCAATTTGTATCCAGCCGGACCTCGAACTCAATATAGCCGCGATATCTATCAGAATTTAGCCTTTGTCAATACTTAAGTTCATCTTATTTTTTGCTCACTATTCTTCGTTTGACAGGGCAGAAAGAAAAACCACTTTATTCGCAGCAAAATCGCACCAGATTTAGACAAAAAGAGGAAATGAATATCGCTCAGCAATTTAGAGTACAACTTCACCTCAAAAACAGAAAATCCCTGTACAAAGTTTCCAAAGTTCTTTTGTAAGTCTATTTGTTCCACATAGTCATTATCGACAACGGTATCAGGGACCATTATGTATACAGCAATGGTGCTTACAAGTGAATGAAGTAATGTTAACTCTAACCATTTCTTCAAAAAAAAAGACAAGAACCTAGGACGGTTAGGATAGCTAAAATAAAAAAAAACATATGAATACACAAAAGTTAAATTTAAGCAGAATTTAGTTTCGATAACTCGAGTATAAGTAGCAGAGTTTACAGAATGCTCACGTCAATGGCCCTTGAGCTCGCCTCTGTTCGAATGCACTTAGGCGTGAGATCCATCCTTCAAAAGAAACGATCGGCGAAGTTCAAGCAGACTGAGTGAGTGAGTGAGCGCTCTTACCTCATAAGTCCATAGCTATGGCGCACAAAGTTGAAAGCGATCTTTCTGCGAATATCTCAACTAAAATGGAATGATTAAGTCGCGCAAACATTTTGATGATAACAAAAGGCTAGCTATGAATAGGGAGAGGACATTCATAAGGTGATATCTATATAAGAAAATGGTGAAATGGAAAAGTAGAAAAGCACAGAACACAAGAAAGGTCATACCTCTGATGAGTCAGGTAAGGACGAGAGATGACGAGAACTCGGACAGGGCGTGGCCACTAGTCGTGCCTGTTCCAGGGCATTTGTCGCCTTCCTCAGACATTCGCTGTTGACTCGCGCCGGAGATCCGCCCACTTTTGAGGGATTCGCGAGAAAGGGCGTAGACATGCGCGAGACAATATTTTGACAGTTTTTGCGGATGGTCGCGAAAGGAAATCGGGAGATGATGAGTGACTCAGCGAGCAGTTTCGCAATATCGACGCGCATTTCAAATCTCAGCTCATATTGCATCATTCCAGGTTTTTTTGCTACCTATTTTCAATTTGTGCATTCCATCCATCCCACCTAAGCCCTCTTCTTTCCATTATTTCATTCCAGTCCAAAATTAACTTTATTTGAGATCCAATTTTGAAGCTTATTCTCTAGAAATCGAAGCTCGACTATCTCCGTGATTGTGGGATTGTGGAATTTGAGTTCAAATTACATTGGTTTAGGAACCAGCTGAGGCATTCAAGGTATTTCAAGGCATGATGATGGAGATGGAGACGTAGATGGGAGATGTACGGGCTTATACACTGAATCCGGTAAGAGCTAAACTCCTTCCTCCAAAGGTAAGATGTCAGTGCACTTATTCCAAGTCTTCGTCGACATGACTTTCGTTTCAGAAGAAGCGTGTGATCGAGACTACGGCAAGCAGCTCTTCTGCTGTCAAGGAAATAGAAAAGACCAGCCCCGACGAGTTTTAGCCGATCTGCTACTACTTTTTTCTAATTTGCTGCACTTACATATCACTATCATACCATTTGCCTTAACTCTACTCCCGCTTTTGCGTATCACTTAATTGCATTCCGAGATTCTCATTGTTTAGAAGATTACCAAGCACACTTCTATCTCATCATGTATCTCCATATCGTGAAGCTTTAAGATAGTAAACATAGTAGTTTGACTCCCCCGAAGTTCTTATTTGATTTTCTTGCGTGGCTACATTGAACATGACTCTAACTCTAACTCATAACTCTAACATAACTACTACAATCTTAGGAACATTGAAATGTTTCAAAGATTGAAGTAAATTCACTACGTGCTAATGAGGTTTCCAATTAATCCTTATGTCATTTTAGAAGTAATAAATTGGTTAGTTTAGACTTTGTAGAATTCATATTACGTGTACATACATACATATATATATATATGTACACTTATATATACATATATATCAGTGGCGTACCCAGGATTTCGGCTCGGGGGGGGGGGGGCGACAAAAATTTTTTTCTAATGAAGGTGCGGGCGTCAGCCACGACTCCGAAAAATTTTTGGGATGTTTCCCAAAATTTTTCCGGGCCCCTGACCCCAACAGAAAAAGGGGGCGTGGCGGCAGCCACGCCCCCGAAAAAATTTTTTTCATAAGGCTAATTTGAATTTTTAAAAATTTTTAAAAATTATTTCAATTATTTACAAATAAAAACGAGTCTTCTGGCATTTTTTATAACACATTTAAGTAACTTTCAAAAATTTCGCGACCCATTCTCGGGGGGGGGGGGGGGCGCCCCCCCCCTTCGGTACGCCACTGATATATATATACATATAAGTACATTTATATATATGTATATATATAATGTATATTTATACATACACATGTAAGTATATACATATATGTAATGTACAGCAAGTAGGGATATAGCGAAATTACTAGTGCGAGATAACGCGCTCTAGTTGCGTCCGGACATCAGGATGTGTCGCCCTCGAGCTGCCGCGTATTTCCTGCAAGATGCGGGTGCATCAAAGCGTGGTCTCGGGCAGCATTGTTCCGACAAATAATGCTGTCTCGGGATTTCGTCGCGAGGCCGATTACTTGTGTCGCGCCTTCATTCAGCGCTTACACAAAACTTTGGGCTGCGCGAGTCAACAGCGAGTGTCTGAGTCCGCGTGTTCCCCACAGCCACCGCCTCTTACAGTAAATTAGGCGTAAAATCAATTGTGTTGCGTACTTTGCACAACACAATTGATTTTACGCCTAAATCGCCCAATGTTGGCGTCGTGCTGGAAAAACTTGTGTTTCTTTTTGTTTTCTGATGTTTCTGGATTTGTTGACAGTGTCAGTGTATCAGAATGGTATTTATGGGTGGCTTTGAAGGCATCATCTTCGGAAAAAAAACCTTTTTTGTTTTGGTGAGACACGGAATTATTTCATGAACTCCTAAATCACTGTTAAATGGCATCACCCCTCCGCGAATGCGCGACTTTTTGGCTGCGTTCATACTGATTCCCATGTTCTGGAACTGTTCCCGCACAGTTCTCGCACTGTGCTGAGACTGTGCGGGAACAGTTCCAGAACATGGGAATCAGTATGAACGCAGCCAAAAAGTCGCGCATTCCGCGACAGATTTGTTACTATTTGACCTCACCCACACAAAGTGAAACTTGGGAAAAATGCCGATTCATCATGCATACTACGAATCATGTTGGAAAGTGGGGTTGGCGCGCATATTGCATCATGGCTTAACATTCGATTCAGAAAGTTTCTTTGAAATCAGTGTGACAGCTTTGTATAACTTGGTAGATCTGATGCTTGATATCGTATTGCTGTGTTGTTGTTGTTCACGGCAGAGGTATAGGTCCTTCATCGCAGGCAAAGACAATTTGTCACTACGGTCACCGTCGGCGTCTCGCTAATTGAGCGTTCCTTCATCTCTCTTGACGCCTGCTGCCTCTCCTATACGCAAACTATCCTGGTCAGACGCAACAGTATCCAGTCTCTGCATGCGATGAATCGCCTATACTTCTCAACAATCAGATCTATATACTAGACTATGAGATTACTATATTCACGTCCAGTGCACGGTAATCTAGAGGGGGACGAAAGAACCCGCCCATACACTTCTTTTGTCAAGATACTGGACAGTGTAGCCGAACATGTCTAAAACATGAGAGTCCCTATAAAACTCGTACATTCGACGTGGCAGCACCTAAAAAACCTCATCAGTTTGTTACCATCGGTTGCTATCATATGGTCCATGACAGGCTTTCGCATACCATCACTGCATCACTATGACACACATCCCAAAATAGGTAAGAGGTTCGTTATCAACTCAACTGACGCCTGTGTCGAGGCAGGAAGGAGTTCAGTTCCTGCGAACTTCATGCGCCACAAGCTAAACGACTACCACACGTTCTGTCTCAGTGATAATGTCCCGGCTTGTGCGGCTCGGGTCGCGCTCTGCCGCTCGCTCGGACTCCACCTCTGGAATTCTCACGTGCGACAGCCTCGGCCAGCTAACGCAGACAGCTAACATATGGGAAAACGAACAAAGTCCAAAGGATACGTTGCAGACGAGGCACTAGGTCCATACGCCGCGCAGGACGTCGCACGAGTTGGGACATGGTCACTGAGACTGAGGGTACACCTTTACCAAATATTACAGCGTACCAAACACTGAATGCTGTTAATGGACCACTTCTCGTCGTAGACGATGTGAAATTTCCCGTTTATGGAGGAGTTGTTCGTATAAAAATGAGAGATGGCAGGACAAGAATTGGACAGATTTTGGAAACTCATGGAAACAAAGCGATTATTCAGGAACTTTGACATTCAGAAATTAGATGGGAAAAAGAAATCAACGGGATTTCCAGGTTTACGAAGGTACTGCCGGAATAGATCTGAAAGATACAATATGCGAATTCACCGGTGATGTTTTGCGATTTCCCGTCAGTGAGGACATGCTGGGTAGAACGTTTAACGGTGCGGGAAAACCTATAGATAGGGTAAGGTTTACCATACCTAGAAAAGGAAACTTTTATAGTCGAGTCATCGCACGCAGAGACGGAACGCGACTGCGGACGCTGTAGGTCTCTAACCAAGCGCACTTTGGTCCCTCTCATCGCCTGCGGTCTCTTCCACATGCGAACTCTCTCACCGGACGCAACGTCGTTCCGTTTCTGCATGCGATTACTCGTCCATGCGTATTTTCACCGTTGCAGGGACCGCATATCTGCGCTGAAGATTTTGCGGATGTGAATGGAATGGTTCTGAATCCGTATATGAGAGTTTATCCGAGGAAAACGATAGAAACTGGAATTTCAACAATAGATATAATGACCACCATAGCAAGGGGACAAGTGATGTTAACATCGAGTATGCAATCTGGTTGGAAAACGCTAAAAACTTTCAGAAAATTGCTATATTTTCCGGATCAGGCTTACCTCACAACGAGATTGCTGCTCAAATAGTTCGACAAGCAGGTAAAGCCAGCTTTATATATAAAAAGGTCAATTTTGATATTTCGATATCAAAGAGGGGCGGGGAGGGGGGGGGGGGAGAATTGAGAGCTCTGAAAGTTCTCCACGCTTTCTATCTGAATCCAACTCATTAAATCAATGACCTATCAGACTGAATTACGGCATGGGTACAATTTGATACAATTATACCAGTATAGACTTTCTTCCACAATTTTGGGATCTTTGGGGAAGAGATGTCCGCCACAGCTGAGTTTCTATCCGAAATTCCAGGAATTTTTGGGAAGGAAAATTCGAAGAAATTTGCAATCGTTTTCGCTGCAATGGGTGTGAATATGGAAACGGCAAGATTGTTCACACAAGATTTTGAGGAGAGAGGTAGGCGAATTGCACTAAAAGGGGCCAATAAGTTATGTAGGAGGTGTGAATTCCTGTCCCACTACCGTAGAGTACCTGACTTCGCTCGGAGTATGAGTGAAGCAGATTGTGACAGCACAAATTGGTCTGCTGAATTCAGAGTTACTTGAGCGGAGAATTCAATTTCGGACCTGGCTTCTGCGTGGGAATAGAAGGGTCCTTCCTATTGGTGAATTATCAGCACATACAGTAGGGCTTCTAGCCTTCCATTGGTTACGCAAGTTACGGTAGCGCGCGATAGCGAATACAAAATGCCTGCAAAGTTGTTAATTGATGCAATTTTGGTCACTACTATGGATGTTTCGTATCGCAGATTTAATTGATTCTAGGAAGTCATGAAAACATCTGCATCTTCTTAAACACTGCGGCGGATCCTACACTGGAACGGGTTCTTACGCCTCGCTTAGCTCTAACCACAGCAGAATTCTTGGCCTACCAATGTGGGCGCCATGTAGTTGTTGTCATGACGGACATGACAGCCTATGCCGAGGCCGTAAGAGAGGTTATTTATGACTCACATACTGCAATTCATTAATGGATAATACTCCCGATTGGCAAAATTTAGGTCGCTGCAGCTCGAGGAGATGTGCCAGGACGTAGAGGATTTCCTGCTTATATGTACACCGATTTATCGAGTATATTCGAAAGAGCTGGTAGGATGAAAGGCAGGCGTGGAACAATCACTCAGCTACCGATTCTGACAATGCCAAATGATGGTAGGTACATTTCATTCAGACTCCATTATATTGTTTGAGATATAAAAATGTACATCTTCGGTTTAGAAATGCCATTAGCATTTGTTAAGTTTACTCTGTTTTGTTAGTTTAGTTTTTAATGCCATAAATCGGTTCTAATTAAGTAGGGCGAGATTTGAGGAAAGCTAGCTATAACTGACTTGATAAATGTTGGTAGATCTAAACTCTTGTAATACTACGAAGTTTTTCAACAACATCCTGGCAGAGTGAGATAATCGCGGTCCCTAATAGTGATATAAGAGCTGCAAATCATGGTGTTCTCTCTATCTTCCATTATATTCATATCAACTTCATGATTTTAGACTTGAGTTATTACAGATATTACCCACTGTGTGCCTGATCTCACTGGATATATAACAGAAGGCCAGGTAAGAAGTCTGATGAACTGTCGGAGAAGGAGTACGTCAGATACTTACAGATATATCTCGATAGACAATTGTGGAATCGCCATATTTATCCTCCGATCAACATTTTGCCATCGCTCAGTCGCTTGATGAAAACCGCAGTTGGTGCGAACATTTTGGTTGTTTAGGTTTTTGTTATTTTTTATTGCTTCCTAATTCTTTACCTTATTGTTAGGAGCTGGTACAACTAGAGAAGATCATGCGGATGTGTCGGATCAGCTATATGCTCTTTATGCTACAGCTAAGGAAGTCGCTACGTTTCGAACAGTGGTCAGTGAGTTTGATTATTCAAAGAAAGCAGTGGAGGAGCGAGGGAGGAGGCGGGGAAGGGGAGGGGGCGTCCTTTTCCCAGAAAGGGTCACGAATTTTCTAGAAATTGCTTACGTGAAGTATGAGAACAGTAAAGACTTGTTTTTGCTCACAAAAATTTCAACTAATTTTTAGAGCAAATCAAATCAGCACTGTAATAAAAAATTGACTACCACCACGCCCCTTTTCGGGTATTCCAGGATAATAAGCTCAAAAATTGGGAGCAAAAAAAATTTCTCGAGGCCATGTGAAAATCCGAATAATTTACCACTCCGCCACTGAAAGAAAGCGATTTGCGATATGAAATCATGATTGGAAAGACAAAAAGCCGTAAAAAGTGATAGATCAAGTCGACCCTTTCTCTATGCTATTTCAAAACTAGATAAAAAAATCTCACAATCAGATAAATGATCTTGGTAGGGGCTTTAAACTTGCGCTTCTAAGACTGGCTCATAGAATCATTTTCAAATATTCTTTGCGCTCCTTTCTTACCTCTCCCCTACCCTGTACCAAGCTTTGATAAATCATAGATTCTGCAAAAACCTTTCAAATAACTATTTTGTAGGTAGGAGTTGAAGCTCTCACGAGTGAAGACTACTTGCATTTGGAGTTTTTGAAGAAATTCGAAAAAGAATTTGTTTCTCAAGGTCAGACTTTTTACGTTCTTATATACTCTAGGATTTCCCATAAGAATAAAAATACATTCATTCAGATGTTTTTCTAAGCCTTCTCATTAGAGACCAAACCAAACCATCGGAGCAAAACTATATTAATATAATTTGAGGGCAACACGAACGACGAACGATTGTTGAATCATTGGATGCTGCTTGGCAATTACTACGAGTGTTTCCAAGAGAAATGCTAACAAGAATACCATCCCACATATTGGATAAGTACTATCCAAGGCGATAGCTTGCCCAAATAGAAATTTGCTTGATAATGGAAATTTGCTCGGAGTTTCTCTTGCCCTTATCATGAGAGATAGGGAAGTTATGAAAAAAAATGATTGATGTTCGGTTATTTTTATTTTGAACTTGTCTAATTAATCATGGGTTATTATACCAAAAATCAAGGTCTTTTCAATAAATTTGTGATGTGTCAAGTATTGATGGAAACTACGTGCAGCAGCTGAAGAATGGTTGAGAAAGCACATCCTTACTGCATTTTGCGCACGCACGCAGTCGCAGCGCGGTCGCTGACGCCTATGAGTTATAACGCATGACAGTAAGATAGTCGAACAAATCATATGTCATTACGAGTTGATCGTTCCATATGCTATCCGTAGAGGAAGTGCTTTGCTTCGCTGTAAAAGAAACGCAGATCTCAATCAAGACAGTTTTTTGTGCACTTATGAACACTCGCCAACTTTAATCTTAAAAAAATCTAAAAAGTAGCCTGCTGATCGGTCATATTATTTACAATCTATGATCAATAAGCTGACTTACTAGTGTAAGTTGTGGTTATCATTCGAACCTTTTCTATAAAAAAAAGTGATAAATCATTATTGATGAAAACTTTCCATTTGTCATAGATGGTATTGTTACATGTTGCTCACGCGAGCAACGCGGCGCCTACGATGACGCCTATGAGTTGCGATGCATGAACGCCTGCTACGATAAGACAGCCAATCAAACAAGTGCTTACGAGATCCTGTCGTGTGCTTGTCATGTCCAAGTAAAAAGGCACACTTGTTTTGCTTACTGCTGCTGCGAGCGGACGCGGCGCGTTCACTAACGCCTATGAGTTGCAACGCATGAACATGTGCTACTCTAATACAGTCAATCATATGCTTACAAGTTTGATCCTCACATGCTGTCTGTCATGTAGGCCGATCAACTTCGAGAGAATTGGCGTCATTTTTTAGTCATTTTTATACTATCAAAATTAGGATGTGGCAAGTGCTGATATACTTGCCATAAACGCCTATGAGTTGCAGCGCGAGAACTTGTGTTATATCAAGGCAGTCGATCTATATGTGTTTACGAGTGTTTGTCAAACCTATTCATTATGTAATTCTGCTCCGATCCAAGGAAAATGGCGTCATTTTTGATATTATCAAAATTATGTTGGGACAACTACTGACGTACATACCCATTTTACGAGATTGGCGGCGGCTGGAAGGCGACCGCTCGCGCCAGCGACGCAGTCTGCGTCTCTCTCGCGAAGGTGCTCTCTGATCATCCTCTGGTCTTGATTAGGTCACGATGCGCCACCTCCAAGCCGCCAATCCAGTTGAACAAAGAGTACTAGCCATGAATGGTAAGATACAGGTACAGTCGAGTAGGTTTCCCGGCTAATATAGTGTGCTTGCACGTGAAATGCGGTAGAATTTGCGCGTGAGAAATTAGCTTCGACTGTGACGCCAGCTAATTGCGCGCGCAAAATGCCGGCAGTGCTGGTGCAGCTACCTGTTCAACGCGCAAATTTTACGGCATTTCATAGACTGTGTAAGCACACTATATTAGGCGGAAAATCTACTCGACCGTAAAGCACACTCTTTCCACATGCTAGTCACGCAAGCGGACGCGGCACGTTCGCTGACGCCTATGAGTTGCAGCGCGAGAACTTGTGTCACGCAGTCGCTCAAACACGTGCTTACGAGTCTAACCCTGTCGTTTGCTGTCTGTCATGTAAATCCGATCCGATCCAAGGAAGATGGCATCATATTTTTTGCTAAAGATCAGATCTTATTTGAAACAGTTTTTGACACATTTATGAAAATTTTGCCAGCTTGATTTTCAACAATTTCGAAAGATGAAGTTTTCGTAAAGTTTCTCACTGCTATGTTATACATTGCACTTACTTGACAGTCCGACTATCACTCACCGTTTTTCACACATCTCACTTTTCACAGCCCATTCGCTGTTCCCCTCCCACGTTTCCCACCACCTGTGGCACCTACGCGACATCACCATCATCAAGGCACTTAAACACTTGATGATTCCCAGACGCGGGAGCACTTATTTTTCAGTTAGCTTATTTTCTGCCCTCAGTTATTAACCTATTAGCTCACAATTCGTCTGTTTATGACCGTGTTATCATGCCTTAGTGGTGTTTGATGTTCCGCCTGTTCAATCTCGAATTGTATGCCTGTGTGTGTGTTTGTGTACGGTTCGATCATACGTCAACAATCTCGTCTGTCTCGTCCTTAAATCAATGACCTATGCGATGGATGGGGTAAATGCGATAATGAACAAATACAACTTCCACATTTTGAAAGAGAATTTTGTATTTGTCTAGTAATATCAACTTTTATCATTCTCTTGAATTCTATGACTTTGATATTAGGCGGAGAGGAAGACCAAGCTCTAGTACAGCTTTTCTCAGACAATCGCAAATGATTTTCGAGGCAAACTGAATTTTTAAAACTTCCGGGCGGGGGGGGGGGGGACACTCCTATTGGAGCTACCAGATAGGGCGCAGGTAGGGCGGGGCCATCCTCACGGCTCAATAGCAGCGTCCCCCCCCCCCCTTCCAGAAGTTTCAGAAGCTCAGTTTTCCCCGGAAGTCATTTGCGATTGCCTGATTTGGCAAGAGGTCAGGTCGAGAAAATGCAAGCTTCCAAAAAATTGGCATTCATCCAATTTCACCACTTTCCGGTGGCAATGATTCATCTGTGGTGATTTCTTGAACAATAAGTACATGTATGAGTCATGCTTCAATTCCATATAAAACTGTAAAATTTGAAGAATGAATATTGCGCTTTTCAGATAAAATATTCACATTGTACTCGTATCTAGGTACTTTTTGTCGTCGTTCCTCAAAAGAACGCCAAAATAATCAATTTTCTCATGACTTCTATGTTTTTGATTTTTGCATTTCTACGGAAGGCTGTAATCTGAAAATCACGTGCATTTCTAGAGGAATTCTTGAGAATTCCTCTGGAAATGCAGGTCAATCTAGGTCATAGCTGGCGTGGTCCCAAAAAATACAACTCTTTGGGCACTTAGTTTTAGTGCACTTCCAAATTTCATCAATTCATTGATCAAAACATAACAGCTCAGAGCGTTATTAGTGCGGAGGAGGTGGGGGGGGGTGGGGGGGGGGGAGTATTTCGTACACTTTCAATAGTTTGTTAACCTTTCCAGAGTTTCCACCCATGATCGAGAATAGATTGTAAGAATTTTTTCGCAGATGCGAATAACGATAGCCACCCTAGTCGTACTTCCACACGCGTAACTTGCTTCAAGGTCATACGGCAGAAAAACCACCTTTTCAAATAAGTTCGATATTGGTGGGAAGTTTGAGTTTGGGCGCCAAGATGATAAGGACACGCACGAGGCGTCGGTGCTTTCGCCGGTTTATTTTAGCTTTTGAAAAGCGCTGATATCGAATTCTTGGCGCTCTCAGGTATGGCGCATCCTCCGGAATTTTCCCACATGAACCATCAACTTGGCTGCCTTTCGATCGTTTTAACAGGTTAATTTAGCAAATTCAAGGCGCGTTTGAGGTTGACATGTTAGAACGATCGAAAGGCAGCCACGTTGATGGTTCATATGAGAACAATTCTGGGAAATGCACCATACGTCACTTGTAAAACTCTGGCCCCTTATCCTTTCAATTTTGATGTTCACGATCGAAACGTAGCTCTCGTCGGCCGGTGGGACTCCGTGCAAACTCGCTGGCAAATCAATCAATTAGCCGCAGTGAACGCGTATCGAGAACAATCCCCAACACTACGAACAACTATGTACATACGCCGACGACGCCTCGAATAAAAAAACTTGCACTTTCTCGAAACGCCGTCGGAGAGTGCACTACACACATTCTTCGCTACTACACGCCAATGCACGCTTCGTGCCATCCGCGCTGACCTTTGCCGTTCTCGTGCGGCACCATGCCGTCGTGCCGAGCACGCATGCAAGCCGCGCGCGATGCCGCGCCGTCGCGCCGGTACGAATCTACGCTGCCATTCAATCGCATTTGTTTTTCGGGTGCATCGTCGGCGCTACTAGCTCAGGCCCAAATTTTTTCTTTCGCGGGTGTGTTTCGAATTTTCGAAAAGTCTGTTTTGATACTGGAGTTCGCTTTTGTGAAAGTGGTTGCTGGCTCGTTGCTTTATTGATTAGCACTTTATTTCATAACCCAACTCTTCCGCATTCTGAGCGGCACTCCATAAAACTTTCTCGAATGTTCTAGAAAGCTCTCAAAAGTATCCTACGCTTTTCCAATTAGTGTGACCTAATCTTATTTCATATGCGTGTTACTTGCTGCACTTTTTTCTTAGGAAATTGGCGCAAAATCTTTTCGCTACAGTCACACGTGCGTGTTGTCTACTTTGAAACCACGTGATTTTCTTTCCTAGTAGTGAGTGTTGCCATATGATTGCGTTTAACATTGGGGTGTGTCTAAAACAACTTAGTGTAATTTACGGTTACCTGTTAATCACCATCAAAAAAGTATACATGTACCTTGTCGATCAAAAGTTTGAACGAGAAGTAGTCCTATGGTTTTTTTGCACTTACGATATGATAATTGAGAAATCAGGGTTTACAAGATATCGATCCATTTTCTAAGTATTTTGATCAACAAACTTGCGAAGAGCATTTCACCTTGATTTGTGCTTTTGTAACTTTTATATCCTCATTATCTTAACTGATGCAATTATCTAGAACTGTTAAATATAAATGTTAAGATATACTCGATATAAAATGTATTCATATCCTGACCACACTTTAAGATTTAGCGGATTTGGTAAAGTGATCTCTGTTTTGCTTCCAGAGAACAATGGGATATCTAGATCGCAGATTTGTTAAAGCATTCTTCTCACTCAGTTTAGGGTTTGGTAACAGCTCCAGAAAAATGAACGTTTATGATAGGGGCTTTCAAATTGATTGTCACTTTTTATGAGTCTTTATAGTGTTTTTTCTAGAAACCTAAACTGTTGAGAACATTCCACAAATATTCAGGTGTTCAAAGAATAATTGAGGCATCACTATTGCTTTGGACCAGTAACGCTACAAATCATATCTGTTCTAATGTGCGCCAAGTTATCATAAACGTCATTTGTCTTGTTTTTTTTTTACGACCACCCCGTTTTCCATGATCAACTGGGCTGCATATTTCCCTTTTCCTTTCGATCTTTGTCTAGCCCCTCGGAATTTCGAGTTCAGATTGAGATCTGATTATATTATTTGTACATAGTGATCATTATTCTTTCGATGGGCACAAACCTTGAACCTTCTTTTCCATCATTACCTGTCTATGATTGAATTTCGCACATATAACTCATAAATCATTCTTTTACGTCAATTCTGTGAATTTCTCATTACTTTTCTTGTGCATAATGAGCGGAACGATGTTTAGCCTTATATTTTTGTTCATGTGTTGTTTATATCGCTTTAATCTCATTTTTCAACACTACTTCACAGCAAGCATTCCAAAATTTCGGAATCAGTCCGTGAATCTGACGCACTTTCACAAAGATGATCCTCTTGTCACACGTTGACGTCTTTTTGCGGAATCACGGTATGCATACGGTAACATGGGTTTAGGTGCTCGAAGTTTTTACTTTTTGGCTTTTTTTTTTAATATTGATAGTTTGTTTGATTATATGATACGTGCAGAAAAGACTATATTGCGACTTTGATATTATACTCATGATTAGCATGCTAATTAAGAGTATGATATCACCTAGATATAGTTTTAGGAAAGTCCGTGATTTTAAGTCGCCTGCTGTGTACTACCGTAAGCTCACAAAAAGGCAATAAAATGCATAGTGTATTGATTTGTGATTGTCGTGTCTATTAGTATTTCAGACAAGAAGCAGTATTGGAGTTTTGAAATCAAGCTAGCTGTTATGGCGCCCTCTCGTATCTTTGTTATGTCAGAAACTACTCTTTCATCCCCATCGTAATATTCATTCTCATATTAGTCCTTTCTAAATCAGGCGCATCGTACATCTATTTATTTGCACTTTGGTGAATTTATATTGTGTGATGCTTTATTGAGCATTGCACTTTACTCATTTTGATTTACACCATTTCTACAGCCATAGATAGAAGAAATACCTTTTCATTTTTTTGGATTGCTTGAGTTCTTCGTTCCGCTATAACTTTGAAAAATTACCGACGGTTCTTTTTCAGATTAGTTTGTATATAGTATCTCCACTGCCTACTGTGGGGATAGTCTTACTGCATCCAACCCGCTCCGGTGATCATTCAATTCTGTGTGAAGTGAATTCAACCGGCGACACGACGACGAAGGCCTAGTTGACTACATTGGGACACCGCTTCTTTGTATATACTGTACAGAACCATTTTCTCTACTAACATTGTACAGTAGTGTTGCTATATTCTGTGTCTGTCACCGATCTGCACGATTTACAAGTGAAATCAATAGTTACAAATGGCTGAACCACAGTGGTCGAACGGTTTCAATCCGAATGTGTGGAATGGAGTGGCAGCTGGTCGTGTCGGTAAGTTTTTTCATTTCATTATGGTATTTTTATTAGCACGGATACCAAACTTGCGTTATGCTTACTGTTCTTTACAGGTTAGGAAATTTCAGTTTTACCAGTTTTGATTATTTTTGTTTTGAATATTTTCTCATCTCATAATTTCATGCCCTTTTGCAACTATCTGGAGACAGTAGTAGAAGCTTACAGTACTGTGAAAGTAATCAAAAAAGCAAGGTGCTTGTAATGTTCTCAAAGAGGTTAAATTTTGATTTCCGTATTTGCATGTTGTTTGGAGTGATTTCATCACATCTGTACTCTCATTCTTTTCATTTGGATGAATATGCATCTGGAATGTTTCTTTTCACTTTCACCAAATCTAGTGAGGTCTTATCGTCCTCCTCTTCCATGCTTCTGATTTATGCTGGAAGAGGAGGACGATAAGATCTTACTAGATCTACTTTTGACGGTGAAAAGAGACATTTCAAATGCATGCTCATTCATATGAAAAAATTGAGAGGACAGACAAAAGAAAAATGTGATAGGAGCTTCAAAAATCTGAGTTATATCTTTACTACCATTGCATCCGCAATTCTTGATTAATGCTTTATATATAGTTTCTAGCCTATGAATTCGATTACATTTATATGGCGATTTAAACACGTCGACGGAAGCATCATAAATTTTTTTAATACTCTCTAGTTTTTTTTCGCAACACTGCAAACTGAGAATCTTTTATGTTCCAGATCATTCGGTCAGCAAGCCAATCATGGTAGCTAACGCTAACAACGCTAGTCAAGCCGCTTCACCGCATTCGGAATCTTATGGGCCGGGCGTGCTACAAATGGTTGTCGACAATGTACTGAGTGGATCGCCGGCATCGGTCAATGCGAAATTTGTCAGTTTGATCACCAATTTTTTTGAAATGTTTTGCACTTTAATTTTGCCACTATTGTTGGAATTAGTTTTGTGAAATAGCGCTTGAGAACCATATTTATTTCTTTAATTTGCTGGGGAGGTTGTTTCACTTTCTTTTGCGCTGTTTTTTCTTGCGCGAAAGCCTGAGATGCATCAAAACACGTTTCATCTGATCTGAAATGGCATGGCGATGGTTGGATGTTAACCTGTGCTGTAATAATCATCGAGTGTCATGGAGTATATTTCGTATTTGAAGGGTCCCCCAAGTACAAGAGGAGAGGTGTCACTGCGCATCATCGAAGGAAAAAAGTAATAAACTAATATTTTTTTGCACGTTCGTCCTCCATAATTATTCTACCATTCTAGCGAAGAGAAAAGAAACGACAATGGACCTGTGGGCCTACCTATTCCATACGGAATGCCCATGTTCAATCCTCAGGGTGTGGAAGCACAAGGTGGAACACCAGATTTCCAGGTAATTAGAATGATATATCCGCTTGAATATATAAGGGTTTTGATTTGTTCTCCTGAGTTCATTCCAAAACGCTTTTTTTTCAATTTCTATGGATCTTAGCTTTTTTTCTCTTTTCTATAGTATTTGCTTCTAGATGGCGCCGTTTCTGTTCCAAGGTGGTCATGTCATTGGTGGAAATACAACGATGCCATTCGGCTCTGGTTCTCCAGCTGCACCGGGATTTGGTTATGGAGCCTGGAGTGGGATGTACCCACCACACCAAGCGCCGACAACATCAACGAGCGATGATTGCTTGAAGAAGGGTGGAGGTGGTTACAGCTTCTACCGTATTTTTGGGGTGAATATGTTTGCTTCACTACAGGTTTTCCAGGAATGCCTATCGGAGGTCCAGGAACGGTTTCAACGAATATGTTCTCCACATCACCCCCATTTCCATATCAGAATCCTATGCTGGGCGTTACAAATAGTCTGTCGAACTTATCGATTGGTGGACAGCAGATCACGAGCCCTCTACGTCCGGATCAGCCCTTCCCTGGTTCGTCATCGTAATTAGCTTTTTGATTCTCATCTATCTATTCATCTTCTCAGGTCAGTCCAATGCGTTACCGAATTTGACGGCTCCTCACATGATGTATATGCAGTACAACCAGTCCAATCCGCAAACTCCCACACTTGGCAACAGTCCAACATTCTTTGGTGAGTGTTGTATCCTGGAGTTGTTTCATAGATAAAAATGATTCGATTAAGGAAGTGCAATGAATGGTATACAGAATATGAGTTTGGCACCGGGAAGCGCTTTGACGGGTTACGGTGCTTCTCGTGCACCTTTCTTCAATCCACAGCCTCAACCAAACAATGTGCCAGCGTTCAATGGTATGCATCAGAGAAGACTTATGGATGAAGCTGGACCGAGGTCTGTAAACATGTTTTCCATTAATTAATATTTCTGTGATTCGTCATTATATCAAATTTGGAGTTAGTCTAGAGTTTAGTCGTGGCTTTGAGCTTGAAAGTTCTTTCTGCATCTTTTATTCAAACCTTCTAATTTCTTTTCCAGAGTACCGGGAAATCGCAGTCATATACTTGAGGACTTCCGTAATAATCGAACTCCTCCACTCCAAATCACTGACATTCTATCGCATGTGGTGGAGTTTGCTAAAGATCAGCATGGATCCAGGTAAGCTCCTATTTGTGGCGATTAGGTACTTTTTTCTTCCACTCTTTTTTGTACGTTTGTTAAGAGGACTATAATGGCGTAATCGCAGCGATGATACTTCAAGATTTCATTCTTTTCACTTGTCTTCTTCTTGTTATAGGTTCATCCAGCAAAAACTTGAACGAGCGTCTGTCAAAGAGAAGCAACTGTTGTTCGAGGAAGTACTGGCAAATGCTCATGCGTTGATGGTAGATGTGTTTGGGAACTATGTCATCCAGGTATATTATGAAAAATGAGTGATAATGCTGCTGAAGAATTGTATATTGTAGAAGTTCTTCGAATTTGGCACACCGGAACAAAAAGCGGCTTTGGGACGTTCTTTGAAGGGTAATGTGATGAATCTGGCGCTCCAAATGTACGGATGCCGGGTGATCCAGAAGGCTATGGAGTCTATCGATGAGTCATTGCAGCTAGAGATACTCAAAGAAATGGAGGGACATGTGAGTGCTATACATATCACTCATTATCGTGGTGTTGAGAAGGTCATCCATCTTGATTTGTAGGTGCTGAAGTGCGTCAAGGATCAGAATGGAAATCATGTTGTCCAGAAGGTCATTGAGAAAGTCAAGCCGGAACGTCTTCAGTTCATCATCAACACGTTCACTAAGAATGGACCCGACACGGTATGATTGTTGGAAGATGTTCTGTGTTGAAATAACTGGTGGGCTTTAGATCACACAACTATCAATGCATCCGTATGGGTGTAGAGTCATTCAAAGAGTGTTGGAGCACTGCTCGGAAGAACAGAAGCGGCCTGTACTAGAAGCACTGCATGCGAATATGAGTACATTGATCGTTGACCAGTATGGTAATTATGTGGTCCAGCATGTCATTGAACACGGCAGCAATCAAGACAGAGATAGAATTGTGCAAGAGGTCAGCATACTTGCTATATCTGCATAAATTGAAACGCTCTTCAAAAGGCGACATCTGGCTTTTTTTTTCAGCATCAGTACTGTAAAATTTCAGGTGGCAGGCAATGTTTTGCGTTATGCGCAACATAAGTTTGCCTCGAATGTCATTGAGAAATGCCTAATATGTGCTGGAAGTCATCACAAAACGCTTCTTATTGATGAAGTCTGTGGCACGCCGAATGAGTGAGTTCACTTATGGTTCTGTTCACGTTTTTGTTTCTATTTGCCTCGTTTCCATTTACTACCTAATTTCCTGTATTGTAGCCCACAACCACCCATTTTGCTTATGATGAAAGACCAGTTTGCAAACTACGTTGTACAGAAGATGTTAGACATCGCAGATCCGGTGTATCGTAAAAAGATGATGTATGCGATAAAACCACATATCCCGGTACTGCGCAAATATAGCTACGGAAAACATATAATCAGTGAGTGTCAAGCTTTCCAATGAATCCGAAGTTATGCTTTATCTTTGGCATTTCAAATTTTTCTTTCAGCCAAACTCGAGAAATACTTCCAAAAACAACAGTACAATCATGCACAGCACCAGCATCCACAGTACGACATGGCCGGAATGCAGGTCGCAAATGTTAATCCCGCAGTGATGTAGAGAGGCGAGCGGTGTTTCCCTTGGCGTTTACCTTCCTTTTTTTCTTTTCGTCCGTGTTGGCTGTAATCGCAGTGAAAACTGCTCGGATTACAAAAATATCGGTTTCTTTTAGCTCCACACTACCACAGATGTGTATTTTTTGATTTTTTGCAGTGCTCAGCGACAGAATTTCTATCGCTTTTTCGTTTTATCCACAGGTGTTAGTAGAGTCATATTTGTATAAACTCCACGTTCATATATAGCGAAGTGAACCGGAATGGGTTCTCGTTATCCCCCGTCAGCCACTCGCCCTAAGCACTGTCGATCAAAGCGACATGTATGATGATTATGTAAAGTTGAGTTGCGAAAATTGTGTATCTTCTTGTATTCATCTGTTCACACGTTTTGCTAATCTTGTTAACTTGACCGTTTGTTTATATCATAGATTTGTTTGTAATTAAGATTGATTAAGAAAGCTCTTCTTTACTGAATATATTAGTGTTACCACTATATAGCGATGCTTAGCCAGTAATGATGGCACAGTATTCTGATCTACAGAAATCCATAGCAAGCCTGTGCACAGCGCACGCATATGTGCATGCCAAGGCGCTAATTGGTTTTAGTTTCTCCATATCTTTCTCTATTTTTTTTTCGTTTTGCGTGTTGGCTAGGGCACGTGGTTGTATCAACCTTGTTGTGTTATTACTTGTTACATTGCTAGCGCATAAAAATCGTACCGTCTTTCCTGTGGGATCGTGCACTGAAACAAAAAAAAACAAAATTGGCGTGACATCATCATGCAAATGCAAAGTCCTTCGTCGGAAATTGATTCATGTTAGACTTATAAATTGGCTGAGATGTGTAATTGTGCGCAGGGATTGACTTCAACAATGAAATTACGCTCGCATGATTAGCACATTGCCTTTTTCGCTATATTTCTCACTAGAGTTTCCATGGTTGCAAGCTTGGGCGTTTCGCTACTTGGAATGATTTCAATTTGAAGGGGTGAAACATGTTTTCACTAAGTGATATATTGTGACATACAAACCAAGTTCTGTTGTGTGCCTCATTTATTCACTTCGTTAGCAATGGTCAGTCCAGTCACGGAGAATCCGATTCGTGAGTCTTCACGAATGTTGTGGCCGGAAAGCTTTCAGTCCGATACTTTGCCAGAGGCCAAGAACACAATATTGAGCACCTAGGAAATCGACGGGTGCGAATAATCGCCAAAGCTGCATTTCAATTTCACCTGAATAGGCTTTAGATGCGCGGCACCAACACATAGTGGTTGACACTATCTTGGGGACGCTTTGCGGAAGAGATCTGTGTCTGGTGTAGGTTAGCAAAATTCATGACTGAGATCACGTTCCTTGAAGGCAGTGTTCGCGTTGAAAATTTGCGGATGGAGCGCATATGCTGGAGTTTTTCGCCTCATAGTTTTAGGAGTGCCACATCTACTTGCAAAACGCACAGTATGAGAATTCTCCTTACACTCTGCTTTGCGAATAGGAGCAGTTGCGCTATCCTTGAAATGTAGGACACAGTATCAGGTGAATACGGTGGTCGGGATTTCGTTTTGATGGTCGCACATCCGAATAACTTCTGAAGGGTGGTAACTCTGAATTCGAGACAGCTGACTCTTCAGCATATTCTTGCACCACACGAGCGAGCAGTGGAGTAAGAATAAACTCAGCTTAAAGACTTTCAATTGTGATAAGATCAACATTTTGAATGCTTCAATACGATGAGCAGTGTCAAGTAAGGTTGATTCATGGTAGTCTCTATGCTATGGGTGAATTTTCGATAATCCAAAACTTTCTGATGGTTGTCTTGCTCTCCAAAAGGAAATTCAAAGAGGAACTGATTGTACGAGCTGAAAACCACTTTATCAGTAGAGGTCATGCTAAGCAAGACGTATTTTTTGAAGCTTTCTTTAAATATCTCAATGGTTGTTGCTTTTTGTTGCAATGTTTGTTTTCCTTGATTATCTTTCCTAGTGACATTATCCGAGAACGAAGAAAATTGGTAGGGTATGCGAAATCATCACAATTCTTTCCGTTTTGCACTTCCCGATAATTAGATCGTCTGAGCCAAGCATGGTGATTTGATAACTGACGCAGAGGTAATGTAGAGTACCTGGAACGTAGTAAATTATTTCAGTAGGGTGTCCGTCGATACTAAATGTTCCATCGGTTTGCTCTCCGCTGTCAAGTATCAATCTCTCCGACATTGAGTCGCATAAATACCATACTCGGATGGACGATCCCCCCCCCCCCCCATCTCATGGTTTGAGTTTCTGCCTCGATAGAAAAACGTCCATCAGTGCTTAAAAGGCGTCCCGGCAGAATGATGGGTACCTTTTACACTGTTGCAATGGTAGACCCCCTCATCTAATCTGTCAGTGAAGTCTGGAGCAAAAAAGTGCTTCTGGAATGCCCAAAATTACCGGACCCCGCTCACTTCTTACACTTTGGAGCCAACGCGGAGAGGAGAGCTTCGTAAAAAGCTCATTTTTGCCAACTGGAGACGCTGAAAAGCATAGATATGGCTTCAGCATGGCGAGAAATACTACATTGACACTCCTTGACCAGATTCATGGTAGCTTCTATCGGCTATGATCTGATGGAAGAGTGATGTGAACAAAATTAGTTCAAGTTAATCTCTATACTTCCGCAAATATGTCGTCTGGTCCCAGAACCTTATTTCTGGACATCTTCTTCAGGATCCTACTTCTGCCTCTGCACGATTCGAAGTACCAGCCAGCAGGTCTTCCCAACTCATCGTAAAGCTTCTTGTTAGTGAGCCTGGGCTTCCTTTGCCTCACTTACCGCACATTTCGTTCTCAAGTTCAGTTGTTGATACTGACCGAAATCATCATCCAGATAATCTCGTTGCCAGGTCCTGTGGCTTCTTTCTTCTTATGAATTTGCACAAGTGATTTGAATCACCACTATATATGCATGTCGACAAATCGGCGGCTGTTTACAGGGGGAAGGTCCCAACAATTCCATGCCCCCGATCGTAGCCCCGAAGTACTCCGATATCATCGGTCTTCCAGCGATTTTCCATCATCAATCTACACCAAAGCCTTGATAGTTTCGACTTCCTGGCGGTGCTCAAAAAGCTTTTACCTTTTGATCGTCTTTGTCCTCGTCGGTTCGTAGTTGCAAGCGGATGTTTTTTCGGAGTTTCATAGAGGAAGCTATGTTGTGTCACGAATGCTTTTGTCGCTGTAGTTATGGCTCGGCACCATCGGTAGATAGTGCGCAGCATCCAGTGGTCGATCTGAGCGATCTCCACTCGCATATGTGATCAAGTGTGATCCTCGCTTTCTGAAGAAAATGTTCAACAGCTATTTTTCGTTTCGGCGGATCTACTCTGGATCTGTTCTGAACAGGGTCAAGCGTGCTGATGCGATCCGGGACCCTCATTTACGACCCCCCCCCTTGAAAGTACCCATCCCCCCACCCTTCGCCCTCCCTCCCCCCAACCCTCACCCATTTATCCCCCTTACCTCCCCTGTCCACATTCCTCGCGGTAACCTGTATAAACGAATGCCAATCTCAAAAAACACCTGCATGAGAACTTCAGTGAGGTTTCGGAAGCAGAATTTCTAGGCCAATGGGTGCGTCCATCATCTGTAGCACACATACACACCTTTAATAATGTTTGAGATTCTGCAAGTTTTTTTTTTGAATTTTCAGGCATACTTCAGGCCAGCAACTTCGATTCCCGTAGGCGACACAAATTTTTGCACGGAGAAAAAAAATGACATTCTTGAACTACAAAAGATGTTTTCGACTAAGAAGCTTACTTCCTACCTTTTCCACAGTTTTTCTCGCGAAAAAAACCGCTCGAGCGCCGTCCAGAACGACGTTAAAAATAGTTTGAAAATTCGTAACTAAGGCCAGGAAAAGACTGAGAGGCTGCAAAGCACAGGTTCTGTAGTATAGTGCCCAGATTATCCAAAGAAAAGGTTTCAGCTCTTGAGGAGCAGTAAGCTCGAAAAAATTTAGATGCGACTCTCGCAAATTTAGATGCGATTTTAAAAAGCAAAAACTGGGATTTTTGAGCTTAAAATTTTGTAACTTACCAGAGAAGTTATAAAACAGCCTGCAATTTTTGTGAGGGAAAGCAGGAGGATGGCCTCATATTACAGCAGAATTGCAGCCAACAAGCTTCGATAGCTCCGAAGAAATTTAGATGCGACCCAGATACGACCCCTCCCCCCTTTCCTGAGTTTTTGCTACCATACATAAAATCATAAGAAAATCCACAGTTGACAAAATAACACCAAATTTTGCACTGATATAGCGAAGCATCTCAAAAGTACAGATAAATCATATGAGCTCGTGAAAAACCTTACAAAAAGATTTAGAATTTTATGAGGGTCACAGTCACAGCTGCTAAAGACATTCGCTTTTGTCGAGTATGTAAGACTTCAGGAAGGCTTCAGAAGCAAGATTTCTAGGGCAATCGGTACATTTAGCTTTTTCATCAAATAATACATGCTTCAAAAGTGTTTTGAGCTCTTGTAAATGTCTTTTTTGAGAATTCCTACAGATTTTTTATCTTTTTTATTCTGATTTCCACTTTTTCATAGGTTTATTGTAAAGAACATAACTAATTGTCTGCTTTTTGATTCCCTTTGAAGCCCAGGGTATTCTAGCCTAACTACCTCCTCTTACGACCCCCCCCCCCCCTCCACACCATAGATACCCTCTTACGATCCCCCGTTGCGACAGCCGCATCACAAGCTTGACCCTGGTTCTTAATCTGCTTTTAGTAGCTGCGAAACGTTCAACCCACGACGACGCCTAATTTTGCGTGGCTGGCTGTGGGACGATGCAATTTTGCACAACACTTTCGGCATGGAAAGGTTTTGTGGTTATTTACGTAATGCAAGGTCGTATTGTAAACAACTATAGATGTTTTCTTGAACGATGGAGAATTACACGTCCAAAAGTGCAAAAAATTGGAAAAAATATCAATATGTGAAAAAATATTAGACCTACAAAGGATATGGTTGCAAGAGGTGTGTGGGTCACCGGTGCTCCACGTCGTCCCTGGCAGCAAAAATTGTGTGGGCCACCGATGGCCCACATTGTCGTCAGTGGGTTAAAAGATGTTGTGAGCGTTAGAAACGTTGATTGATTGGAATTTAAATGAGCAATACCCGTCAGAGGCTGCCCTGTAAGATAAACGACGATCTTGAGTACCATCGAGTTGTTTACAGCACGAATTCACCGTAGATTTCAAAGCACGAGTGGCGCTGCCACGCCTTTGCACCAACACAAACCGCTATTTACTCCTGCTTTTGTGATATTTCAGCCGCACCGCGCTTCGCCAGTCCGTGCGTTCGAGGACTCGACCATACAATAATTATAAGGAAAGCAGAAACCCATTAGAAGCCAGCATAGGTGGTTTTGAGAGGCTTTTCGGTAATCTTATGCTACTAGAGGCCTATGAGGACAATGAGCGCTTGTAACTTCTGAAAGTCTTTCGCAGAAAAGAAAAGCAGATTTGGAATGAACGTCAGAATACTCGTCTTTAGATATATATAGGCTGCTGCATGACGAAGGCGTAATATCTTTAGGCGCGAACGCGGCTTTACTGGCCACAAAGCGCATGAGGCGCAGGATCTACAACAGTGGGGATACGCGCGCGTCGCGTTCGCGCCCGCTCAACTACTGATGCTTCTGCGCCTTCGTCATGCAGTAGCCTTAACTTCCCAATATGTTAAGCGAATTGATACCCTTAAAGTGGCTACTCAATGGGCTCACGAAACCTAAATGTTATCCGAGGCCTAGTGCTTGCCCGGTATCGTTCAGACCGCGCACAAAGGCGCACGAAGGCACACGAAGGCGCGTGTGAGTGTGTGTGTGTGTCGAGATAAACGAGACGAGACGAGACGCGCCTTCGTGCGCCTTTATACGCCTTCGTGCGCCTTCATGCGCCTTTGTGCGCCGTATGAACGATCCCTAAGCGAGGAACTTATCCCGCGGCGTACCTATCGCGCGACTGTGTAACAAGAGACAAATTATGTTATTTATCCTTATGGCATACTCTGAACTCAAAAGAAACGGAACACTAAAAAAAGCAAGTTATTACTACTACCAATAACACATGGGACGAGGGCCCGTCCAATGCTACCGATGTTCGTCCGTGTAAGTAATCTCAAACACATGGCTCTTGAGAGTTAGCGCAACAATGCAGGACCACATTATCATCTGATAAGTAAGATCAATGAAGAAGTAGGAGGCAGCCGGGCCGCCTTTTATGGTCGCTAGCTATATACTGTAGCTAAGGTCAGCGCCGGATTCCGACGGATAATGGTTTCTTACTACTAGTTAGCGGATTATAGACGCGTCTTAGTAAGACTGGCAAGTTGGAGTTTTAAGATCTACAGGGGTTAAAGGGGACGTGCCGTACTCTGCAACCTTGGCGTTGCGAGGTGGATTTGTTGCGCTAACTCTAACTAACTTTCGTAGAGATATACCTTGCATTGACGAAAACAACATGAAACTTGAAGATTTTTTGAAATATACAGTGCTGGACATAATTATAAAGCCACTCTTGGTGCAAAAGTTTTGTGTGTTTCTTCAATCCATTAGCAGACACGCCAGAATGAAGATAAACAAACGCTTCAAAAAGTATCCAATGCAAAATTTCTTTTCCTTTCTAGCTGCTTAACTCCCATTGTGTTTCGTTGAGAGAATGAGGAGATATTTGCCGGAAATTACAAGAGCTCGTTTTTACCATGCCCAACTTTCACTAATTTTCAGGTTTTTTGTATGAGATTTTCGGAGGAGCCCTAATAAGCACTAGATAGGGCAAACATGCCAACATAAGCAATTTTTTTTAGGCTTAGGCCTTGTCTTTCAGAGTTTCTACGAAATTTATGGGGAAAATCGCAGTATTTCTCAATTTCATGAGTGCGCACTGAGTAACCTACGTTTCAGAATCTTCATAATTTGAAGCGAAAATCGCTCATTTACTTTCTAGTGGTAGCAGTAGTAATATCCGTGTGTTGAAACCTTAGTATTCTGTAGGTTTTGCAGTGTCTGGTACAATAAAAGGTTATGCGATTTTTTCAAAACACAAGACTTTCAGAAAATTACTTAGCAAAATCCCGAAAAAGCAGCTAAAAAAAGAAAAAAATTGCTTCCGCTGGCAAAAGATTTGCCCTATATGGAGTTTATTAGGGCTCCTCCGAAAATCTCATACAAAAATTTTGAAAATTAGTGAAAGTTGGACATGGTAAAAACGAGTGGTTATAATTTCCGGCGAACATCTTGTCATTTTCTCAGCGAAAAACAACGGGAATTTAGCAGCTGGAAAGAGGAAGAAATTCTGCATCGGATACTTTTTAAAGTTCATAATCTTCAAATCTATTGTGCCGTACAGGTTTGTTATGGTGGCAGATTTATTCGTACTGGCCTAACGTTTCGACGCTTTCGTCGTCCTGAGAGGCCTGAAAACGACTCAAGGCATCATCCATAATACCAGACCACCAGATATCTCCTCTAACTCAGTCAGTTTCGACTTCATTCCAACTTCGCGTCGCAAAAATCCTCAAGACGGATATACCACCCTTGCACCACCGCTATGTCCGTACGACTGGATGTGACAAAAGTTGACGGACAAGTGAGTGATACAGTAGAATGCGCATCAAGTCGCTATCCACTATCTATAACTCACACAGTGGTATATACGGCAGAAACTCAGCGGTTATAGACAGACACTCATTCTTGTTATTCATTTCTGGAGTCTTTGCGGATATCCAGAAAGCCTCTAGAATTTTTCTAGCCGTAATATCTGTTTCAAACGCCAGAATTTTGCATTTGACTGCAAAATCATTTCCCTCATGCGCTCACTCCTATGTTTGCCCAACGGGGTTACTAAACTCTTCCGTCTCTTGCCTGCCAGATGTTCTTTCAAGCGTACGCGTAACACACTACCAGTTTCACCAATATACATTGCTTCGCAATCGAGGCATTCGAGTTGGTATACTACTCCCATCCTTGCGCAGTCGCCTTCTCTGCTGTATGGACACACAATGCAATTCTCCGTTATACATTGTCGATCGTAAAGGCGATTACGGACAAGCTGTTTTTAAAGTGTTTGTTTATCTTCATTTTAGCGTGCTTGCCAATGAATTGAAAAAACTGACAAAACTTTTGCACCAAGAGTGGCTTTATAATTATGTCCAGCATTGTAGTGAACGCCGACAGTCGTTCGCAACGACCGCTCACGCACGCTGATGTTCAAGGCACGGCGCGGGAAATTAGGTTTTACGGCGCCTATAGATAAATACCTGCATAAGGCCTTAGAGTAACGACTTTATCACAAAGCAGCTGCTAATCCTACAAATTAATTTAGGTGCGAATACTTGTATAGAACCGTTGAAATTTACGGACTCACACCTAAAAGTTGGGCACAACTCTGACTTTTTTGGAAATTTGATGAGAGCAGTGGTTGGACACTTGGAACCCGAAGCGAGACAAGTTACTGTTATTGAAAAGCAAAATTCATTGGAGAGATTATTTGGTTTAGGAGTTCATCACAATCATTACAACTCATTCTGATGAAAACATTCCTAATAGCATGTGGACTAATGTAATCAACGAGTGATGTGTGGATTTTATTTAAACGATGCTTTATTTCCAGACCGTATTTCTAATTATCTTTTTCGCCTTTCTAGCTATTGCCTTTGTTTTGCTGGCAACACTACTATATAGGCTAGTGACGAAGTGGACCAAATTTCGAAGGGTACCCGTCACGTTGCCACATTTATAGTTTGCTGATAGAGTGTAGTGCAGAGAATGAAACACAAACCGCGTACTCTACTGGGAAGTGGCTTCGTGCTTATACTTGGTGTAGTATCTTCTAGCTGCCTAATCGCTGTAATATCGAGATGGTCTTCAAATTTCAAAGATGCCGAAGAATTTCGGAGCTACATGATGTCCACTGCAGGTACGTCGGTTAAACCCTTTGGAAACTACCAGTATCAGCTGATAATTCTTTCACTCTGAGCGAAGATTGCGACATGAAACATACTTTTCTCGATACTATTGGGCGATGTTCCAGTTCCTGACGTTTGGTTTGCGTTATTAGCATATCTCTCAAGATATACCGCAGGGGAATGCGGTGCGGCTTTCCTCCATAACACCTTCCCCTTGAGTGAGTAGTGAGCCATTTCGATGCTAGTCGTACCTGTGGTGTGGCCTGTCGCTCGCTTTGTGAAATTTTGTTGTCTTTAGAGGCAGCGTCCGGGCAAGTCTGGACACATGGGGATCTCAGCTGGATGGTAATTTTACGGCCCTAACTAAGCCATTGCCCAACTGGTAGCTCAGCTAGTGCTCTAACGGATGAGATATTCCCTCTAAACTGGACTCCGGGGTCGTATTTCGCATTGACTCATGGCGCGACGCGCGGATCCTCGCGCGAAACTGCCATGAATCCATGCGGATATGATTATGGGGTCCAGTTTGGAGGCGTATATCCCAGCCGCTCGTGAGTCACATGCACTGCCGCCTGGGCAGTGCCTTAGTTAGGGCCCCAAAATCACTTTCCACGTAAAGTTGCCATAGGTTCAGATCTGCCTGGGTGCTGCCTTTAACCGCTTAGAATCCAACGGTAACCCGAAATTGAATAAAAGTGAGCGCAAAAAGGTGCAAGTTTTCTTTAGCAACATACTTTATCCCTAATGCATCCAAAGCCAGCTCACAAAAAGCAGCAGGTATAGAAATCGATAGCGCTTCACAGTCATTAGCGCGATTTGTCTGAGTCGAAAAGTTGTAAAATTACCCATCAAACCATGGTAATAGCTAAACAGCTCAGTCAGTTCATGCCAACTGATATTGATAGGCTGACTTGACAAGTATGGTCTGTCTTAGCTAGGCCAACTCAGATATATTTGTACGGCATAGCTTTTGGCATATTGAGACATTAGATTATGACGGAAAGTCTATTTTAACAAGTCTCTTCCACTACATGGATAACTCTGCTCATATGCAACGATTAAGCCAACGATTCCTACTTTGTTGCGTACTCGAAAGCAATGTTATGTAGTGCATCTAATGCAAATGAAACAGCTCTATCCTCGTTCAAAGCGCAGTATGGCTCTTTGCTTACTGAATTAAACAAGTACACAACAGCCGTTGGGGTACGTAGATTGGCAAGTTGCCTATGAGTTGCAAAACACCTTGAAAATTTTTTAGGCAGTTAAAGTGTCAAGAAAATATCTTGAACAGTTTATGAAATCCACAGAAGAATGTAATGGGACAGAACTGGAAGACCTGGTTGTGCTGTAACATCAGTCGTAGGTTAACCATTGGTTTTTCAGAGAAAATATGTGAAAAGCCAACGTAAGAGCAAGCATGAGTCATTTCTCACTGTTGTAAGTGTATCTGCATGCTTTGAAAGTTTTACTCTTTTAACAACTTTCCTATGATTGTTGAGTCTCAACAATCAGTTAACCCTATCTTTTTTATAAGCCTAGGCTGTAGAAGCAATGAATCAAGTGCATAACTTTCGCAAGGCCATTTTTTCAATGTTCAGTACATATGAAAGCATTGCAAAACAGGTGAGTTTTTTTGGACTACTAGCATTACTAATCGTTGTATCACAGGTCATCAAACAAATAGGAAGGCGAACAATCAATCTTGAAGAGAAGATAGCAGATTTTGTTGTCACAAATGTGGGCAATCATATCAAGTTGTGTGTAAATAAGCGTTTGTTGGGATTGGCAGTAATTTTAAGTCAAGAAAATCATGTAGGGCCAAGTTTAGGAAAGGAAGCAAACTTCGCAATGACCTCCAGGCTCTAAATAACAGAACGTTCATTTTCGGCTTTTTGCTTGGCATTTATTATTGTGCAGAAGTCGTCAGACATTGTAATGGCACATTGGCGCTTCTCTCATATGGATAGACTAAATGGCTTACCCGGCTCCGCTCGGCCATGTCAAAACACTATGGTAAAGCTCCCATCCCTATCCCTGTACAACCTTTCCCTGTACCCACTTCGACATACCAACTCCAACCCCCTATTCCTGCTATGTTAGTTATCAGCATGCTCGATTACCCCCCTGTGCCAACTCTCAGCTCCGTAGCTCAAAGTTTGCAAAAAATTGATGAAATAGATAACACTAACGGATAATTCCAAAAACTAATATTGTATTCGTAATCAGCATGCTCGATTACCCCCCCCCCCCCTGTGCCAACTCCCAGCCCGGTAGGTAAGCTCAGCAAAAAATCGGTAAAAATCGATAAAATCGATATCGGTCGATGACGAAAAGTAGCCTATGACACCCGCCCGGTCCTGAAGTGTATGTATGCCAAGTTTGGTCGGTCCGGATCGGTTCAGAAATAAAATTTCTATTTGGAACGTACGTACAGACATACATGCAGACAGACATGCATACAGACTAACAGACATTCAGCTTTATATATAGGAATTTCGGAGTTATGAGTGTCACTTGACTATTTAGAATGAGGCATCGCAAAATATCCCGACCTTGTGGGCACTTCCTCACAGCCGTGCCATTTCCTTACCGGATTACCGTAAAAGTCATGTCCTAAACATGACCTGCGGTGATATGTGTGTTTATTGCCCAGTTGCAGTCAAGTTGCTTTGCCCCGCCTGTTATCGTCAGCATTTTGGTACAGCACACACGTGTGTAAGTCGACAGTTCATAGAACTCTACCAGCTAATCTGTTCTGTATAACATATCTCGGTGCTATATCGCCTCAGGCAACGTTAGTACTCGTTAGCCTATATAATCTGGCGTTGTCCTGAAAGTCTGGAGCTCCCACGATGGCTCGCACCCTTCAGTTAGGAAAAGTTTGTGTTGTGCAAATGAAAGTTCTCTTTCAACACGGTGAACCAGGATATTTATGACGCGCGCCCGCTCCGCAACGGTTGCTGCGTATTACAAAGGCAAGACACTGTATCATGAATATCACTATTCGATATGTGATCTTCTTCTCACTCAATCATAGCTCTAACGAATTCGGAGATGGTAGTTGGCCTTATGAAGGTTATAACAATCTTGGTGAATACCAAATATATAGCTATGCTGAGGCCAATGATTGTATCAGACTGTATTTTGATTCTTCCAATTTAAACGTAAAATTCAATACACTTGCGAGCGAGAGCATCTACAGCGGTACAGATACATAGTCGTGTTCTCAATGCATAGAGTACATAATCATGTGTGTGGAAGGAATCCGAAACCATTATGGGCGGTGCTTGCCATTTTACCTCAATCACTTCTTTCTTCATGTAAGGAAAATCACGGGATTTCTGAAAAATGTCTGCTTTATCAAGTATTTGTTTTGATTGAATTGGGGATCTGTAGAATCTTTGGAGCGAAACACCTTGATTTAAGCTAATTCTGTTTTTAAATATCATCAGAATTTGCCCATAAACTTTACTCGGGATACGATAGGCGGATGCGATGACAGTCTTGTAGACCTTACTTTGCTCTATCCTATGGAACTTAAACTGCACTCAATGAAGGAAAAACAGAAAAACTCCAGCTTCTGCAAAATCGGAAAAAATTATGGGACACATACATTGACTATGGCACTGTGACATGCCACGACAAAGGCCATAATTTAAATCCCTTATTCTCCATGGTCTTCGCAGGCAGAATGCAGACGCTGTGAGCTTTCAAAGCTTCCACCAGTGCGGTGCGATGCTTTGGATAAATCTTCGTTTGCACCTGATTGAGGATTGTATGATAATTCTGCCCTGTATTGTCAGTGTTTACTTTGCACCTTTTTCCTAAATGTGGCTGTCTATTCCTGTTATCTGTGTCAGCACAATTTTGTCCCATTAAACAAGGCTTTAGTAAAACCCTTGATAATAGACAATCTACCGTTATGAACAAACTCTTTTTCGGAGCGGGGTCAATGTCCACATGTCTGTTCTACTGAAGGCCTTGTCAATCCTGACCACTGTCTTAATCCCTCTAAAAATTCACCGATGACAGTGATTTGGAATCCTTGGGTTTCAAAGAGGTAATTAAATAGCACATTTTTCCTTTGAAAAACAGATCAGATACCGACTTCACCGAGTTGCAGTTTTCATTACGAGGTTCCAGCGCGCTAACCCGAATAAATCGAAGGTGGAGATCAAAGTAATTCCTTTTTCTAGCACTTTTTCCTCTATAAGTGTTGTAATAGTCTCCAATTTTGTTTGTGCCGAACATGTTTGTTATGGTGGTGACTTTATTCGAATGGCCTAACGTTTCGGCGCGTTCGCCGTCCTCAGAGGCCTAAAAACGGGACAAAGCATCATCCATGGCACCAGACCATCAAATGCCTCTTCTAGCTTAGCTAGTTTCGACCTCTTTCCTAGTTCAATCCGCAAAAATCCTCAAAAACCGAAATGAACCAACCGTTTACACCACCGCTATGTGAAGTGTCCGCGCCGGAAGAATATGACAGTACGACCGGAAATATGTGACAGAAGCGGACAATTGAGCTATACTCTGATGGGATAGAGAGTTATCTACGAAAGGCGGATAAAGTCTATCTACCATCTATAGCTCACATAGTGCTACGAACGGCAGGAACTCGGCAGTGATGGACAAGCACTCGTTCTTGTTATTCATTTCTGAACTCTTTGCCGAGATCCAGAATGCCTCCAACACCTTTCTAGCCGAGATCTCGTTCTCGTGTGTCAAAATCGTGCATTTGATTTTGAAGTCCTTTCCGTCATGTGAGTCATTCTTATGCGTGCCCAGCGGTGTTATTAATCTTTTCCTTCTCTTGCTTGCCAAGTGTTCTTTGATTCGCACGCTTAGTACTCTGCCAGTTTCACCGATATACAGTGCGCCGCAATCAAGGCATTCGATTTAATATACGACCCCTACTTTTGCGCAGTCCCCTACCATATGGATATATTGTGCACTGTTCGGTTATACAAAGTCGATCATAGAGTCGATTTCCAACAAGTTGCTTTTTGATATTCGCATTTGGTATATTAATTAAAACGACGTCATCCAACAACTGAGCGCGAGCAATGCATTGTTGGAAGGCAGAGTTGATCTTATCAGAGAAGAAAGGGAGGCAAAGCGGAGTTTTTGGGTTTGTCGAATGCGGTTATCGCGTGTATGTTTTGATCGTGTTTGCGATGCGCAATAACCATTGCTGCGAGCGATTTCTGAGGTTAAGCATCTTGCTTCGCGGCGCTCATCCTCTCCCGAGCACACCATTGTTGCTGTCCTGAACATATTTCGAACTATAGCCCGCTTCGTGCTTACAGGATGTGCGGAATTCGCGCTAATGAGGATGTTTTTGCAACTATCCTTGCGATACCACTTCATTTTTACAACGCCGTTGGTTAAGTTGACCAGTGTGTTCAAGTAGGGCAACCATCCTCCTCGTGGTTTCTCGCGCGTTAATTTGATGTACTCGGACTGTATGTTAAGAATCCTAAAATATTCGTCCATTTCGGACTGGGTTCTAGTCACTAAACAGCAGTCGTCGATGTATCGACGGTACATCAATGGCATTCGACTAAGCACAGGTTCCTCGATTTTGTTCATAAAACAAACTGCAAGAATCGGTGCTAGTCGCTGACCCATAGCAAGCCCGCTGATCTGGGAATAGTATCTTCCAGACCACAGATCTCGGCAAAGAGTCCAGAAATGAATAACAAGAACGGTGCTTGTCCATCACTGCCGAGTTCCTGCCGTTCGTAGCATTATGTGAGCTATAGATGGTAGATAGATTTTATCCGCCTTTCGTAGATAACTCTCTATCCCATCAGAGTATAGCTCAATTGTCCGCTTCTGTCACATATTTCCGGTCGTACTGTCATATTCTTCCGGCGCGGACACTTCACATAGCGGTGGTGTAAACGGTTGGTTCATTTCGGTTTTTGAGGATTTTTGCGGATTGAACTAGGAAAGAGGTCGAAACTAGCTAGAAGAGGCATTTGATGGTCTGGTGCCATGGATGATGCTTTGTCCTGTTTTTAGGCCTTTGAGGACGGCGAACGCGCCGAAACGTTAGGCCATTCGAATAAAGATACCACCATAACAAACCTGTTTGGCGCAAACAAAATTGGAGATTATATACAATGCCCAGGTTTAAAGAAATAGGAACATTCAAGTTGTTGTAAAAGTATTAGGAAATTGTAAATGTGCTGTAATGCATACGATTCTGTCAAAATTATATACAAGCAACTCCGTTGGAACAGAAGGACTTTAAAAAGTTTGGAAAATATAGGGACAGAGCGGCTAGAGCGACCTAATATTGCTCCGCACAACTTGCAGACTCGGTTTATATACCTTTTGATTCAACTGGCTTGGAGTTGGAAGGCTGGGGCTTCGTGACCTAATTAAGACTAGGCAATGACAGAGAGCACGCGCGCGGGAAAGACGCAGGCGCGTAGCCGGCACGAGCGGCTTAACTATAGGCTGTATCAGCCGGCATCGGTCACGCGTCAGTATGATTTGCGGCGACGCACCGTCGCATGCGACATGCCTTGACGCGTAGCAGAGTTCGCACGCGTCACACCGCACCATCGCAAGTTGCCGCAGGTGCGAAGTCGCATAACCGATGCTGGCTGGTACAGCCTATAGGTCACAAAGCCCCGCCTTCCAGCCGCCAAGATAGTTGAGTCAAAGGTTACGTGACACACTAACTTTTGAGAGATAACTACTAGTAGACAGGCTGCTGCTCATGCAAACAAGGCATGCGCGGGGGACGACTTCCAATAGGAGATGCTCGAAGGTGGCATTTTTTTACGCTTCGCAGAATAAAACAGCGCCTTCATCAGGACTAATCTTTACATCCTTGAGCTTGCTATTTTTTAAATTTAATTTTACAGGAGTCTACGTTCAGCTGGCAGTTCGTTATAAGGCTCCATCTAATATTACCTATTGCACTAATCATTGTATGCGCGAGCGGTGCGCTATGTCTACTATTTTAGTAAGACTGCATAACTTTTGACCAGTGATACAATCTCATGTACGAAATTTCAGCTCGATCAGTACATTTTTCGAAAATCAGTCAACTTCTGATAGCTTTAATTCGCAAACAAGGATTTATGAAAAAGGCGCTCGATTATTGAATTGCTGCGGTTTCTTCGCAATGGTTATTTCAATAATGTTCTTTGTGTCAACAGCGTAAGTTTATTCATGTTTTAAGCAGATACGATCACCAGAGCTGGACCTGAAAGTGCTCTCTAGTGAGCAGTGTACTCAAGCCGAAGGCCGCTTTGCAGTTAAGACAGTACATCTAACTTTCCGTACACATGGAGAGGTCACGAAACTCGGAATGAATTCAAAACTGTTAGTGCGTTGCTGCACGACGATACTTATGAGCAATATGCGCATTTCCGTCGGAAGTGGAGGGGGGAGGGAGCTTAGCCAGGGCCCAGCACGAGTCGGTTTCCGAAGTTTCTGAAAACGAAGTCCCTCCTTACATACTCGAGGAAATTTGCGAAGCCCCCTTTGACCTTTATAAAAAACCTATCGAGTCTGTAAAGGAAACCTGAACTAGGATTGAAAATACAAATTGAAGTTGAACACTGTGAATGCCCAAGAGCTTGGAATTGGAGCGCGATATCCAACAAAGCGATTTATGAAGAAATCAAGGCAGAAACAATGGAAAGTTAGCTATATAAAATATTTTCATGCTTGGGGATAGATTCTTTTTCGCAGCATCTGTCCATGGTGGAAATATTCGAAACTAATGTGGAGTAACAGAATGTTCCATATGTTCCATACGATCTCAGATAGTATGGTGACCGGTTGGAAAAGGACTGACTCTGGAAAGGGATTACTTTACATATAGTCGAGTCATTTGTAACTTAATATGCGTAGTGCACAGGGTACACGCAAACTGACGAACGCGAAATTATTAGGTTGTCCGGAAATTAATACAGGTTTTGAGTATCAACCGCAATAAGTCATATACTTCTCATTTCTGAATAGGTCGCAAGGTACCATTCGATAAAGCAAAGCAAGCTCTACAAAACGGCAATCTTGCTTTAGCAACAGCTCTGATTCACCAAGAGTTTCGAGCCAAAGACTAAAACGATTTAACTGTTTGAAAAATTAAGAAAAATCGTAACATAGTTCATAAAAGTCCTAAAAAAATTCTAACTTGCTCACGTAAACACAATCTACATAGAGCATCTATATGCGCCATTGCCGTATTTTTTTCTTTGTTAGAAATCAAGAAAACAGAAATTTTCGTGGATTTGCCAAAGTGGTGCTGTGCCATCCCCACATAAGTAGCTGTATACTACAAACCTGTAGAAGTATGAACGTAAATTTCCAGCTCTCTACAAGCTTTAGTTCTCGAGAAATTTGAATTTTATTTTGGACCACATGACTATGGAAAACTGTATTCGATATATCTCGAGAATTAAAGCTTGTAGAGAGCTGAAAATTTGCGTTTATACTCCTACAGGTTTGTGGTATACAACTACCTATGCGGGAACGGCACAGCACCACTTTGGCAAATGTACGAAAATTTCCGTTTTCTTGATTTCTAACACAGAAAAAAATACGGCAATGGCGCATATAGATGCTTTATGTAGATTGTGTTTACGTGAGCAAGTTAGAATTTTTTTAGGACTTTTTTGAACTATGTTACGATTTTTCTTAATTTTTCAAACAGTTGAATCGTTTTAGTTTTTGGCTCGAAACTCGTGGTGGATCAGAGCTGTTGCTAAAGCAAGATTGTCGTTTTGTAGAGCTTGCTTTGCTCTATCGAACGGTACCTTGCGACCTATTTAGAAATGAGAAGTGTATGACTTATTGCGGTTGGAATTCAAAACCTGCATTAATTTCCGGACAACCTAATAGAACCTGCTCATTTCCAGTGATTTCTCTGTTTCCTTGTTTCTTTTGTTTTAGTTGGCTATATGTTAGTCAGTAGAACACTTTCTACATTTTTTTAGGCTAGAAAATGTTTCACTGAGAATTTACTAGTATGGGTGCCGTCGCTTAGGGCTTAATGTGCAATCTCACATATCAAGTTACAAGTGACTCGAGGTTAAGTTTCCAAAACTTTTTATGTGATTCTTCCGCAAATATTTTTCTGTGTATACAGTCCAATTTTGGCATCGTATGATTGCATCTGCGCTGTGAATAAGCAGTTTGTTTATTTTAGGGTTGTTTTAAAATAGCGCGAGCTTGGAGGCACGATGGAGCATGTTAGTAGTATGATAATCTGTCTCTAAAACTTGGGCTTGTCTGAATAATCAATTCTTTTCGGAAGCTCCTCCGCGGGCTCCACAAAAATGAAACAACCGTTGCTTTTTGCCCCAAAAGCGAAGTTCAGCCTGCTTACATACGATCTGTGCCGGGCCCTGAGCTTAGCCTTATTTTCCGAAGTCCCAACAAGCGAGGCCCGTTTAGTAGAAGTGAGTTTTATGTGACTCTTATATACTTTAAAAAGCAATTGAAGATGATTTTAAATCTGTCTTTATTTGCTGCCAAACGCTTCTGGACGCCGAAATGTGAGCGTTTCTGGGGCTGAAAAATCGCATGCGTGACTCGAGCAGAATTGGGTCAGAATCGCTCAAATGACCCAGCGTTAAATATCGGGCGCTTCATGCAATGGGTGATCTCTATCTGATACACTCGTACTCAACATTGCTCTACTTGAGCGCTGAGAGGACCGTAACGTTTGATTTTACCTAGTTTCTGCGCTCATATTTTGCTCTAAAAACTAGTTCTAACTCGGCGTTCAAAGGCGCGGCAGATAACGAAAAAATATTTAAACTCAGTGTTCAAAGCTCTTCAAAGCGGTATAAGAACCACTTTAAAAGGCCACTTTGACCAAACGGACCTCCTTTGTAAAGATATGTATTGCCCTTCTTTCGGAGGCTATACTACTCTAGTTACTTGATGCTCGTGTGTCAACATCCTCACCTGGGGAGGGGATCACAAAAGAAAGCTCATTTAGAAGTTCCACACATTTGATTTCACGCCATCCATTGACGACTTCGAATTTCGGGAGAACAGATACAGAGGTTTTGAATGCTCATAACTAGCAGTTACTCATTTTACAAAAAAGTTCTATCTGTTGATGAACAGCGGAAGATACAGGCTTTTCCGCCGAGCGCTATTTGCGACGCTCTTTCGCACAAGTGTCATTGTAATCAGGCTTACGGTCCCGTAATGAAGGCCGATTCGGCTTTGCCGCTTGATAAGAAATCAAAACGTTTTAGATGGATTCTTACTGCTAGACGATCTTGCAGAGAAGACCATGTTCTACCTAAGCATGGTTGGTGATCTCAATGTTAGGGTTGGGCTAGACTGTACGCGGCGTACGCAGCGTACGCCGTGTACAGTCTTCTTCAATCCGGAGTAGGCGAAACATTCCAAGTGGAGCAGCGCGTACGCATCGCCACTGGCTCAGCGAGATAGATTAGGATGAAGAGACGCACAGACTGCAAAATGGCGTGAATTGTTGCGAAGCGGACTCCCGCCAGTCCAATTTCTGCGTAAGGCCCCGGACAGACTTCACGCGATTTGATCGTCGCGACTCAGTCGCCGACATTTCCATTCATTTTCATTGCACATTCAAAAATTTCGGGCTGGCAAAGTATCACAACCGAAATGCAAGTTGATCGGCATGGAATGATGTTGTAACAGTTGTCTCGTCGCGATCCAGTCGCGACGATCAAATCGCATGAAGTCTGTCCGGGGCCTAAGCTGAGTTGAAACTTACTGTACGCTTCTATGACGAAACATACCGAGCCTACGCTGCATACTCACGTACGCCCGTACGCCGCGCACTCTGGCTCAACCTTTAGATCGGAGTTAGAAAGTTGATTGTAGAGCTTAACAGCGATAAGGTACTTAGCTAGACATCCAAATATCTAGGGCAAGCTCAGAAGAATCGCCGCCGCTGAGTGTTACTGGGGATTGCGCGTTACTGTCTTTTCGCTTCCCCCATGCAAAATCATGGGAAACTGTCCTCGAATTTTTGCTAGCCGTTTGCTGGCTTGTTTTTTCTCTGACTTTTCGCAAGTAGATTGCCGTTTTTGCTCACGCTAGAAATAAAAAGAGGACTCGTAGCCACTTCTCAAACTGCAGCGCGAAGGGTGAAAATCCAGCCGACTGCTTGCCCGTCTACCCTCGCGATTTTCTAAGAGTAAGAGGCTGAAAAATTTCTTTGATAGCTCCCTTTCTATCTGCGGCAGGGATTACATGCATACGAGCCATACTTTGTTTTCAACGAACTGTTTTGAAAAATCGGTCAAAATCACAATATGAATTTAAGCCTACTCTTCTATGTTGGCTACTCGTCAGGATTAATTTGTAATGCATTTGCCGATTACGACTTCGGAGACTATCAAAATTCTTCCGTCAGTTTCGCAATTGCGCAAAAGAAGTTTGCGATCAAGCTCAAGTAAGAAAACATGTGCAAGATAGTGACAGTTCTTTTCCATCAAGGTACATGTATGAAAGGTGTCGTGGACGTTTTCCTTTTTACGAAGCTATGTCATTACGTCCTGCGTTATCGCATGCTTTGACTATCGAGGTAAGACAAAAGGCAGACACGTTTGCATTTCAGTAATATAAGCTCACAGGATTCGTCTTCACACATTCCGGATCTTAATCGAAAGTTAGACTCAGTGCTTGCTGAGGACTTGGCCAAAGTGTTTGGCGACCATTTCTCACAATTGATGGTATGTATAATCATGTAAAAGCGTTATCAGTAAGAATTTTCAGAAGGCGTTGCAGCTCAAAAGCAAGTTAAACACTAATGAAATATCGTGCGTGAAAGATCCACAGTGTAAGTTTTTACGAGCATCAGGAATGCGGTAAGGTATATTTGGCATTGTACCTTCAGCACTTTGGCAAGACTCTTTGGTACGATGCGAGAAGGGGGGGGGGGATACAGACTAATTTAGAATGGAGCTACAAAGCTATCTTATAGAGAACAAACCGTCAGAATTATAGAAGTGAAAACTTTTTCACGGTTGCGAGACCTCAAAGGCAGCGGCTCGGCAGATCCTCGACTTAGAGTTTCTTTGCTTACCTGGGGTAACTGAAGGCGCTCATTCCGAAGATCCACGTTAAAGAGCGCAAAAATGGCAAAAACCACCATTTTCTCAAGCCTCCCAATTTAAATTTGGATGAGTGGAGCATGCCCGGTCATAATTAGAGAAGCAGAATTGTTGCGGGACCTTCGCAATTATAACATTGCGGCATGCCTTCTCTGACGGATCAGGGAGAATCGCAAGCTCGTCCCGCGCGTACTAGAATGACTTGCGCGTAACGGGGTTTTCTAGGCAGGAGCAGCATGCTGTGCACTCGGATTGCTCTGTTCTCATGTTTGGGGTGCGAGAACCTTCCATGTCAAAATGTCGGGATCAGCGCTCGGCACAGCTGGCACCGGGTCAAGCTGGATATCGTTTTTAGAGCGAAAGCAAAGGGGATATCGTTTGGGTCCGGGGCGGGGAAGAACCGCAAGAATGCCGCCGGCATGCCACCGGCATGCTGTCCATCAAACAAACAGAGGCGTTGTTTCCAGCCAAAACGCAATAGTATGATACCAAATTTGATTTGTGCATGCGCGGTGGGGGACCCGAGCTATGGCCCAAAAATTTATGAAAACTTATGTGAATAAAAGGTGCTGAACTTTTTTCTAAATTAGCTGGCACCGTGCCAGCTGGGTGCCAGCTGAGCTAGCACCGACACTTTGCTCACATAAGTTTTCACACTTTTTTTACATAAAATGTATTTACACCGTAAATGTTTATATACAGAAAAGAAACGATTTCATAATGTTTTCTTTTCAGCGTTTTGTAGCCATCTGAAAATTACTCGGTCTGCTCCGCAGTCGAAAAGTTGGCTTTTCTGCCTCTTAACATGTGATGCAACAACTTAGAAAGCTCAGAAAGCTGTGAAAAGTTGTTCTATGAGATCAGCATGCATGAAAACCCTCTTACATGCTTTTACATAATCTAAAAATAATGACGGGTCTTTAAAACAGGTCAAAGCCAACTTCGCACGAAATTTTTAAGATCAAGCAGGACTTTGTTTTAAAATTTCCCTGGTGCTGGTGCCGAGCCCTGGTCGGGATGTTCGGTTTTGGCGAGCTGCTGCCTTTAATAGAGGGGGGAACTCGACTGTGCATCAGACTTTCATTCCCGGTATCTTCAGGTCGCACTGAGGTGGCAGACCGTAGTAGGAAGAGGATTTACATTTTGAAATATGAGGAGTCATTATCTTTCGATACAACTTTGATCTTCAGTACTTCATAATAAAATATACTGGGAAAAATCTTGCTTGTTATAGCTTTCAATGATTCATTGGCACAAATCAAGGAGTATGCACAGATAATTGGCAAAGCGTCTGCAGAAGTCAGTCTGAATTTAATCGCTTAGCTATTATCAACTTGCTTGACTAATGTTAACATTTCCAGACTAATGCAGATTCGAGCGCAAAATATTTGGAAAAACTTGTGAAAGGTATACGCTCCTGTAGAGACCTACCAGAATTTCGTAGAATTTTCTTAAACGATGTTGATGTAAGTTTTTTGGTCTTGCTATTTCACGGTCATTGAGTGCATGAATGAAAAAGTTTGAAGTCTCTCTTTGAGGAACTGCACTATTCTTTATTCGAGTTGCTTCTTTTAGTTTTGAAACTAAACACACTGTACACAAGGGGTTTATCTTTAGAACTCGTTACGCAATTACTCTATTCAATGTGGTAATTTGGCATCGGCAGTAGATGTCGTTAAATCTTTTTGTCTACATGTACCAGTGCATTATCAAGGGATATGGGTTGTGTTTGGTGAGTCCAATTCATTTCCTGCTACTAACAAGCCTAACAAAAGGTGGCGACTGTCAGGTTAAAGCAAATTTTGCTGAGTACGAGCAGAGTTCTATAGGTGCATTTACGAAAGGGGAAGTAGGACGTGCGCTAAACTATGTAAGCATAAATGAAAAGCTCAACTTATTTTCACGAAATTCCACTACAATCAACTAGCGAAAAAAATAGTTTCTAATCGACATGGCACCAAAGTAGGTTGAGCTAGTAGGAGCACAGTACGAATAATGAGAAATATCCTCAAGTCATTTATAACTTAATAAGTGAAAGTGCACATTCTGCACGGCAAGCGACGGTACCTTCACAAGTAACTTTTCAGAAAAACCTTTTTTAGCCTAACAATTTCAATTCGTGTTCTACTGACTGACATATATCCAGCAAAAACAAAAACAGACAGACAAACAAGAATAAGTCATTGGAAATGAGCAGGTTCTAATCTTGGAGTTCGTCAGATAGCGCATATAGTGTGCAGTACGTATATTAAGTTACGAATGACTCGACGACATGTGAATGACTTCTTGTCCTTCCTAAAAATTCCACATTACTGAAGGTGGAAGAAGACTTGTTCCACAGTTACTAGGCCTGTAAATTTTTACTATCGGCGCATTTTAGGCCGAAAAAGAGTAGAAGTCGTACGAAAAATTTAGAATAAATTAAGAGTTTTCTTTTTTCACTTTTTTCCATGAAGACCCCCGTCCGCTTTTTGTGCGTTTGAGAAAGTCACATATTCAGGGATGACAGCTATTGTTTCTATTCATGTCGTAACCGCTATGTTCAAAGTGTCGGACTTTTTAATGCCTACAGAAAAAATCAGAATAAGCGGCACGGTTGTTGTATGTCTACATCTGTTATTTGTTAACATACCTCACTTGGGTTACAAAATAGACACACTCCATTTTAGACTTCAAGACTTGCAGCGACAGGATCAAAAAGAAAGCCAAGTGCTGAACCCTTTTTGAAAAGTGCTAGGGCCGATCTGAGTAGGAGTCAATTAGCAGCTTTTCTCACAGGGGAAAGCCCAGGAAAAGCAAAAGCGTCACCCCACAATAACAACATCGCACCTGGTAGGCTGTTGCTTTGTTGACGCTAACACCTCTCCTGCAAACTGAAGCAGAAAGTTATTTTTAATTTGTTTGCTAGACAGTAGCGCATTGATATTGAGATTTCAAACTTGCAGGAAATGCTCACGCTCCATCTGATGATGCTGGGCAGATGTACGGAGAAGACAAACTCAACGATTGAAAGGCGCAGTTTTGAAGCACTTGAGAAAATAAAACAAAAAGACGATATTTTTATTCATCAGCAATTAGTCCAAACACATAACAATCTTAAATGTGTTGTATTTTCGAGCACATAAAGTTCCCTATGTACGTTTGTAAATTGTTGCAGGTTTATGAACCTTTTCATATAGTAAATAACCACATAACAGTGCATCAACTCCAATTTGAGCAAAAAGGCAGGGAATTGTGATTCTAGCAGATTTGAAATCACATAAATTAGTGAGAGGTTTGCGTTAAAGGCACCGTCCATCTATTTCGACCTTCACGTTTTTGCCGTTCCAAAGCCTTCTCACACTTGAGTCCGAATGTCAAGTCGGAAATTCGAAACCACGAGGAACCCCCGCTTCCAAAACCCGCAGAGCGATTTCAGAGCGGAACGATGATTGGTTGGGCGCGAGCGGATGGGCGGGACGAACGTCGCGCCCACTCAAAGGGGAGGAGCCAACGTAACGAATCTGTCATCCGAGCGATTTTTGAAGCAATTTTCTTGCTTTGGAAGCAACTTTTGCCAGCGCGAGTTGGGTAAATATAAGTTGGGGGCCCCACTACTCTTATGCATCAAAATCTCAGACCCCATTTGGGTGAACGGTGCCTTTAAGCACTGATGGGCATTTCCTACATTAATCTATATGATCAGTGATTACGCATACGTATCAAGCGTCTGAAGCCGCAGACCGGAACTGGTGAGACGGCTCGAATTTTCCTTCGAGGTTACGTGAGCCGCTATTTTTCTTAGCGCAGGGTAAAAGTATAAAGCAGTCCGCTAGCATGTTTGATCGTCTCCCAGATGTGGAGGAGGGCAGCGGACTTTTCCTGATTATAAGGATGAAACTGTTGTATCTTCACGCTGTAGCAATGCTTTTCGTACTTTGCCACTATCAAAACCATCGTGCTTCAAGCTGGCAGTACTCCATCTCTAGAGCGAGTCAGGGAGTCGGTGATAGCGTTCAATTTATTAGTTACTAATATAAACATTCGTACAGATTCTTTTCTGTATATTAGCTCTCTTTCCTTTTATTTTTCTTCTTTTACGCGAGTACGAGTGCAGCTTTGCTCCCTTTCTTGGCGAATGATCATGATTCAAGAGTGTAGTAGAAAAGAAGCTTTATAGTTTTGACGCATTTCTAGATACAGAGTCAGACCGAATTAAGCTGCTCAAAGGGCAAAAACAGGTGCTACTATAAGTTTCATGAAATTTTGAGGAAACCAAAATCTCTGAATAACTCTGGTTCTGGGAATGTCATCAAAATGAGGGGGTGCTTTGGAGCGAGTGATGGATACGAATGAAACCTATATAAAAAAAACTTAACTGCGATAAAAGTGTAGTAATTAGAGCATTTTGCACTTTTGTAGTATTTTTTACTTTCGATCACTGAGAATTCACGGAATATGGCCGCTTTTATGTTTCAAAAATTGGGTTGCTTCCTGCATTTGTCATTGCGTTTGCTGTAAGTTTGGCCACCAACTGATCGACATCAACTGATCTAGAAAGCTCGTGTTTGCGATCTGTCTACTCCCACCTGTTGTCTAAATAAGAAAATCTCCGGAGAGGATAAGTGCTGCTGACTTTTCGCACTCCACTCGTAAGATCTCTATAAAACGGTCAACGATTCTTTGCAACAAGCATTGCTGACCCTTCCTCTCTAACTTTTTGCAATAGTTTGCTGCATTTACAAAGAATGAGAAAACAAATAATCTCGCAAATTGGTTCCACTCTTCTGGTTTTCTGTGAGCGGAGTGCGGGAAATCTCAAGAAATTAGATATCCGTTTTGCAATGTTCGCCTATCCCCATTGATTGGAAGTTGAGGGTGTTCTCGCATCTCTCCCTTGAAATAACGAAGCTGATTTCAGAACCACATTAAACCAGCAACTCTCATCTGCTCGGACGCTTTCTTTTAACTAATGTTTGGAATTGCTCGATCTTCACGACTTCAACCTATTTGTCGCATGGTGCAACTTTGTACAGAAATTTTATTTTCAAGTGATCATAAGTCAGTAATCATAAAGAAGACACATCGGTTTGTACAAATACGATAAAGCGGGCGCAGATAATTAAAATCCTTTCGTGACGTATTCATAGTCCTTAGTAAACTGTTCTAGATAAGGATAAGTGCTTTCATCCAAGTATCCTGTTTGTTTCAAATATATCAGTAATACTTGATGTACATAGAGATACTGCTGTTCAGTCTAAGTTACAAAAAAATACTGGAGTTTACGCTTTTTTCCCAACCAACCTGAACACTATTATTTCGCTCCTTACGTAAATCTATCAAATATCCGCGCATTTCAAGTAGGGGTGCAGGTCTATGGAGCAGCTCCAGAGCATGCTGTATTAACACTATAGACCCCGTCCGCCCAATTCCAGCTGAACAGTGCACAATAATTGGCCCACTAAAAGTTTACAAAATTAATATGGTTTAATCAAGATAAGTCCAAGAACTCTGTCGTACCTGCAATTTTTTAGTTTTGACAATAATGCTACTGGAGCAAGGTCGGCTTCTGGAACTCCGCGATCTGGCCAATCCAACCAATGATAATGAGTGCACGTGTGCAATGACTGACCAGGAATTTGCACGTTTAGGTCTATCATTCTTATCCGAACCTTTGTAGCAATAGGAAACGGAAACTAAGATAAAATTTTGCGGGAAAACATGTGCGAACATTTTCGCCTACAAAGTATATCCTCTTGCATGTTACCATAACATCATCGAACTCCAGTGATGCATTGATTTCCTTCGGGAAGTAGTCTGCACATTTATTCACATTCTGAATGCGGTGTTTTTAAAAATAGGAAAAAATTGAACTATGATGATGGAATTCATCCTGACATTATTTGAGCATGGGAACGAGCGCCGTAGCGAAACGAGGCGCCGTTGAAAAGAGTTGGGATAGGCTCAATAAAACCTAGCCCAACTAAGCCCTCTTTCCTTCACGACGGAAATTGAAAGAGCCTGTCAGCGTTGTAAAGGTTGAATTACATATATGCCCGCCCGAATACCAGAGTACGTAAGCTGGCCGGCCGAATTTTTTGTCTCAGCTGTTGTGCAGGTAGTTTGCTATTTTTTCTCGAAACAAGGAATTAGCGAGAAGTCTCGCAGAGGTTGTGATCAGCCTCCAATATTACGCGAGCGGAGTGATAAATCCGCATATTTCTTATAGGTGCCCGTTTACCCACGGCGATCATTTAAGTAATTACCAGCGAGCGCTAAAGTTCATCTGCAACTCAATCCTTCTGCAAACGAATTCTTTGCTCAAAAATGGCGAGCCGCGCCATATCTAGCAAGTCTTGGTGAGAAAGGGCGGACCAATCAAGGTCGGTTACGAAGGCGTAATCGGCAAAAGTTCTAATCTTTCTATTCTTGAGTTTACTCCACCTGTTCAACGAAATTGCAAAGCATAAGAATAGCTTCACTTTTCTCTTGTACAACCATGTACCAGAACTCAGGGCAGGTATTGACAAGAGGTGCCTAAAATAGTTGCCACTCTGTTCTTTTCCTCGCTTACCCATATCCGTGCATGTTACCTGCGTGCATATGAACCGCTTTGGATGGTTTGGCGTCGAAACGTAATTAGCATGAATGTAGGAAACTTTGCCAATATTAAGTATAACGCGACGATTGTCTAAGCAACCAACATCCTACAAGGAATTTTTTTCTTCATTAACGCAATCACTCCTAACTAGGCTATACCTTGTATCTATTCCTTCCACAAGCATTTTGCGCTACGAATGCTGTCATTTTTGATGGGTCGTTGGTTCTTTTCAAAGCACGAAATTCTTCAATCAAGCCACGAACTCCTTTCTTCAGCGTGGTTTGCACAAACACGGCTATCTGGACAAAAAAGGCTCATAAAGCAAAGCTTCTAATTACATATGCTAGTTGCCATTTCCCGCTTCTGAGCTTTTGTTATCCGCACTTGTTGCACTTGAGTTTCTACCGGCAGCTCAGCTGACCTAAACCTCAAATATTTTTTAACAGGAACATGTTTCTCCCATGCGATATGCGGCACTCCACTGTTTCAAAATTGTAAACTCACGTGTGCTTGCGCTAAAAATTGATGACTTACTGTACTGTTTTATTCAAAGTTACTTCGTCTCTAGAAGTATTGCCTCCACTTAGAGATTTTGTTTTTGATGACTTACTTAGGGGCCGGCATCGTGGGCGGCATATGTGCTGTCTGCATTCTCGATCTGGAATGAGAATTTTATGCACTTAAAGGCGAGCCATCTCCCTCAAGGAATGGATGTCGTTGCTTCTGACCAAGAGAGTTCGTCTTTGGAAGAGATGCAGACGGCAAGAGCGGTAAAACTACTATTACTGAAGAACGCCGGCAGCGTATGCAATGACCTCTGTTCCCGTGCTCAACAAACGCCCATATTTTGTGTAAAATGATGCCACGGTTCAGTTTGCGATGCAAGAACTTTGGTTTGTGTTTCTTAGTCGATTATTTTTTCAATGCCTACCTTTCTCCTGAAACTGTTGGTGCTTCTTCCACCCTGCAAAAAATGTGATTAGATTTCTATGAGTTTTCATGATGATTTCGCTAGTTTTGCAAAAACGCTGAATATTTAATGCTAAAAATTTATGGGTAGGTTTTATATAATCTAAGAGTATAAGCTCTCTAGGCTTTCCATACTTTGACTATTTATAGGTGCTAGATTTAGAAAAAAAGATACAGCATCTTTAGAAATTACCTTGAACTACCTTAACCTCTTCAAACACGAACTAGTAGATATCTAACAAAGATGATATTCAGCGATGACAAGGTTTTCCGCTCCATTAGTCAACACCAAGTCCGGACTTGCAGCAGAGCTTCTACGCCGAGAAATTTGTTCCCAAATCAGCTCGAACATGCAGCTGGCTCGAGCTCAAACAACTAGGCGATATATCTCTCAAAGTTGACTAGAGCACTGTAGAGGACTATATAGGGTATCCCAATCTAAGAAAGAAGGATCGCCAAGTCGAAGTGGCCGATTATTTATTTATTTATTTATTTATTTGAATGCACTTAAAAGTGCGCCAAAAAAGAGCAGAAAACAAAGCAGATAACATTATCACAGGATGCAAGCCTCTACAAAAACCATAGAACGCTGATCTCAAATCACCTTTTGTATCTGCAGAACGCTTCCAACTAGGGAATGGTCTGAAGTGGAGGTGGCCGATTCAAGCAAGCTCCTTATTATTCAAGCAGCATTCAATGCCGATTTCAAATCTTATTTCATACTAGTTGACAAACCCGGCTCCGCCCGGCCCTGTCAATAATATATTTGTAATCAGCATGCTCACTCACCCCCCCCCCCCTGTGCCAACTCCCAGCCCAGTAGCTCGAACTTTTTGAGCACATTGTTGCACTTTCACCTCACCTTCAGGCTTTTAGAATACTAGCTGATCTGCCCGGTCCAGCCCGGGAATGATCACTGATCGGGAATGAAGATAAGGTATTCGGTGGCATTGTAGAAACTGTGTAAAGCACAAAAACAAAATGTGAACACTTATTAGTCGGTAGCATATCTCTCTTTCTCCAAATCAAGTTCAACACGCAAAACCTAAGCAAGCAGCGCGAGTTAATTGATAGCAGCGCTCATTGTTATTATGAGGATCATTTTTTGTGACACTTTGCCGTTAACCGACTACTTCATCTTCATTCACTGCTTGCCGTCAATTTTTGTGGAGTCGGCAGTACTTTGCACTCGCGCACTTTCCTGGTCCAAGGGATCAACTATAGCGAATGTGAGTTGTCGCTTGTCTTGACATTATTTCTGGTATTGACAAATAATTTGTGCGCAATCTCATGAAAATTTTGACCCCTCATTGTTTAAATTGAGCATGTAACGAAGAAAGCATTGATTATAAGCGTAAATTGAGCACGCTTCCGTGCAAAACACTCGCTACAAAGCACTCATAGTCTCTTGCACGCTAAGGTTTCCGCATAAGATACATTTAGTGCATCCATTTAAATGAGCAATTGAGACTCACATCAAGAACACTTTTCACTGCACTTCGTCAACAGAAGTTCACAATGAGACATGCCAGCCTTGTTTACATACCCCTGTTTTGATAGCAAATGATAAGAATCATTTTTATTGCAAAGTGCTGCAAATCAATAAATCGATAGAAGGACCCAACGAATCGCTGCAAAAAGTAGCCTATCATCTGCGCAAGGCTCGAAAACATATGTGTGTAAAGTTTCAGCTTAATCGGTTGAGCGGCGCGCGTTTCTATAACGCACATACCCTCCAAACTGACAATTTTTGAGTTTTATATATATACCAGTGCGTCACCTCTGCTTCGCAGAGGCTCGCACTGGCTCTACTATCTAGGCCCTACTCATTCTCGCATAATGATGGCATTGGAACTCACCGAGCAATGCCGACTATCACGAACAAAATGTAAACAACTGCTCATTCCGAAAGCTTTTTATGCGAAATCGGTGATTTCGCATGGATGAAACTTTTTGCAGGAGAACAAACGCAAATTTTTACAGGTTTTTGATTTTCCCATGGTCTTGACAGTTGCAGTAAGAACAGCAGTCACCGTGAGCTACATCTTTGTGCAAAAATCTCGTCAAATGTTTTGGTAAAACCTTGGCAAATTGACCATTTATGCAACCGATACTTTTTGGCGCCGTTTTCCTAAAGTAATGGACTTTTGATCACTTTTTTGGACCTAAGCTCATGGTTTGCACTTTTACTTTGCATAAACATCCACTACTTTGCAAAAAGTGGAATTACGGACCCAATTATGCGGCCCGAATGCAAAGTGGATCCGTTTGACGCGCAGTTTCTGAGGGATCCACTCGACGAATCTGCTTCTGCTTTTGCATGTTAGACTTTCATGCGGGTAGCATGCGCTGTGCAAAATTTGGGCCCAGGAGGTTGGCTGGAGCACGCTCTACGAATTTCGTAACAGACACACTCTCACACACACAGAGACACACACACAAAGTCACGTAAACATCCTTAGCCCGTTATTATAAGTTATGATAGATAAAGTGACCTAGCGGCATGTTTTGGCCCAACATTAAGTCGAAAATGACTCTGCACTGCCAAATTCGCGATTTGCATGCACCAATACAGGTTCGCAGTCAGCGCTTCATGCTGCGTCTAATGGTATTCAGAGTGTTTGAATTGGCCACATCGATTTCTAACCATTTCCTTGCTAGGTGTTGATGAGAACGGCTACTTTCAGCAGTGCAATTTTCCCGCAGATAGAGGTCCATAAATTCCCTTCCGGAAGCTGTGCGGCTTTAGAAGACGGATTTGAGCTCTTCGTGATGATATGTGTGCTATAGTGAACGACGGCCACTTGGATTTCGCGATCTTCCTTTATAAGTGTCACAGCCCCTGCTGCTCGTGCTCTTCCTACCATCTATGATGAGAACAGATCGCTTGCCATAGAGAGAGCGAGAAAATACCTTCGCTGTTGATTGCACGTTTTGCAATTCTGGCTGCCACTAACCGGATGAAAAACTGCTAAACTAGGCAGAGCGAGGAATACCTGATTCTAAATAATTGAAGCTATATTAGAAGAGTCGAATGATAGAAAGAAAAAGAAAAAACAGTTTAGGAAATTGTGGGAACTTAGTGAAAGTGCCAAGTCATTCTAGAAAAACGAACAGCTATTCAAATATTCTACCGATACGGCAAGCGATGGCAAGGGCGAGGCTACAGTGTTCTGGACGGATAGGAGCTCAAAAACCAAAAAAGGGACAGAAAACGAGGAAGAGATGTCGAGAACAAGCGGCGCATGAAATGAAGCCTGGAAAAATAACCAGACAATACGTCAGCGAATGCGGCTCAGGGTCCAAGCGAGGCGGCGGCGTGACCAGGGGCTGTGTCAGGTTGGGAACCGTGCATCGCTGAAAAGGTAACATTGCGTAAATGAGATGCGTATTTGTTCTTTTTTGTTATTTTATAATCTCTTCGAAGACATATAGTTCTCTGCACTCCTCTTTACTTACTAGAGGACATTATGTCGCCTGAACGGGAGGCCCAGATATGTGCAAGATACGTAACTTTACACAAGGCTGCTCTGTGCATGCTGTCTAACTACGACATGATGTCTTTTTCCTTCACCTCCAACCTTGGAAAAACCTGTCGTTACAAACGTTATAACTATGTGCAACGACTATTCGTCTTTAATCCCGGCGGAAGCTGTTCCACTCCATATTCAAAAATATAACTTACAATAACGGGCTAAGGGTTGTTTACGTTTGTGTGTGTTGTGTGTGTTGTGTGTGTGTGTTGGGTGTGTGTTGTGTGTGTTGTGTTTGTTGTGTGTGTTGTGTGTGTAAGTGTGAATCTCTATCTCACGAAATTCGTAGAGCGAGTTCCAGCAAAGGTCTTTAGCTAGGATTTTGGTAGTAGCACCTTATAAGCATGTAGGTAAAATGTGCAAAAGCGCAAGCCGATCCGATGATTGGAACCTGTGAAATTATGCGCCGAACGAATCCACGCGACATTTCGCGCGCCAAAGTGCCTGTAATTGGACTTTCTCCAAAGTCATGGTTTCATTTAGCAAGTAAATCCGCAAACCATGCACTCCAGCCCGAGCAGTGAGCAAACAGCTTACCTTCATGCAAGATCGGCACCAAAAAGGAATAACTGCTTAAATGACCGATTGTCAAAGTTTTACTTGAGAATGTAGAAAAATTTTTGCTCAGAGCTGTGAATTTGTCACCATCTTTAGCCATTATAGTTCCAATAACTGATTCGGAATCGCATTTAATTTTTTGCAGAATACTTTCTTTCCCTCAAAGTCACCAATCTTACATGAAAAAGTTTTGGAATGAGTAGTTGTTTACATTTCATTCGTGATGATCTGCAACGCGAGGTAAGTTTCAAAGCCATCATTTTGCGACTATGAGGGAGACATGCGGATAGTGGAGCCAGTGCGAGCCTCTGCGAAGCAGAGGTGACGCATTGGTAAAATATATTGATGAATGCTCGTTTTCGCCTTATCCGCACTTTCCAATGCTCTCCAGGATGCGTATTGTATACAGTATTGAAAGTAGACTGCGTGATGGCACACATTCAAGTTATATAGGGTGACATCTTCGCATCATACATTCCTCTTTTCCCTTTCTTTAACCATTTCCTCATTTTCTTCGTGTTTCATAATAGGTTGTACTTTTGAAAGTATAGAACCAACAACGGAACTCTCTCGGAAAAGGCTAGACCACCGGGAGGTCCTCGGCTAATTTGAAAATGAGGAGTTAGAGGCAACGATTATAACCACAAGGCAACGGATTTATTCGGGTTGGTCTCCAAAACCGGTTGCTATAAACTGAAAGTCTTTCAGAAATGTATTAGGATTCATACCATAGCTTCAATCAGTTTCTGCTCATCGATGGGCTCCACTATACAAAATGTATTCATGGTATTACTACAGTAGTCACACGGTGCATATTTGACACTTACATGTTAAACACTCACGTCGAAAACCTTCTAAACAATCCTTTCCTGGTTCTTTTTTTCTTTTGCTTGGAACGCCTTCGCAGAAAGCTCCTCTTTTTACTGCTGAAACACTCTTGCAGTTTGCTGTAATGGCGTCAGATATGCTGTAAAGAAAGTCTTACTCAGCGATTCTTTCTGGGTATTCTGGAAGAAATCTCGTCGTTGTTGTACGAGAAGAACTCGTGTGCCTACCTTGAGGAACAAGCTTTGATGCTTTCTTAACAGCTAACATGCACTAGTAGTGGTGGACACGGTGAAGTCAACGAGTAAAATAAACTTCCTAACGGTTAATTCGTCTAGAAATGATCAAGATAAGAAGTGCGAACTTTGCTGTGCATGTATGGTATGGTGCATAAGCCTCTGAGCCCGAACTACTTCACAGATGGTATGAAGAAGGGGGGGGGAGACCTCTCTAAAGGTGTAGAAGAGAAAGAGAAACATCAGAGTGAAGTAAATGACTGTGCCGACTAGAATTGCTCTTATTTTTTGCAGAAGGTACGATGTTGTTTGGAGCTTCTCTTAGCTCATGCCTTGAGCTACTTTTTGATACAAAAGTAGCATTCTCTACACCTTATTGCATGCTCTCATGCTGGTGATTGTTAAATAACTCAGTAATCGAAGGTGACCATCAGTCAGCACTTTTGAATATCAGTAAGACACAAAGGATTTCCACTAAGCCACGGAGACTCAAAAGTATTGAACATAGCTGAAGCTTAGCAAGGCGTGTAAATGTTAGATTTGGGGCTTCTAAGAAAGCTGAGAAAAATACTGATGAAATGATTATGCCTTCTGCAGAGTACTTCGAATTACTGTGACCACGTTTTCAAAAATTTCGGTTCGTTTAGGTCTCACTATCAACACAGGTTTGAGTTTGAATCCCCGTGATATTTCGCAGGTAAAAAAGCACTTTATGACATGTTTGACTGAAGTACTGTTGCTTACGACCATGCCTTGTTGGCCGCAAAACTTGCGCCTATCATCGAACACCTTGAAGATTGTGAACAGCGTTCATTGACACTGCGCCACAGGTATCTTTGGTACTTTGGTAGCGAAAAAGTTAAAGTGAGCTTAAAAAAACATGCGTCAGACAGAACAATTGGTTGTAATATCATCTAAGCAAATCGATAAGCAAGCTTCGCTGTTTAGTTTCTATATGTAGCGAGCAGTGGCGGTCCCAGGATTTCGGACCGGGGGGGGGGGGGGCGCGACAAAATTTTTTTCAAATGAAGGTGCGTGGCGTCAGCCACGCACTCCGAAAATTTTTTTGGGGTGCTTCTCAGAAACTTTGCGGGTCCCCAACCCCTACCCCGAAAAAAATTTTTTTATAAAGCTAATTTGAATTTTTAAAAAATTTCAAAAATTATTTTAATTATTTACAAAAATAAACAAGTCGTTTACACATTTTTATAACCCATACAGGTAATTTTCAAAAATTTCGCGACCCATTCTCGGGGGGGGGGCGCGCCCCCCCCCCCCCGCCCCCTCCCTCGGACCGCCACTGGTAGCGAGGTAAGGGTAGCGCGGCTTCCGCCATGTTTGCAGTGAAGGTACTGATGATTTACAGCAAGCAATGCGGATAGCTCAGGATCAGTAACGGAAGCCGATGTACTCGAGAGGAAGTAGGTTCGATTCCCATGTGCCTAAGCTCGCTAAATCATTTCCAGTGTAAAAGAACAAAAATTACTAAGAAAATTTAATTTTAAAAAATTTAAAAATTTTAAACAAAAATTTTATCAGAAATAGTAAGTTTTTCGATGGCAAACGGAAAAATAAAATGAAAAACCTAAACCAGCAAGATATACGGGAAAAAGTGGTTTGGTGTAAGACGAATTTTTTTGGTTGATGTTGGTGCAAATAAAGCTTTTAAAATTGCCATGAATGCCGGACTCCTCCCTCCTCTAAATTAAAAGATATAGGCGATTCATGACACGCAAAGACTGGGCACCGTTGCCTCCGACCAAGATAGTTCGTGTAGGGAAGAGACAGCAGATGGTAAGATAAAAGAAAGAGCGCTCGATCAGCGAGACACCGATATGTCCGCAGTCTTTGCGTGTTACGGATCGCCTATAGACTTATTTAGAACAGCAACTATAAGATAGGACTAACTCACTACAGGTGGAAATCTAATGATATGCAATCGAACTAGACTTGCCTGCCCACGTTACATATACTGTCGCAAAAATGTTTAGCACTAGAACACTCATAGAACGTGCGAAATTTCGTGAATGTCGCGGATTGCCGCGGACTTCGGCGAAGTTCTCGGAATTCCGCGGCATCCACGGAAATTTTGAACGTTTTGTGAGGCATAGCGTATAGAGGAAGCATTCAGGCGCCCATCAGCCGTTGATGTCATGGCAAGAGGGGTCCGCTAGACCCAGTAATGAGTGTCTGCGGTTCTCTGCGCATCCGACAAAATCTACGTGCTCGATCCTGCGGCTTCTGCGTCTCCCTTCTGAGGATGTGGTGCGGAAGGCAACAATCCCCAATTTTGTACTTATCAGAAACTCTCCGGTGTCAAAGTGACACGGCGGACTACCGAGTTAGGGGGGGGGGGCAGATGCATTACTCGATTCCACAAGTAGAAATCCGTGAAAGTTATTGAGACGGATGACGCACCGCCTCCATTTTGCGCCGATTGTCGCCTTTCACGTACCCCCCCCCCCCCCTAATCTCCCTGTTGAGCGTATGCCCTGTTCCCAGGCAATTGACGAGGTCCAAGCTGTCGACTTATGTGCACGAGAACGTGATTAGGCCAGTAAAATCGATGGCTATCCTCACGGTAGGCGCGATGAAGCGCTGCAGGGGCGACACGAACAGGGTACCTGCATTGTTTCTAACGCCACCACCACCACCTGGAGGTGGAGATGGAGTATCACGGGCCCTGCGGACCTGCTTAAGAACCTTGCTTAACACGTTTGAATTCCCAAGAGCATCGAAAAGCTAGTCTGAATGCCAAGAGCCACAAAAATGTGTAAAAACTTAAAAAAAAACTTCTGGGCTGTTACAGTAGCTATCGAAGAACATGTTACAGCCTCATATTACCGCATAAAGGTTAACCCTTCCCTAACTCCAATAATAAATCAAACATCCTCTTGTTCTTTAATTCAAAACAAGCAGAATCGCTGCCACCAAGTGGCGTGAAAAGTTTTAGACTACGAAGCTAGAGAAAGTTTTATCCGACAGTAGTGGAAGATGTGCCAAGAGTGATAAAGGAAAAGGGAGAGTGCGTACAAGCAATGGCACTAATTGAAACAGAGGACGTTTGGCAATCATATCAACAAGCCATGCACACTGCGAATGCTTCTAAAAGGAAGGTGAAGTAAGACACTAAGAAAATATAGTTTATTACCAAAAACTCGGGAATTCAAGCCGCTGAGAGTCTTGGCTTTAGCGGCTTGAACCCCACGACTTGCTAGGGTCTTGCGTCCGCGTTCGCGGGCGAAACCTGTGCGTTTTCTCACAGTGAACAGGGTTTGAAGACCCGGATAATGAGTAAAGGGTAGTTTGCAACTCGACTCAGGACCAGTTGAAGCGTCCACGAGGGTGCAAACTGAAGCTGTAACAATTACATTGAGGATTACATAATGTTAAGATTGCAACTCTTAGCTTTTTAATAGGCGACATGTTTACACAGTTCCAGAATCAGCTGGAGATTTTGACAAGCATGCTTGAAAGTGTAGTCTCAATAAGACTAGTAACACCAGTGCGTCACTGCTTCTCAGAGGCTGGCAATGGTCTAAAATCTATATGCCTTAACTTGGCCATACCTCACGCGATTCCAGTCGACGCGATTTGGCAGCATTCCAGTTGTCTACAGCTCATCGTGCGTGCATTCTAAATGTGCAAGGGATAGAGCATTTCATCAATTTACGAAATTTATACACTAAGCATGTGCTGTATCGATGTTGGGTGAAGACACTGAGAAATTGCCAGATCTCGAGACGACTGAAATCGCTGAGGTATGGCCAAAGTCTAACTTATTCTAGCATAACGATGAAATTGAAGCATTACCGTGAACGACATGTGTGTGCAAGAAACTTCTCAAATGCTCAAGTAAAATTTGACAAGTTGAACGTTTTAGTCAATTCTTCTTGGAGCCGTTTTCGTCATATAATAGACATTCACAATTTTACGTATAGTCCATGACTTGCACATTTACTTGTCAAACATGTTCAGACTTGGCAAAAAAGTTGCGATACGAACCCAATTCTAGGAGTGTTCAATGAACACATTATCTAGATCTGCCCAAAACGGAAGAGTGGGCTATTGTTTCATCATTTAAGCGGCGATAAGCGGTAACCAGACACCCACTTCAGACCATCTATACTCTTTCCTGGACACATTCGCATGACACAAACAATTTGAAAAAGAAGATATTTCAGATTGTTGCTGAAAGCAAATGAGATGTTCTAACACGGTTTTAAACTGTTTCGTTTCTGTAAAAAAGGTCAAACAGCTTTTAAGTCATTTCAAGTGCTCTCGTACCTCACCGAAAATGATTTCAAAAAAATATGTCAAATTGAAATTGAACGTGTTTATTTCTATCCTGACACGTGGCAGGAGACAGTTCTCAAAGGATCTATGGAGGAAATTTTTCAGACTGAACAAGTGTATTATGAAAAGATCTTGAGAAAATGGGTTATAATAGAAAAAAATCCCGAAAATCTTATGTTTTTAAAGTGCGACAATAACGAAACAACTCAAAATTGTGGATAGATTTCTGCTTCTTTTCTACTCTTCCATGATACATCTTGAAGAGATGGAATGGTATTATCCAGCAATGTATGGTGCATCCCTCAAAATAGTTCCCATCATTAACGTGGCTGCCTTTTAACGTTTCAATGTTGACTTCAGCAAACTAAGGCGGTATCTCGGCAGAATTTCGTTTTGCAGTTTCTTGACCTTTTCGGAGCCTTCTCGACATGAGGCATCCATATCTGGACTTTTCTGCGCAAGAAAATGGCGAAAACAAGCTTTTTTCCAAAGCTTTCAAGGTCCCCATTTAAGGAAGATATGCCGGAAGTTCCGCTCTCCGCCTTCCTCGTTCCGGGCCCCGCCCACTTGTACGTAACATTCAGAATGCGGACATGTAAAGCTTCAGAAAAAGCTCATTTTCGCCATTTTCATGCACTAAAAAGACCGGTAAGGGGTTCCTTAACACATTCACGACAATACGACCCACAGGTGGGTCGTATGCTTTCTGGAGTTTTTGGTTCTGCTAGCTCACGGTGAAACTTTTTAGGCAAACCGAGTGAATTTCTGATACACTTTTTGGAGTAGTTGCCAAAAAATTAGCAATCCAGACCACAGGAGCCATCAGCGAATATTACGCAAACTCAATTTTGCGAAATATGCTCTGGTCCGAAATGGCAATCATCGAAAAATTGGCCCTGTCGTGAATGTGTTAAGGCGAGAGGCTCCGAAAAGGGAAACTGGAAAACAAATTATGCCGAGAAACTGCCTTTAAGGCGCTTATTCGAACTTGACATGTTAGAACGATCGAAAGGCAACCACGTCGATATACCTATGGGAACAATTTTGAGGAAAGCACGGTACTATGTGTCGCGTATTCCATGACGAGCCATAAGCGTGAAAGTTTTAACCACGAAAGTACTGCTTTCATCTGTTGAAGTAAGGAATGTCATCCAAATCCTAGGACGTTCACTATGTAATCAACGAATAACACCGTAAAAACAGCAACAGTTTATTGCAAAATAAATAGTTCCAACAAGAATCACATAATGAACACATCATCAGCCCACATATCGTAGTAAATTGGATACAACACCTTCATCTCCGGATCCACAAGGTAGAAGCCTTCATTGGCTATCCATGTATCCGTGGCATAACAATCAGCAGGAGGTTCATAGTGTCTGTAAATTAGAGATTTCACATAGAATGTTACAGTATATCAAAATCGATTGGTCTGGCACTGGCGGATGCGTTAAGGAGTTATAATTTCATTTTAAGGAGTCCAAAAACGATTTCAATTATGCAATGTAGATGACAGTGACTCTCTAAACAAGATTCATATGAACACATTACTAAACGCCAATTCAGATTCTGTTCGGCATCTGGAAAACATCAATCTAATAGAAATCGCGAATTTTTTTCTTAAATGCGCCAGGAAAACACCTGAAAAAATGAAGACTTCAACCTAGTTCAAATTATCAAATTGTTTTGACACGATTCTTATCAATTATCTTCTTCAAATGTTGTTTCCTAGCATAAAATAAAGAAATGAATTGATCGGAAAATAATCAGAGAAGAAACCATCTTTCAAACCTTAAAATTTTCGAAAAATCTTCAATAATTTCATTTGGAAAATTTGCTACCAAAGGAGTTGTTAAGAAAATAACGCACGTTCAATACGCGACCCTGGCACAGTAGAGATAAGTACGTATCAAACATTCATTTAAATAGAGAGAAGCAAGCTGTACAAGCTATCATTGGAAATTCGCACAAGTTCGAATCAAATCTCTGCCCCATAAAGATCCTGCCAACTCCATGGTCAGGCTCCAAGCTCCAGGCTTTAACTCCATATCAAACGTTTATATGTATACTTGCTGCATTTTAAATGGTCCAAAATGCGAATTTATCGCCTTTTTGGATTTTTTAGGCTCGATTTGATATTTTTCGAAAAGTGCTTGAAAAGGCTGAAAATCTATGATTGTACTGCCGAAGGTTTGTAGTAAGAAATTATTCATGTGAGTAGCCCAGCACTGTATTTGCTAGAGCAGGCTTACTTTCATCTCTAATTCCAACGTGAAAAATATTAGGTTGAGTCAAAAGTAATAAGAACTTTTAGCTCCCCATTTCGAACTCACAACTCGTGTAGAACAGCGATAAAAGAGTACTCTAAATTGTATAAAACGTAGCTTTTCTTTCTCATCTCAGCAATGGGACCAACGGCCCAGTTGACTTCTTAGTTGTCGAAAAAATTCTCCAAATTTTGAACCCGTCATTTTTGCTTTTAAGTTTAGCTAATCCTCAGAAATTTCAATTTGAGGTTTTCGAATAAATTCGATAATATAAAGACAAAGCAGGCCCTGCTTGATGCAAAGCACTATTTAGGTATTTCGAAACTAGCATTTTGAGCATTTTAAAATTATTTTTGCAAAAGCCTCAAATTTTCAAAAAATGGTTCAAAACAAAAATGCGTTAAACCCTACAAAATCTTTCGAATTTGAGAGCTTCGAAAATAGTTTATCATCAAACCTTGATTCTGCAAGAATCAAGCGTTTACTGCTTCAAATTACCACAACCTAGAATTTTTTGACAAGCTTGAAAAAACCATAGATTTTGAACGGAAAAGGCTTTGTGTTCAAGATTTATCCAAATATCTTAGCAATTACGCAGTGATTTGGTTGAAAATTATATCTATGGGAAAGAGAAAGAAAAACTGTGTCGAACACCGTTTAGAGCACTTGCTTATACACATTCTACATTCTACTAATTTGAGAGTAGGTTTAAAAAGAGATGCGATGTTCTCATTACTTTTGACTCACCCTAGTACAGCAACTCTACATGTGAATATCTGATGTGGAGTTCTTTATATGCGGCTTTCGAACTTGGAGATAATCGAGCTTTCTGCGAGCGTTTTGAAGGCCATCTTGTAGAGTTTGCTTTCCTTTATCGAATGATATGTTGACCACATTTATTGCTTTGCCCGCTAGGGTAAAGAACGCGTATAATTTTAGAAAATAATCTTTATGAAGCTTTTGGTTATGGCCATTTCGTTACACCCATCGGCCTTGTGCATGATAGTTTTCTCCACTTTTTTAGGATTGGGGACAAAAAGTGAAACAGAATCAACCGTCAACCTAATATCGCAGAAGTAAGAACTTACAATTAGTGTCTTTTTCAACATCAGAAATCAAGGATCACTTACACTAAAGTTTTACGGAATGTCCAGTCGTCTTCATACACATTAACCACAATGCGACCAGGTCGGAAAGGACTATTCGAGTACATTTTGGAAAAGTCAGAACCGCTTCCAGTTTTAATTTTGACTGACTCTCCACCGCACGTCTCGTAATCGCTGTGAACGAACACCATAGGATTGTCGTTTTCACGAGTTTCCTTTCCTCGCTGCACGAGAAATCCAACAACGAATGCTGCGTCCTTGAAGTAGCTTGCGTGGAAATCAAAATTTCCTTCCAACTTTAGCACAGGATCAACGAATGGCTTGTAGTCGCATTTGCCGGAGTACCAATTAAATTGCTTTCTTCTAGTCTCGTTGTTCACGGCGATTATATGAACTTTTCGAATAAACAGATCGCCATCTTTGAGATCAGCGTTATAGCATTTATCTCTATGTAGCTCGATCTTAAAAAATTTAATTAGATTTTTGCGGAAATGTCTCTGGTGCTTTACATGGTCTACTTTACTGTGTGTTGCATGACGTAGGTTTAGTCCAATGATTTGACTTTGATGGGTTTTATGATTGCATAAATGACTACTACTTTCCTTTGTACCCAATTAAAATATTCCTTAATTTGTTAGTCTATGAGAGTTTCTTGATTTTAGCCTTGATAACTTTGGAAAGCATTCAAGTTTCTGAAGGGCGACTCGTTTTTGATTCAGCAGATTAGGTGATCGCAGCTGCAAATTGCTTCAATTCTCTTCATCTCGGCCATTGTCAGAAGGAAATTGGGAGTCATATGTCTTTGAATCTAATTCAAAAATACAAATGCAAGAGCATATAGCTATTTTGATAGACAAATGCGTTCTGAGTAACAAGAACGATTACGACAAGATATGACAGACAACTGGAGCGTTGCAAATATGGCGACGAGAGTCCCTTAAGGCAGTGTCTCACCAGACTGAGAGGTATCTGGCTCTGGTATCGATGTAGTAGTAGATAGTAGACCCCTAACTAAGCGACGACAGAAGTTTGCAGCGCGAAAGGGAGTCTACGAAATCTACAAATCGTCCCCCAAGTGGCCCGGATCTTACGGGTAGCCTCGGGCGAGTACGAGATGCATGCAAGGTAGGCACGCAGAGTCGTTGTGGGACCCTTCCCTCATGACTGCGTGTATGAGTGCTCTGGCCTTGCAGTTTGAAATTTCCGTCCGGACCTACCGTAGAATCCGGGCCACTTTCAGAGCAATTTTCAGGCTTGGTAGACCCCTTTTTCGTTCCGAACTTCAGTCATCGATTAGGTAGAGGGTCTACTTTAACATCGCCACAAAAACTCGGCACCCATCTTTTTTGCCGGGCGCTGCCTTCAAATGCTCGGGGCCCCAGGAGAACCGCATTTTGACGACTAGGCTCCCTGAGAGGGCTCGGCACAGTAACTTAGAAGCTGCCTGAATATTGTCTAGAGGGGAAACAAAGGAAATATCGTTATGCAAGCTTGAGCAGAGCCCGGGAAAAAGGCATGTATCAGTTTAGTATAGTGCACATGAAGAAGTCGCCAGTCGCTTCGTGCAAAATCGGAGTGCTGAGTGCGGCAAAATTCTTTAAAAAAACCTGATCGCGTAAGGGAATCTAAAACTGATTTTCATGTAAATCAGCGTGTGTAAAAAAACTCCAAAAATTTGGCGAACTTCATACTCATCAGCTCAATAAATTTTTACCCTCCCACTTAGCAACGAATCTTCAGTAGCTTCTATCACATGAGTCATACACATACATGCTCCCAACTTTCATCCCCATAAGCGCCCTTCCCCGGCTGTAGGGCGATTCGCACGACCGCAATGCTCTCCGCACAGGACTACCGTCGCGCGCGACACACCCTGCGGCGGCCTTTGCCTAAGCAAAACAGGGGAGAGAAGATTTGCGGGGTGCGTGACGTGTTAACACAAGTCAAAATCAGGGTGGCGCTGGAGACCTTCCGTGCGAAAAGACCGTCTCCCCCTCCCCTTTTTATGCTACCTGCTCATCTTTTGGAGACCTCGCAGGTGCTCAGCACTTCCCTACAGATCCCAATTTCTACGAAACCGTGTAAGCACGGAACGAATGTGCCAAAAATCAAAACATTGCGAAATTATGTGGACTGAAGGAGTGGTGGCTTTGAGTCACCTGGAGAGCCGAGGTAGCTTAGAGTAAGCAAAGTCATAGTTTCTCTTCTCTTCACATAATTGTTATTTCACACTTTTTCATAGCTTTGATCTACATCCAAAACTGCAAATTTGTTTAACTTCCCTCCCCGCCTGGTAGCCCTCTAGAAAATTTGATGACGGCGGCAACCTGCTCTATGGCGTGGTGGTGCGCGCCAGATACAGCGGTTTTTCATATATTTTCTTTTCATCTTTGCTATGCATGTGGAAACCAATGACGTGGTGGTATGAGGCACTTATGACAGATCGGACCCGGTTCCATCGCGCCCCTGTGGAAACCAATGACGTGGTGGTATGAGGCACTTATGACAGATCGGACCCGGTTCCATCGCGCCCCTGTGGAAACCAATGACGTGGTGGTATGAGGCACTTATGACAGATCGGACCCGGTTCCATCGCGCCCCTGGCCAACGAGCCTTCTACCCTCCGGGTAAATTTGTACCAGAGTAATCTGGGAGAATGAAAGCGCTAACTTGGTAATCGTCTAGCCTCCGCAACTCCCTGTAATAAGCGGGCACGCATTCAATAGCTTCAACGAAACTGAAGTAGAATGTTTTTGGCGCATGCTCGCAGAGGGTACTCAAGACGCCAGATCCTTTATTTTTTATCCTTCTTATTCATGTTTGATTTATACATGTGCGTGCTCTGGGTGTTGTCGTAGTTTTGTTGCAAAGTCAAAGGGGCTTTCAGATAATTGCCAGAGACCTTATGCCGAGCCCCGTCTCAGGGTTTCAATCGACTTGTACAGTAGGTATCCCCTGAAGGTAGTGAACATTGAAAAGTGTGTGAAAGGCGCTATATAACAGTACAAAAATCTCTACACTGGCTAAGGATTTTCGGAACAATTGCGTCAGACACAAGAAACATGAAGCGGACATTGTAAGAACGCCAACAACAACAAGAATCTAATCTAGACAGTTTTCGAGGCAGTGCATTGTCGCCCAATCTTTTGTTGAGGAGAGAGCTGACCTCATGACAGGTGCGCAAGTTTTTACGCCACTGCAAGAGCTAGTTTTCTTGGCTTTCTTACACTCAAAGCTTTTCAATATTTCGACTAGATTTTTAGAGCAAAAAACATGCATAGACTAGAGTATTTAACACGTTGACGACCTTGTGTATCCGCACGTATGCACGCCCTGACTCCCGTTTAGCATTTTCATGCATCCGCGCATATGCACGCCAATTTTTTGAGTGTAAACGAAAAGCTTTGAGGTAACTTTTATGCAGTAATACTATTGGTGCCCTGATTGTCTTACAGAACACAGGGCATCGCGGCAGCTGTTCAGAAGTTTTGGCCGCAAAATTGGGTAGTATGTTCGTTTTTGATGTGGTAAATACATGGCAGTTACGTTTTTCCGAGAAGGTGGAAACCCTGTGTAACTGTTTTGAAAGCAAACAAGGATGAATAAGGCAAAAAACACCTGGTATTACAACGCTTTTCTCGAAGAAAGATTTCTCAGATATAGCCATTGCATGGTTTATTGGAGGGAAAATCGATGCAAAAACCTTGGTTTGTGTAAGTCCTGATAAGGCTCTGTGATATACCTGTATGGCTGAACAAAGTTCGCATGTTTTATGACTGAGTGTCAAAAAGACTCCCACATAATGTTTTCGTGCATCCGCGCGTATGCACGGGCCAAATGCGCGAAGGACGTTAGTGTGAGTTTCGCCCAAAACGGCGCGGTCGTCAAGGTGTTAAATTGAGGAACATCTCTGTTGTCAAACAATGTTGAGGGTTTCAAGAGTTGTAATTTTTCATTTGACCTTGGCGTTGTTTTTTGTTTTTGTATTCAACGCACAGACGACCTTGGTAGTACATATCTGTGAGTGGCTGAGGACTTACTTGTAGCTTTCCTGAATGCGCTATCCAAAGAAGACTAGCAAATACTGCTGCTGTGAGCATGCGCATGTTTCTTGGTTTCACCGACTCCAAAGTCAATTGCTGGAATATGTATGTTGATGTTACATCTTGATCATCAGCATTTCTTGAAGGCACATCCTCTCTAACTGTTGCTAGAAATTCACGAATGTGAGACGTACATTTGATATTGAGTTTGTTTCAAAGGATTGGGGGATCAGCTTTATTGGGGTAAATGTAGCTTTTCTTAACCATGGCGAGAAGAATGAGTTTTTATAGCAAAAAAGCTCAAAAGCATTGCTTTATATTAACATGAGGAGATTTTAGTGTTGTATTGCTCATCTTAAGTGTTCTAACGAAATTAACACGTTGACGACCGTGTGCATCCGCGCGTATGCACGCCTAGACCACCATTTAGCACTTTCGTGCATCAATTTATCGTGTGTAAACAAAAAGTTCTCAAGTAACTTTTATGCAGTGATAACACTGGTGCCTTGGTTGTCATATAGAACACACGGCATTGCCGTAGCTGTTAAATAGTCCAAACCGCAGCCGTAGATCATCAGTCCATTTTGATGTGGTCAAAAATGGCTCGGTCGTCAACGTGTTAAACTTCTAACTGCATTTGGAATGGGTACTCGTTTACAATTCATTCGTAATGGCTGGCATTGTAAGGTGAGTTTTAAAGCCAACACATTGGAAGCGCGGGGAAGGCATAGATAGTAGAACCGGTGCAAACCTCTGCGATGAGTTACAGCGAGAAACGGTTTTTGAATTTCTAATTACTATTAAGTCTAGTCTTCTTATAACCTTAGAACACCTACATGATAGGTGACCCCTAGATTCGAATTCTGAAGCAATGTTCTCGCTTCGTGGAACTCTTTGCAGCAGAACTTGAGCATGGTTTCATAACTAGTGGCCTCGCTATCGCAATGCGATGAAATCTCGCCAAACCTAGATTTGGTGAACGATGCCTTCAAGTGCGAACGAGTTAACAAGTCAGCGCGAGAAGCATGGTTGCTACCTGTGAATAGAGATATCAGTGCTGTAACAGTGTTGTTACCGCCCGTTACCGTCGTTGGGTTCTTTCATACTACGCCGCGTCCTGCGGCGTGTGCCGCTTGAGTCGCAGTGAAAATATACAATGCGTTCAACGAGGCCAGCGCCGCGTAGCGCAGTATCGTCTAGGTTTGAATGAACCGCGTTGGCGCTGTTCACTCAAACTGTTCCAACCTATACAACATACGATTACACCTCGCATGTCTACCTTTAGTTGTAATTCTTAGAATTTCCAGATGAAATGGTTCAAAATCACATCTTCTTTTACACCTCAAACCTCCATTTTGTCTTCTAATTCGCAGTGATACTTTGAGAAATCTCAGGAAGAGCACCGAAGTAGGGTTCTAGACAGGAAAAGCTCAGAAATTTGGAAGCAGGACAGCGAAAAAGCTAAGAAAGAAGAAGGAAGAGTATTCAGGGAACACGCCGCTTTGCGCGGCATGGTCACTGCACGCTGCAGCCGACGGTAGCGCTCGCGCGCAGATGTGTAACTGTACTACGCGGCGTTGGCCTCGTCAAACGCATTGTAGCTCACGGCAGCACAGCTTCGCCGGTTATGGACGTATATCTATATTTGCTGCAAGTTCGTGTTCTCCGAAAGGTTCCTTCACAGCGAGCGAGCTTATATTTTCACTGCCACTGCAGTGGCGCACTCCGCAGGATGCGGCGTGCTGCTGCGCGCTGTCGCGTGCTGCGGCAGGCTGCTACGTCCTGCGGCGTAGTATGAAGGAACCCGTTCATTGTTCAAGGTTCTTGTTATGACTTGATTCACACTTTGAAAAGATCACAACAGCCTCATTCTAGCTCTTGCGAACTCGCCGGGTGATGACTATGTCCCCTTTTCTTCTACCTTTTGATACAGAAAACGTCTCCATCAACTAGTAGCGACGAGAGAATAATAAGGACGAAAGTCATCCATAGTAAGACAACGATAACATCGCTTACAATGAAAGAACACGATAACAGCGATAACTCCGGTAACAGTGGTGACAGCGGCAACAGCGAAAATGAGCAAAACCCTTAGAATATGCAACTGTTGAGACTGAAGAACAAGCTGGCCCACCGCTGCCTTCCTGTCTTTCTGTTTTGATAGGTGAGGAGCTGCTATCGCGAACCGATGCAGTTAAATGAGACATCGTTTGCATCCTTTTCACCCTTCGATTTTGCCAACAGGTTGCGAAATTGAACCCGAGTCAACATGTTATATCATTTATACCTCCGTTATACTCTGGTATAAATACCGTTTTGAACTGTTGATCAAAACAGGAGCTGTGACCGATACAGGGTTTATTGTGGTGCGTAATCGGAGCGTACAATTGTATGAGATATGTGCATTAAGTAATATTGGTGCAACGTAATGACACGTCTTATCCTCGGAATCGACAGAATATAACAGCGATAGGCATACAATTCAGATCTATGCGAGATCACGCTACCTGAGATATGACATAAACTAGGAGCTTGAGAATGAGGTTGTAGATAGGGTCTGACATGGAATATACATGTAGAAGTTCCAGTTATATGTTTCTATTCCGATCACTAATAGCACTGGTATACACGAAATCAATAGGATGACCTCAGGCACAAAGCCCATTTTTACACAGATATGACGAACACTTAATTACATCAATATCTCGGGAATCGCAATGAAGATAATACAGGCAGAAATGATCTCCCATTAAGCTGCTGCCCGGGATCAATAACCAACATATTACGGTAGCGATGTACCCTATGAAGCCGAGAGTAGGTACCCAGAGGAAACCTGTAAATTTGCAACCCCGATGAATGAGATTCTTTCGTACAAGAAACGGAATATCAAAATGGTTATAATATCGATGAAACAGATGCGAGGAATCTAATACTGCGCATACAAAGGCGGGTAAACAGATGCAACGAACGGGCAGATGTATGGAATGATCGAACAAGGCAGAATCAAGCCCGAAGGTGGAGAGCTTCTCGTGCGAAAAATCTAGTGAGAGACAAAAAGTGAAAATCAATACATGAGTTCCGGGCGATTCTGAGCAAGGTTAAGACAACCAAATACATGAGTTGCTAGCTCGCACCGCTGAAGGTGGGGTCTGTTGGTAGTGGAATTGCCTTGGGAGCCACGTAGCATCGAAAGGCGTTGATCGTTTTCCATCTACCGGCCAGCATCACCGCGGTTTGTTCGGCACCTAGGCTAAGAGCGAGCGATGCTGCTCCACCCCTGAAAGAATGAGAGGTAAAGTTGAAATGTTCCAAATTGCAAACCCTAAAAAGAAGTTTAAGCCTATCCCTCAGGGTTGTGGTTGAGAGAGGCCTTCCTGTGGACCTGGACTGGAAAATGTGAACCGCGCCAGTGCATTGACCTAGGTACTTGCGCTTGGTCCGTCTTGGATTTTCGAATTTTCAGGCTGTAGTATCCTCCTCCCACAAACGTTAGGTCGACTGACCGGAGAGCCTGAGCCTCACTGATTCTCAAAAAGGCTTTGAATTGAAGAAGAGCAAGCGCTGCTGCTTGGGTAACCTTGTAATCCGCAGAGTCCAATCCTTCCAGAACCAGCCGCCGCATTGATTGTTGGTCGATTTTCGTACGATGCGTGGTTTCGGGTGAAGATCTGCGTTCCGCTTCTAATATCGACTGCTGGATGTCTAGATCGACTCCCGTCAACGGGCCACAAAAATAATTGAGGGCGGCCGTTAGTACTGGTAAAGACTTATTTCTACCTTCGTGTGCACATTTCGCTAGATAAAGATTGTGCGCCTTCTCTAGGGGAATAGCTGCTAGGGCGTCACTCCCTTTCCAGGACAAAAATTTCCTCAGTTCGGCGCTGTAGCACGCGAAGGTAGAAGACGCCCTGTCTGAGCGTAGCGCCTTGTAGATTGTTCTGCTAACATTCTGGAGGCCTAACCGGTCTGCTACCGTTGCGAGCGCCGCTCCTTCCTCAAACCGAGGTGCTGAAAAGAGAAAATCATTAGCTCGCGTTATTTCAGGGCGGGCGGGAGGGCGCTCCGTACGCGTTAAAACGCCTGGATGACCAGTCATCCCGCCAAGGGCTCGGGGCGGCTTCGCTCCGCCCCTTGGCCCCGAGCCAATCGAGCGAGGTCGCTTGCGAAATAGATCAATCGTTCAAAACAACACTTATACCTCCGTTATACTCTGGTATAAATACCGTTTTGAACTGTTGATCAAAACAGGAGCTGTGGATACGCAAAGCCTGGGGACTAAAAGTTGATGGGTCTTTGAGGCAATTGATAGGCGCGAAAGTCCACTAGCAAGAACACAAAAGGCGACTTTGCAAACTGAGACCCAAAAGCTCCCGGAGCCCCTCATCTGCAAAGAGTTTCGTGCCAACCGGAAAAAGCACCGCGTCCCGCACGAAAGAAGCCCAGTGCTCACCATCAGGCTTGAGTATAGGATAAAATGACTGAGAAAACCAAAGAGGACAACCTAGAATTCCTCTAGATCCATAAAAACGCGCCCATTTCAGGGCTTTAGACACTAGAGAGACGGGAGGAACTAACCATAAGAAGCCATTGGTCCATGCGGAGACTTGCATGAAAGCGTCCACTCCAGCTGTGTTGGGGCACGGGAAGCTAGAAAAGAACATCTCACATTTGGTATTTCTGTCATTAGCAAACATGTCAATGTTGGGGTTGCCCCATCTGTTCGAAAGACGTTCGAAAATGGTATTACTTATTCTCCAATCGTCGTAGTCAATTAATCGGCTAGCCCAGTCAGCTTCCAAGTTCTGTTCGCGGGGAATCCATTTTACTATAATATTTATGCCTTCACGTTGTTCTATGTCCCAAACCGTTTCTGCTAGCTCATGTAACGTGAGAGAGATGCTACCTTTTCTCAGAATTACTGACGCGGCTTGGCTGTCCGTATTCACTAGAACCCCCGAGTCAATGTGAGATGCGAATGTGCTCAGGCCAAAAACGATTGCGAATAGCTCCCTAGCAGTGCTAGACTCCAAAATGAGATTCTGTGGAAGTTCCCTATGCGTTGTGCTCAATTGGTTACCCTGAGCATCTAAAAGTATAGCGCCTACCGAGTGCGCTGAAGCATCTGTTTGCAAGACTTTATCGTAAAGTTCAACTCCCGAGGGCATGAGAGATCTGATTATGGGAGAGTCTAATCTATATGTCCAGTATTGTAACTCACGCGACTCTTGTGCGGATAACGGCCATTTGTGACTGAGGGACCGCTCCTGGGCTTGAGCACTAGCAATCTCCCTCGCTCCTGCCATAGTGTGGCGGCTATCTACAACGTTCATAATCAGATGCATCGAAGCCAAAGTTCCTGACCATCGCAACCTATCGTGTAAGGTTGGTCTAGCGCTTAGTAAGAGATTCTTCAGTCTATCTCTGGCTCTAGTAACTCTCTCCTGTGACAACTGTAGCCACATGTCCTTCAAATTGATTTCAAAACCTAACCAAGAGGCAACTTTGGAGGGAATCCATTTGCATTTGTTATGTGCGAAGAAAAATCCCGCCTCCGAGAGGTCTGTTTTGACGATATTGACTGTCTGAGTGCAGAGCGGGCTACTAGAGCCAAAGACAATGCCATCATCGAGGTACACTGCAACCCCCAACCCCATACGCCTCCATTTCTTCACAAATGGGCGGAGTAGCTTTGTGAATATGTGAGGGGCTGAAGACAGGCCAAATGGAAGGCAAGTGAATTGATAGGTCACACCTAGCCATTGAAAACCGAGAAAGTGGGTATGACATGGGTTTATTTTCACGTGATGGTACCCTGATTTCAAATCAAAAGTTGCCATGAACCCTTGAGAAGGGAGGGCATGCAAAATTCTGCTCAAATCCTCGAATTTACATCTTGGTACTTTCACGAACTTATTCAGGTGAGAGAGATCGAGTACTAACCGCAGTTTCTTACCTGTGGCTACGGAAAGTGGATGTATGTGTAGACTGGGGACCTGATGCGGCGCTACTTTCTGGACTGCCCCGGTCGAAAGGAGCTCTGAAATCTCCGCCGTCACAAATTCAGCATGCCTTATAGCACTTCTCCGATTGCGACCACTAGGAGGTTTAGTTGGGGCACTGTCGAAAGGTATTGAGTAACCCGACAAGATAGTGGTCGTGACCAGAGTACTTGGCTCGAGAGCCATCCAAAAGGAGCTTTTATGGTGGATGGAACCGACGAAGAACTCACCATTTGTTGCGTGGGCATTCCCTCCACCAATGTCCTTCCTGCCCGCACTTTCTGCACTGACTCTTCCTTCTGTCTTGGTCACGTGCCGACATCCTGTATTCAGAGAAGCGACGTGGCGGCGAAAATTCTCTTCTGTAGCGGCTTCTGTCCGATGATGACTGGTACCCATATGACGTGTTGAACCGGGCGTCGTATGAAGAGGGGCTTTCGAATGAGAAGTCCGGATGGCGGGAAGCAGGTGGCCAGGCTGCTTCCCGCTTACGAAAGGGCGCCGCGGGTTGTCCGAGTTTCCTTTTTCTAGTTGTAGATTCCTCTTTTGGCTTCACTGCTTCTAGAAATTCGCTTAGACGTGGGTCGGTAACCTTCAGCAAGTCCGATTTGCTCTTGTTGTCCAGAAACTGAAAGACTCCTGGATGTTCGTCCGCGATCTTGAGCGTCTCGTTCCGCACAGTGAGATCCTGTACAACGGAAGCTATGATGCTTCCCACGCCCTCAAAGTTCTGCAAGGGCATTAACTTCCTAATGAGAGAAAGATTGAAATCATATTGTCTCGCGTAACCCTCCCTTTTGAAGGAAGGCGCGGACGAACAACTAGGGAGTTGACTTTGGTTTTCTGACCTGACCGCCTGGAGGATGCATTCCAAATCGCGTTTGTCGAGCCGGATCGATTCGTTCCTTGGTTGGTCCACCTCTTCGGCGTAAACGACTTCTTCGTGAATTCTTCCAAAATCCTCTTGCTGGTGTTGATCGTCGTCGTCCATAGCGGAATATTGCTGGTGTCGAAAGAGCCGACCGCTCCGTACGCGTTAAAACGCCTGGATGACCAGTCATCCCGCCAAGGGCTCGGGGCGGCTTCGCTCCGCCCCTTGGCCCCGAGCCAATCGAGCGAGGTCGCTTGCGAAATAGATCAATCGTTCAAAACAACACTAGTTGCAAGCACCGAATAAAACGGTTGCATCGATTTACGCAGTGGAAAGATCTGATTGCGAGAATGTGGACAAGGCTTCTTGAAGTTCGGATAGGATTAACAAACCCACGCGTACATCTAATTAAGTAACAACAACAGCTTGAATTGGCGAGTCTGGGCAAGAACTCGACTACTAGAAAATACACTTACCTTGGGGTAATTCGCAACTGTGAATCCAAAAATACACATTAGAAAGCGAAAACAGAATTTCAAAGCCTTACAAACTAAACTAGAACGGTCCCTGCCAATGAATCACAGAGTCGCTGCCGGACCCTACGATTTCCACTGTGGCGGCATGACGTAATCGAGGCGCACAGCTATTTCTTTTGGCTCACTTCGCACTCGGTCACGCTTTTCGCCGTAGAGCGCGGCAAGCTTCTTGAACTTCGACACTTGCGGGGTGGCCCAAGCAATTTCATTCTTCCAGTCTTTTGTTTGTAAACGCTATTTTGCGCCCTCTTCATTCTGTCGGGTCCTTTTTCCACTCCTGCATTTTTGTGAAACTATTACGTGCAATTCTCGAGTAGACAGTAGTTCATTACAGGCTTGGGTAGCAAGACAGGATGATCTTCGTGAAACCCTCTCCTGTCATACTTTGACCCTTGAAGAGGATAATGGCCCAGGAATTAAAGCACGAATTGAAGCACTCGAAAGAGTCAATGTACAGGACCAACGATTAGTTTTTGCCGGTGAGTTCCAATAGCTTCTTTCAGTATGTAATTTTTTTCATCTGCATATCTTGTCATTGTTTCGCTGAATCTTGAAAAAGTCAGTGATGGTCTTGAGGACGGACCCAGCTTTTGTCATTGCGTGATTTGCTAATGTTTTAGGTTGTCAGCTGGATGACGATGAAGTCGAGCCATATTCGACTCTTCATCTTTCGCTCAGGTATACCACTTGTTATTTCATCAGAAAGTTGCGCATTGTATTACGCATCATGTTACAAGACTTTGGTAATGATAAGCACTCTGTTTTTATGGTGTCTAGGCCTCTGAGAGTATCATGACTGTATTTGAGGGAGTAACCTGAGCTAGAGCTGGTAGTGGAAATATCTCCAAATCATCGGTGTTGGTATCATTTCCGATTTTGTATTCAGATTACTCGGAGGTGCTAAGAAGAGAAAGAAGAAGGTCTACACTACTCCCAAAAAGATGAAGTAGTGCGAGGTAAGAACTTTGTCATAAAGTGGCGACGTTTTTTAGCAATGAAGATCATGTTATCTGGTGTCCAGGCCTCTGAGAGTTTCATGACTGTTATTATGAGTATCTGAGCAAGTCGTACGAAATTGAAGTTTCCGTTTTGTCACTTATCTGCGCATTCAACTGTTACCGTTTTAGGTTGATGAGAACAGGAAAATCAGAGGTCTTCCTAAGGAATGCCAGTCTCCCGCTTGCGGAGGAGGAGTCTTCATGGCTGCTCATGAGAACAGATATTACTGTGGACGGCATCATGGTCATGATAATCTTGTTGTTGAGGAACCCGTAGTTTCATCTAAAGGCAAGGGTGGCAAGAAGAAGTAATTGTTGTTGTTGATAAATTTTGTTATATATCGTGTGGTGTAAGCAGCAGCAGAATTCGTGCGATGCTGTATCGGAAACTTCGTATGCTATCTTCATACTAGTGTAAAAAAAAAATTACATGAATATGAGTAACTATAGGGATTTGCATGCAAATCAGCGAGTATATGACATCCTACCGTTTCACAAAGACGTCGCGACTGGTTAGAGGTCCGTGACTGAGTATCCCATATCTTCCATTTGTGAGAATGTCTCACAAACTGAATAACTGTACGTTGGCTTTGATAGCTTGACAGGCTTCATTCCTGATAAGCAGCAGTGTTAAGCATAAGCTTGTAAATTGCAAACAACGATCATGCAGGTCACTGAATCACAGTAGCTGTTTTCTTAGGCTTGCAAGATCTATTCAACAGTTCTAGATTTCGTGTTCTTGCAGTTGTTATGAGTACCGAAGAGTGCGTATCAGACCGTCCAAGTAGTAGTTTAGAGTGCTCATGTATACGTACAACATCACTGCATTGATTCCTGGGACACTGTCCTCTTCAAGGGTCAAAGTCTGACCGGAGAGGGTTTCACGAAGATCATTCCGTCTTGCTACCCAAGCCTGTAATGAACTATTGTCTACTCGAGAATTGCACGTAATAGTTTCACAAAAATGAAGGAGTGGAAAAAGGATCCGACAGAATGAAGAGGGCGCAAAATAGCGTTTACGAACAAAAGACTGGAAGAATGAAATTGCTTGGGCCACCCCGCAAGTGTCGAAGTTCAAGAAGCTTGCCGCGCTCTACGGCGAAAAGCGTGACCGAGTGCGAAGTGAGCCAAAGGAAATAGCTGTGCGCCTCGAATACGTCTGGCGGCATGCGAACTCTGTGCCGTAGAGCGAGGTTTCATACAGGCGAGCCCAGCCCAGATTTGCCAGTTTTGCGATTGATGGTTGTAGTCAAATGTTATGGCCTCGCACTTGCGCGATGGCATGTTCGAGGTAAACACTTTCGCATGGCACCAAAATCCGAAACCCTCACCTAGTCCGGACATTACCTTTGGCAGATCTCTAGTACTCTTCTTAAAGGCAGCATCCAGGCAAATCTGGACATACGGGGTTCTGATGTGGAAAGTACTTTTGGGATCTCAACTAAGACACTGCCCAAGCGGCAGCTCAAATGTTGAACTCACAGTTAAGATATTCGCCTCCAAACTAAACCCCGGGATCGCATTCGCATGGCCATGGCGCGACACGCGTGGGTCCTCGCGCGAAACTCATGTGGCGTCATGAATCCATACGAATACGATGCTGGGGTCCAGTTTGGAGGCGAATGTCTCAACTGTGAGCTCACCATTTGAGCTGCCGCTTGGGCAGTGCTAATTGGGGGCAGGCCCCGGCACGCGTTGGTCTGGAGCATTTTTGGAAACGAAGTTCCCTATGAACTCGCGAAAATTTACGAAGTCCCTTCTGACGTAAAAGTCAGAAGGGAACCTTTGTTCAATTAACAAAGCAAATAACGATAAGAAAGTGAAAAAAGCGAGTTTTGAGGTACCTAATATGACAAAAGAGCAAAAAAAAACATTCTAGTCGATTCAATTTTGAGTATGCTACCACTTTAGTGTTCGGAAATTTAAAAACCTCTTAGGCCAACCAGATCTGTGACCTCAACAATCTGGTGCTGCAATTTTCGCCACATATCTACTCAAATTGGGACTACGCCGAACCGTCGGTCTACATTTGCGCGCTCGCAGCGCTAGCGTTTGCGCTGCATATGCGCGCTGTCGGAGAGAGCAAAAGGATTGCAGAGAGAGCAGAGAAGCAGTCCGTGGGCGTGACCGCGGAACCCTAAAGACGCGGACTCCCGCCATGCCAATTTTGGCCTGGTTGGGATTGGGGCAGACTGTAGCTCAAAGGACACCGCATGTGATTGTAGCGCGATATCTATCAGTGCTTTGGTTTACACTATTTTTGGCTCAAAAAGAGAGGAGATGCAGTGGTTTGAGCTCTCTTCGCTATATGATAGATTTTGGAGAGTTCCGTCCAAATCAAAAAATTCAAAAACATGTCAACTCTCCGATATCTATGCTCCGAACCAACCCAGTTGTTTTGGTGTTGGTCTAGAAACCAATAAATTCGGTAAGGGTATTGGGACACATATGTTTTTGAAACTTTTTACATAATGTTGTTTGTAGTGATATTCAGGGCTCGGCACGAGGTGGCTGGATGAAAATGGAAAAAACGAAGTCCCCCTTGACTTTTGGGAATTTTTACGAAGTCCCCTTTGACCCTAAACCAAATTTCTTCTAAAAACCTGAAAAATTCCCGAAAATTCCCCAAAAAACGAAACGTCGACTAAAAAAAAAAAGGTCGCCATCGTCAATTTTCCGTATGTCTTCGCTTACAAAAACGAAACCCCCCTTGCTTTTCGTCCCAAAAACGATATCCAGCTTGCTTGTAAGCCACCTGTGCCGAGCCCTGGTGATATTGTATATACATAGCACAAATTCGGCGTCATGGTTTGTGCGCTGTAAAAAAGCGATCTGTTCATTTGGGTCTTACGTTTGAAATTCGCGTGCTTGCCAAAGAACACGTTCAACTCGTAAAACCTGACATCGTTTTCTTTTTCGGTACTTCGCCCAGGACCTTATAAAAACGATATCCCCGTTGCTTCTAACCTCAAAAACGAAGTCCAGTTTGACCCCGAACCATCTGTGCCGGGCCCTGGTTAGGGCTCCAAGATTACCCTCCAGGTGTGATCCCGATAAGCCCAGATTTGCCTAGACGTTGCCTTTAACAAACAATGTCACAGGCTTGAGCGCGGTTGTTAAGTATACTTCTTTGTTCCTTTTTATACTTCTTTGATCCGAATTAAGTATAATCTGCCACTTGAGTAATCGGATCAAACTGTTTACGGAATTCGAAAAACTCAAAGGTTGAGAGTTTCGACTAGAAACCGATTCTTGGTAGTGGAGGATCTTTCGAATAAAATTTGAAAATTCGAATCACTATCGAATCACCGAATTGGGGAGTCAGTTGAAAACCTCGAACTGAGCTCTTGAAGAAGAACTCTATGAAAGATATTATTCAAATGTTGTCTTCGAAAGTTTAAAATTCATATTCCAGCTCGGTCCGTAGCAAGCTACTGAATTGTATAGCTCACATTAGTCCAGGTGCCAAATATCTGAGGCAATCCTCACGTCTGTTGAAGACGCGATCCTTGAAGAGACAACTTGGTAACTCAATTTTTGGAGCGAATCATTAGCGAAGAGCGCGCAAAGCATTTTTCTAAAAGTCCATCCATTTCTCATTATCATACTAGAAAAGGTCCCAGGTCGCCACTTTGATTTGGAACGAAAAGCGTACC